CACCGAACAACGAGAAATCCGGTCAACGCTAGCGAAAGTCCAAAGTTATTTCACTGCCGTACAACACCACCGGCAAATCTCTACCTCATCATCATCAACATCACCGCCATTGCCGCAATTTCCTTGCCGATTACCACCATCATATATATATATATATATATATATATATATATATATATATATATATACATACATACATACACATACATACATACAAAATGTTTTTTTTTTTTTTGGGTAAAGTGCATTAAACCCCCTTGAACTATTGGTCATTTGCAAGAAACCCCCTTGAACTACAAAAAACCCCCTTGAACTATGATTTTGTTGCAATTTACCCCCTTGAACTATTGGTCATTTGCAAGAAACCCCCCTGAATTACAAAAAACCCCCCTGAACTATGATTTTGTTGCAATTTACCCCCATGACATCAGCTTCCAGTACTGAAAATTTTAAAAGACCAGTTTACCCTTATAACACGTACATTGCGTCATTTTAACTTATACACTTCCTTCTTTTTTTTTCTTTTTTTTTTCCTGCCAAAAGATGCTTTTCACCCAACACAACCCAAAACTGAGAGCTAGAGAGAGAGAGAAGAGACCAAAGAGATCCGAGGTCGGCGGGATGGCTCGGTCTCGGATGATGACGGCTTGTGCGCGGAGGACTCGGCTGTGATGAGAGCTTGGTTGACTCGGCCATGAACTGTGGAGGCGGCGGCGAGCTCAAGGGGGCTCGGCGGTGAACTGTGGACAGCTGTGTGCTCGAAACACAGACGGCGGTGTGTTCGACTATGGAGATAGCGGAATGGGCCAGCGAGATTGGAATGAACGGTGGAATGGACCGGCGAGTAAGGTAAGCTGAACGGCGGGCAAAGCGGTGACGGCGATGAACTGACGCAATGGTACAGAGAAGTGTGATATATATGGCCGACGGATCTGGCGGGTGATGCAACGGCTATGATGGAGCTATGATAGGAGACCCAGCAACAAATTCCTTGGCTTCATCGTCCCTTTCAGTCAATCAATTCGCGTGGATGGGGTAAACTGCAAAAAAATATATAGTTTAGGGGGGTTTTTTGCACATACCCCAATAGTTCAGGGGGGTTTTTTGCAACTTTTATAGTTTAGGGGGGTTTCTTGCACATACCCCAATAGTTCAGGGGGGTTTTTTGCAACTTTTATAATTCAGGAGGGTTTCTTGCACATACCCCAATAGTTCAGGGGGGTTTAATGCACTTTACCCTTTTTTTTTTTTTTTTTTTTTTTTTTTTTTTTTATATGTGAAGTTGCAGGGGGGTATGAAATGGGTTTGGGTACGAAAATGAGTTTGTGGGTTGTGTGTTTTTTAATGTGTGAAGTTGCAATGATGGGGCTAAAAATGAAAATCGAAGACGAGATTTGATGGTTCAAGCATCGCGACCAGGGATTTGATGGTTCAAGCATCGCGACCAGCGGTGGTTGTTGGGGGTGATGAGTCTGATGACGATTTTGGCATTTACAAACAGTGTATGTGTGTGTGTGTATATATATATATATTAAGGTTATATAATTTTGTATTAAAAAATTTGAGGATAAAATGGTCAATTTGCATATGTTAGAGGCCAAAAAGTAAATTGGGGTGTAAGTGAATGTTAAAACCAAAATCTCCATCTAGCTGAAATATGGCCTAATCTTATGAGGTGTCTGTGTAATTTACTCCAAAATGAATTGTTTAAATAAAAATATTAAGTAGAAAATTTTAAAACATTTCAAGTAAGTTTTTTAAATTTTATGAATATATTGCATGAAAAATGTATTTTTTATTTAAGTAATTTATTGATTTTTTTATGAATATATTGTATAAAAAAAGGTAATTTTTATGGTAAAAAAAGTTTAAACCAACTATAATAAATTTTATTATAAATAGTAAATATTTAATAATAAGTTAATCATTTTAAAAAATGATTGTTACAACTGTATTATTATTTTTTTCTATTTTATGATAAATTGCTACTAATAATAAAATTTAGGTAAATTGAATAATTAAAATTTAGATAAGAGATAATATAATAAAAATAATTTAATATGAAAAGATAAATTTAATGAAAAAGAAGAAAATAATATTTTGTGATGGGTTTATCCTTAATGTGACAAATCATTAGTTATGGGACAATTTGTAATTTAGGAGATGAACTTGGATCCTCTCTAGTCTACCAAGGGTGTCAATTTGGACGGAATTGGATTGGATATGATTTTCTGTGTATGTATAAAAACATTATTGATAATAATGTAAAAAGAGTCTAGAAAACATCAGAGTTCATTTACAAATTACAATTAGCATATTAAAAAACAAATGTTATACTGTGATCTCTAAAAATTAATGTTTCTTGTTAACATTTAACATACCAAGAGATAAGGGTTATCCATTATATATAATATTATTAAGGTAATTGCGCCGACATATTTGACATACAGCTTTGCAACTTGCAAAATAATTGTTATATTTTAAAATTTTTTTTTGTGTAAAATATACACAGTTACATAAGAATTGTAATTTTTTTCCATCTCCAGTAGTCTGTTAATATACACGACCACATTACTAGAGTGTAACCCTTTTACACAGTCACGTAATAATATTTTATCTCTCTTTCCCCTTTCGCACCCGCGTTTCTCTTTCTTCTCTCTTAATTCTTTCACGTCTCTTTGTTTCCCACTTTTCTAGAGCACCATAGAGAAGAATCTGCAACGGGCAGTTTGTTTCCCACTTTTCTAGAGCACCATAGAGAAGAATCTGCAACGGGCAGTAAGGTAAGAATTGCTTAAACATCTTTTATTTATTTATTTATTTTTAATAAACATAGTTTGATTAGCCACTTTGTTTGATTTTATCTTCGGTAATCATCGCCATAAATTATAGGGTTTTTTTAGTTTTTAGATATATATTTTAATCACGTTTTATATAATTATTGTCAATCGCAGTTATACAAATTATTTTCTTTTTTCTTTCTTGGTGATTTAGTCAATTAAACCCTAAATCGTATGGGTATGACATATAGGTTATTTTATTATTTATTATTAAGTCAAAATTATGGTGGAAAAGTTCTCTTTTGGCGGGATGAGAAAGTGAAATATAGAGGGAAATTATTATTATTTTCCTAATTGAGGAAGATTTGGACGTGAGGTTTAATCGCCAAAAAGTACAGTGAATCAAGTAGGTTTGTAAAAGTTATGTTGGGCCTTGGGTATGACACGTGGTGGGTTATTATTGGAGGATATTTTTTTACACAAAAGATATAAAATAACCGTTTGAGCTAAACATAGGTAGTACAAATTTTTTGTGTAAATTTACTCTGATGCTCTTAGGCGCTAGGCCTCCAAAATTTCCCAAAAATATATTGGCCATGTTTTTCCTTAGATTTATGGTCTAGAGAAAAATGGAGAAAAACAGTGAGAAAAAGTAAATAAACAATTTTTGAAAATCTTTCTAGTATGGTGAATCAAAATTAGATGAAGACTTTACAAGGTATAAGTCATACAAGTGGAATTTGTCCCATTTGAATGAGAAATGTAATAAATATAAGGGTAAAGTACAGTAACACCCCTTGAGGTTTGGCAAAAAGACACTTAGAGGAAACTTACTTATTTTTTGGACAAAGATACCACCTGAAGGTTAAAAAATGGACAAAGACACCCCTTTACATGAAAAATTGACCAAATTACCCTTTGACAATTTATGAGACTTTTTTAATTTTGCAATTTAATAAATTAGACCAATTTACTCTCATGACTAATTTTTGCATAAAAAAAGAGTAAAAAAAACCTTTATATTGTTCACTTTTTTTTTTTTGTTAATTACTTTATAAATGTTCCAATTTCTTAAAAATGTAGACGTCTAAAATGATTTTTTGATTCAATACATATATTTCAAATAAATTATATTTTGTTACTACTTTTTTTCTTTTTCTTTTTTATTTTTAAATTAATATGCTCAATTATTTCATCTAAAAAAATTAAACCAATCTTTTTTCCTTAAAAATAAAAAATAGGGTACCAGTATAACTTTATGCATTTCCCAGCATAAAAGAAAATAGGTACCAATATAACTTTATGCATGCCTTTGTTTTATTATTATTTTTCCCTTTGTTTTATTATTATTATTATTATTTTTATGTTAGGAAATGCATAATATTTGATATATAATTTAAGATGCATAAAGTTATACTGGTACCATATTTTTTATTTTTAAGGAAAATAGATTGGTTTAATTTTTTTAGATGAAAAAATTAAGCATCTTAATTTAAAAATAAAAAAGAAAAAGAAAATCATTTTAGACGTCTACATCTTTAAGAAGTTGGGGCATTTATAAACTAAATAACGAAAAAAAAAGAAAGTTGAACAATATAATTTTTTTTTTTGTTACTTTTTTTTTTATGCATAAATTGTTCACGAGGGTAGATTGGTCAAATTTATTAAATTGTAAAGTTAAAAAAGCCTCCTAAACAGTTAAAGGGTAATTTGGTCAATTTCTCATGTAAATGGGGTGTCTTTGTCCATTTTTGAACCTTCAGAGGGTGTCTTTGTTCAAAAATTAAGTAAATTTTATCTGAGTGTTCTTTTGTCAAACCTTAAAAGGGTATGACTGTACTTTACCCTAATTATAAATAGTTAGTGTTAACCTACTTAACATGGATTGAGAAACATCTTACCTTCTTTGAACATTGAATACCAAAAATAAACTAACCAGTAAGAATTTGGAGGTAATAACACAAATTACTATTATTCATTTCTTTTATCTCCTTTATTCTATTCAAACAAAATACTAACTTTTTCTTTTCTTTCTTTTGTTAATATAAATTATTCTCTTATAACAAATACAGTATTATCCTTTCTTTTAAGGCAATACAACCACCCTTTCTTTTTCTTTTTTTTTTTCTTTTTTTTTTTTTTTTGGCTTGTTCTTCAAACAATCCCACAGCGCGTCTTCGAATAAAGGTTTTCACACAAACCAATGCGACATAAAAAATTAGCTTTTCTCAGATCTACCCACCACCCTCCTATAAATTTACCCAAACATCTTCTCCCCAACCTCGCACATCTCCTCTCTCTCTCTCTCTCTCTCTCTGAGAACCAGTCCCAGACCTCCCCTGTTCTTCTACCCTATCCTAAAGGTACGCTTTATCTCACGTCTCTCCGTCACTTACAGCCCACATTTCTCGCACATTTACTTGTATTAGAAACGTAAATCTCGCCCCATTAATTGTTATCTTATTTTCCTTGTTAATCTCTCTTCATTTTTTTTTCTTTCAAAGTTTGTATAAAATTAATTTGTACTTCGTATGCTCTTTAAGCTTGCATCAAAAGTTTGATATTTCCAATTAGATCTACTTGTGAGTAGTGGGTTTAGTTTTAATTTCATTCATTCACATGGGTTATTTTATTTCACACTAAGTACACGTACACAGGATGTGGTGTTTTCCTGTTACTGCTTCATTGTTTTCCTATATATCTATATATTCAAATGTAGATATTCTATCCTTATATGTATATGTATGAATATGTTAGATCTAGTGTTCTGGGGTGTTGGAATTTGTAGATTTGGTCTTGAATCTTTGCTTGTTGAACTACATCTGATTTGGAAGTGGCTTTTGAGAGTTATGGATTCAGTTAGATCTGTGGGCATCTCGTGTCTTCCTTTTTTAGTACACCTGCTCTGTTTTTGCATTTTATTTCATGTTTAGATCTAATCATTGGTTCTGTCAACTAAACTTGTTCATTTGATTTGTATATGTATCCTTGTCTCATCGTTTCATTGATAAGTAAGTCTCAATTAGGTGCTATACGCCTTTAGTTATAGTGTATTATTATTTTTTATTTCAATCCGCAATGCATTACTTAAGCCCCCACATGGTTAGCTTTTGGAATACTTTTTTTTTTTTTTTTTAATGTTTTTCAAAAGGTAAATTTGATTTGGTTTTCGTCAAAATGACAAACTAATAACATATTTGATCCTAAAGTTTGAATCTTTAGGACCCATCATTTTTATTTTGTCTAATTCTTTGTTAGGTAATGCTCTCACACACACACTCAATCTCACAAGTGCCCTACGTGGGACTCGAACCCTGACCTCCTCCTCAGGGTGAAGAGGTTATTCCATCTGGATCAATGGATTGGTGGTCTTTAGGAATTGTAGAATTTCTTGTAATCTAAATATTTGTCCTTTTCAAAATTCTTTTACATTGAGTATGGCTATGCTTGTTGAATTTAGTTCTTACGTGTGCTATATACGTGGATCTATACATCGATCTGTTACTTACTCAATTGTGCATATATATAATACTTATATACACACTACACGCATAAATTTTTTTGTGTGTTTTGTGTTCTTTGACAATTAGTTGCTTGAATAAAGGCAACTGAATTTTGGTTGATCTGGTGTACCAGAACAATGGCTTCTCACATTGTTGGATATCCTCGTATGGGCCCAAAGAGAGAGCTCAAGTTTGCTTTGGAGTCTTTCTGGGATGGGAAAAGCACCGCTGATGATTTGCAAAAGGTGGCGGCTGATCTTAGGTCGTCCATCTGGAAACAGATGGCTGATGCTGGCATCAAGTATATTCCCAGCAACACATTCTCTTACTATGATCAGGTGCTTGATACAACTGCAATGCTCGGGGCTGTTCCCCCTAGATATGGTTGGACCGGTGGTGAGATTGGATTTGACACTTACTTCTCCATGGCTAGAGGAAATGCCTCTCTACCTGCTATGGAAATGACCAAGTGGTTTGACACCAACTAGTAAGTGATGAATCTATCCTCATAACATACTGTCACTATTTTGATACTGGCATTTGTGTACTGATGAATTATGGTATATGAAATGATCCAGTCATTTTATTGTCCCCGAATTGGGACCTGATGTGAAGTTTTCATATGCTTCTCACAAGGCTGTAAACGAATACAAGGAGGCTAAGGCGGTATGTTCTTTTGAACATTTATCTTTCCTTTATGTTTATCTATGTGTTTGTATTAGTAACCAAGCAGTTAGGTAACTGATGAATGTGTTTGGTCTATTCATTAAGATAAGCGACATAATAGTAGAGTTAATGTGGTGCAGTGTTTTATTTTGGGTTAGACACCCATTTTTGTCTGGGCCAAAGTTAGAAAAGATAGTAGAAAATGAAATGATTTGTGTGATCTTATGAAAAATTGAAATACTTTATAGTAGCTCAAAATTTATGTGATGTGTAATCTTCAATGAAATTTTAAATTTTGGACCTATAGATCTGCCATTGAAGCATTTCACTGCATTCTTGCCATATTGTTGATATAATAGTGTGGTGGTTGAAGGGCTTTATTTAAGAAATGGTTTATTTGTGGATTACCATGATTACTATTGCCATATACCCAAAGCTTAACATTATCTTTTAGCTTCTGTCTGCAGAGTTTTAATAACAGTTAGTACATTGTGACAGTGTTCTTTTTCCACTCTATCTGTAGATGGGGGGTATTGGCAGGCTGTGGGGTGTGTCTTTGGTTTCCAAATTGTATCAGTGACATTTAAGGCTTCTAAATAACATGTCCTTTTCCCTTGCTGATATTATTATACTTTATTTATGCTGATCATCAAATCTCTTAGTAAGTATCTGATCTTGACTCTCTTCTTTCATGCAGCTTGGAGTGGATACTGTTCCAGTTCTTGTTGGCCCTATCTCCTACTTATTGTTATCTAAACCTGCAAAGGGTGTTGCAAAATCGTTCTCTCTTCTCACCCTTTTAGAAAAAATCCTTCCAATCTACAAGTAAGGAATTGAACTTTTCTTTTGGTACCATCAGTGAGTTTTTTCATATATTCATTCACGTGATGTCTCAATTTGCTATTATAATAAATTCCAGGGAAGTTGTGTCCGAGTTAAAGGCAGCTGGTGCATCATGGATTCAATTTGATGAGCCTACCCTCGTGAAGGATCTTGAGTCTCACCAATTGCAAGCATTTACTAATGCCTACTCTGAGCTAGAATCATCTCTATCTGGCCTGAATGTTCTCATTGAGACATACTTTGCTGATGTTCCTGCTGAGGCATACAAAACGCTGACTGCTCTGAAGGGTGTCACTGGGTTTGGTTTTGATTTTATTCGTGGATCAAAGACTCTTGATTTGATCAAGGGTGGATTCCCTTCAGGCAAATATCTCTTTGCTGGTGTTGTTGATGGAAGAAACATCTGGGCAAATGATCTTGCTGCATCCATCAGCACTCTAGAGTCTCTTGAGGGCATTGTGGGAAAAGGTATTATTGTTCGCATGATTTGTTGCATGGGTTTATAATTTTAATCCCCGCAGATAATTTAGTTTATTTATAATTCTGTCTTACAGACAAGCTTGTGGTCTCCACGTCGTGCTCGCTTCTCCACACTGCCGTAGATCTAGTTAATGAGACTAAGCTGGACAACGAACTGAAATCATGGCTTGCATTTGCTGCTCAAAAAGTTGTTGAAGTGAATGCCCTTGCAAAAACATTGGCTGGTCACAAAGATGAGGTATGGTTTTCTTATTCGTCCATATCAACATGGAAGATGGCAGCAATACTGATCCATGAGCTTTCTTTGTATTTTGTGCTTTTGATTATGGATTGGATCACTCACTGTTGTTGGTTCATTTTCAGGCATTCTTCTCTGCTAATGCCGCAGCTCAGGCTTCAAGAAAATCCTCTCCAAGGGTGACCAATGAGGCTGTTCAAAAGGCTGTAAGTGATTGACTCAGTTCCCATTCTTTAGTCTGTCAATTGACTACGCTGCAGAAATCATTTCATCACCAAGTACTCACTCCTCTTTTTTTTTTTTGGTTTCTCAGGCTGCTGCTTTGAAGAATTCTGACCACCGTCGTGCTACAAATGTTAGCGCCAGACTGGATGCTCAGCAGAAAAAGCTTAACCTTCCAATCTTGCCAACCACCACCATTGGATCTTTCCCTCAAACAATAGAACTCAGAAGAGTTCGCCGTGAATTCAAGGCTAAAAAGTGAGTCATTCCAACCGATTTTCCTGGTGTTTTGCCCTATTTTGTTTCTCTGCCCCTGTTCTGATAGTGTTGTTCTCCCTAGGATATCTGAGGAAGATTACGTCAAGGCCATAGAGGAGGAAATCAACAAAGTTGTCAAGCTCCAGGAGGAGCTTGATATTGATGTCCTGGTTCATGGAGAGCCTGAGGTAATTTTTTGATTTATGCACCTGCTAGTGGAGTAAAAGCAGTAAGATATAACCCCTTGTTTCTTGAGGTTAATAAATACCACACATTTAGATTCCAATCATTCCATGAATTCTTTATTTGCGGAAGGAGCCATGTTTTCTAACTATTGTGGTTTGTTTTCTTTTTAGAGGAATGATATGGTTGAGTACTTCGGCGAGCAGTTGTCTGGTTTTGCCTTCACTGTCAATGGATGGGTTCAATCTTATGGATCTCGTTGTGTGAAGCCACCTATCATCTATGGTGATGTGAGCCGTCCGAAGCCAATGACTGTCTTCTGGTCTTCTATGGCTCAGAGCATGACTGCCCGCCCTATGAAGGGAATGCTTACTGGTCCCGTGACAATTCTTAACTGGTCCTTTGTCCGCAATGACCAACCCAGGTATTTAAAAACCCTGCAAAAGATGGGGTAAAAATCACAGAAAGGAAATCATTTTCATCCGTTGATCTTTCTGATATTATCAACTTTTAAATAATTGTTATCTGTATCCCCAGATTCGAAACTTGCTACCAGATTGCATTGGCCATCAAGGATGAAGTGGAGGATCTTGAGAAAGCTGGCATTAATGTCATCCAAATCGATGAGGCTGCTTTGAGAGAAGGCTTGCCTCTTAGAAAGTCAGAGGAAGCTTTCTACCTGGACTGGGCTGTCCACTCCTTCAGGATCACCAACTGCGGTGTCAAAGACACCACCCAGGTTTTGCTCTCCACCATTCACTCCCATTTTTCATGTCTGGACTTGGGTTATTTGTTTTTTATTCCCATTTCAGTTATCAATTTTCTGTCAATGGTGCTGATCTCTCATCTCTCGATAACTGACAGATCCACACCCACATGTGCTACTCCAACTTCAACGACATTATCCACTCAATCATTGACATGGATGCTGATGTAATCACTATTGAGAACTCACGTTCTGATGAGAAGCTCCTCTCAGTCTTCCGTGAGGGAGTGAAGTACGGTGCAGGCATTGGTCCTGGTGTCTACGACATACATTCCCCCAGAATACCTTCAACAGAGGAGATTGCTGACAGAATCAACAAGATGCTTGCAGTGCTCGAAACCAACATCTTGTGGGTTAACCCTGACTGTGGGCTAAAGACTCGCAAATACACTGAAGTGAAGCCAGCCCTTCAAAACATGGTTGCTGCTGCCAAGCTCCTCCGCACCCAGCTTGCCAGTGCCAGGTGATCGATTTTAGAGACGAAAACCGGGAATTCAGATTCACAGAATCGATTATTTCCCATTAAAACTGCATAAAAGGAAAATCCTCTATATTGATTTAATAATTGCATTCCATGATGAAATTTGCAGTAGTTTTAGTCTGCCCCATGGGCATTTTGTTTTCTCTCTCATTGTTTTCTGGTTTTTTTTTTTTTTGGAAATTTGTTTTCTGGATTTTTATTTTACACATATTGTGTGTTCTAGGGCTTTTTGCCCTCAATTTGTGCAAAAGGCACCAAATTGATTACTGTACCTCTATGGATGGAAAATTGAAGAAACTGTGTACTGATCCGATGTGTCGTATATCTTTGCCATCTCTTAATTAATATCTATGGTGTTGTTTCACCCAATTATGTCGACGAATGTTCATTTCACTTTTTTGGTTACATTTTACATGTTTTTTTAAAAATCCAATCTCTTATTCAAATAAGGCAAAGGAGCAAAAAAAAATACACCCTTAAATTATACCATTGTTGTATAATGCTCCCTTAAATTATTTTTTGGAGCAACTCAGTTGTTGTATAATGCTCCCTTAAACTATTCTTTGGAGCAACTCAGTCATTTAGAAACGTTGCATATTGCCCCCTTGACCACATTTTCCAGCCACCAGAGTTTAATTTCTGACAAGCCAAGGGACACAATTATTAATTTATCCCTTACTTATTAATTTATTATAAAATTATAAAATATTATCGGTGTAAAATTCCGATAATGCCCTCAAATTTTCATATTTTTCTTCGTGTCTCTCTAGAGGTTTCTCTTTACTCTCTCTCTAATCAAGATGTGCAGGAGAATGGGTACTCTCAATGATGGGAACATCCTTTGTAAAGTTCAAACATAATTGCTTCCCAAACAATTTGCCCTCTCAGATCAAATGCTTCCTAGATGGAAATCAGAGGTAAATGAATCCGAAGATAAATTCCGTCTGAAATTGATCAACAACAATGAAGCTCAAGGCTCTAAACTCAATCACAGGTAAATAAAATAAAATAAAATCTCTATATCACTTACAAAAATTTCACAACATTCCATATCTACTTTTCCTTTCCAGACGTACTATTGCACTCAATCATTAAGTTCGCTCACATGTATCTGTGTTTTACAAAGGATGTCGAACTTTACAATTTATTATTTCTGCAAGTGACCATCACTCCATGAGTGAGTACCCATTCTCCTACATATCTAGATTAGAGAGAGAGAGAGAGAAAAGAGAAACCTGTAGAGAGAGAGAGGAGAGAACCCATTTGGCCGCCATTGATGAAGCTATTCGGTAACAAATGTTTTGTCATCAATGAGAGCCGCAACAGGAAGACAATTAAAACAGTCAGTGAAGGCGTTCCATAATTTCACATTAAACCGGCGCTTACATTCATCATAAAATCATAAATGCGATTAATAGAAGCAACTTCATGGTTCCCTCTGAGAAGAAAAAAGTTCTCTGGATATTTAATTTTATAGGCAAGCAAGAAACATATTGTTTCCAAACTCTGCTTGCCACGATCTATATAATCGCCTAGAAATAGATAATTAGCTTGAGGAGGAAAACTCCCATATTCAAAAAGGCTTAATAGATCACTGTATCGCCCATGAATGTCACCATAAACGCGATTAATAGAAGCAAATGGTTTTCGGCTCAAGAGAGGATCTGCCAAAAGGAAGATTTTTCATTCAAAGATTCAATCTTTAAATTAAAAAGGTCTAGTGACATAATAGGTACGGCTCAAGAGAGGATCTGCCAAAAGGAAGATGATGAAGAAAAACATAAAAATCTGAGGGCATTATCGGAATTTTACACTCATAATATATTATAGTTTATAGCATATTAATCAATAAGGGATAAATTAGTAATTGTGTTCCTCTGTTGGTCAGAAATTAGCTTCTGGTGGCTGGAAAGTGTTGTCAAGGGGGCAACGTGCAATGTTTCTATAGTTAAAGGGCTAAGTTGCTTCAAAAAATAATTCAGAGGGGCATTATGTAACAATGGTATAGTTTAAGGGTAGATACTTGCTATGACGAAAAAATTAGATAGTGATTGCACATTTGAAATTATTCCTTAAATTTAGGGTAAATTGTATTGACACTCCTTGAAATTTTTGGTTAACGTTATTAAGTGGACCATCAATGATACTTTTTTACATTGACATTGCATGTGGTTTCAAAAATGTGCGTTGATATCCCTCCAAACTTTTGAAATCATATGAAATTATCTTTTAACCCATTGACTTGTCAGCAATTCTATTTAAATTATAAAATTATAAAATTAACCTCCTAACTAAATTTAATGAACCAAACAAACATCTTCATCTCTTCTATACATTATGTTCTATACATATAGATATAGTTTATAGATCCTTGATCTCTTACTCCCCATGGAGCAAGAAAATTAATCCACACTTTCTATATAAACCGTTAGATTAAATTTAACGATCATTTTTCAAACCCACTTATGGCCTTCCCTTTTAACTGAAAACTATTCTCACCCTATTTTTAGTTTCTATATTTAATTTTACCATTACCACTTACTGTAACAATAAAAGGTAATTATCAACTTTCTTTCTATTTCTTTCGTGCATGGTTGAATTTGAATCCATGGACAAAAGTGATAAATGATTTCTTTTCATGGATAAGGTTGTGGAAAAAGCTTCATCCATTTTTTTTTAGGTTACCTTGTTGTTTGTGAGGTGGATTCTACAGTCCCATAGCCAGTACATCATCATCATCCAATAATCAAACTCACAAATTCACAGATTCAATAATGAATTTCATCAAATGCCCAACTTCAAATTGAAATAGAAAGAATTTTTGTTCAAACTTTAAATGAAATTTTCTTCAATTTCAATTCTAATTAATCATTTCGATATTCCAAAATGTAATATTACAATATATTTGTTGATAAATTTACTTACACTAGAGAAGTATATTATAGTTGCAAAATTGATGTTTCTTAGGAAAATGCTATAATATCATACTGTTGTTGGAAAATTGATATTTCTTAGAAAAATGCTATAATATCATACTGTTGTTGCAAAATTGAAAGATACAGGTATTGTTTTTCTTTCAAAGAAACGTATAAATAAAAACAAATTTTTAGTGAAATATACTGGAATTATTTTGTTCAGAGGTTACCTTTTATTGTTATAATAAATGGTAATGGTAAAATTAAATATAGAAACTAAAAATAGAATGAGAGTGGTTTTGTAGTAAAAGCAAAGGGCATAGGTGGATTTGAAAAATGACCATTAGATTTAATCTAACGGTCTATATTAAAAGTGTGGATTAATTTTCTTACTCCATAGGGAGCAAGCCATCAGGACTCATAGTTTATATATAATAATACTTATACCACTACAATCACCACCACAACATAAAAAAAAATATATATACAAAAAAAAAATTAATTGTTTTTGAAATAGCCAAATGACTTGTAATTGAAAACAGCTATGACCAACCCATACTTATATGTTCAAACGCCACCAAAACTACCACCACACCAAGACAACTCTATCAACATACTTAGACGCTACCAGAACCACCACCACCATAATAGAAAAAACAAAAACAAAAATTTTAAAACACCCTGATAACCTAGATACCACAACAACCATACCCAAACCATACCACAACAAGCACCATCTAGAAAAAAAAATTTAAAAACAACCACGGCCAGCCCAGACCCACAACAATAAAAAAAAAAATAGTTATGTTCGAGAAAAAAAAAATAGAGAGTTAAAGATTAGGGTAGAGAAATAGGTTTAATGATTATCGTAGTTTTGTCAATTAACATGACTGATATTTTGTAAATTAATTGAATTAAATAATTAGAGACAGATGTGACATTTGAAATTATAGGAGATGTCATTGTTAAAAAAATCCTTGATCTGCATCGAAGTGATATTGGCTGAAACCGCATGGGATATTAATGCAATTTACCAAATCAGAAGACATTCATAAATTGATTTTTTAATAAAGTTCGGAATAGTTGAAAAAAAAAAAAAAAGATCAGTAATAATACATAAGGGCCTGTTTGAGGTGCTTAAAAAGAAGGATATAAAGCGGACCTGTTGCTGACTCCACCAAGCCTCAGAAAGAATCCATTCTAAATTCCAAGCTTAGAAACGAAGTCATCTTTAATCTCTGTTGTAGTATTAATTACTTGTAACGGCTTACTATTTCTTACCAAAGTCCGCCAAATTTCTCTAATCTCTCTCTCTACAAATGTAAATCCCCTACTGTTGCAGCCAATCCCTCCTCCTATTTTCTCTCTCTGAACGATTAGATCTCTTTTCTCTCTCTCGATTTGTTGAAGATGTACAAATCGAAGCTTCAAGAGCTGTGTCATCAGCAATCATGGAACTTCCCAGAGTATTCGGCTTCGAAAATTGGCCTCGATCACAACCCTCGCTTCAAAGCTACAGTCACCGTAAACGGCATCGTCTTTGAGACTCCCGATCAATGCCGATCCTCCAAGGAAGCTCAGAACAGAGCCGCTGAGTTGGCTTTTCATCATTTCACCGCCCCCAAACCTCTACAGAACTCACCAAATAAACCGCTCTGCAATGCCTCAATTCCTTCATCTTCTGGTACATTAAACATTCTCTCTCCCTCTCTATATATATGGAATCTATATGCGTGTGTTTATGATATCATAGTATTGTCAGTAATCTGTTACGTTTTACTGTTTAATGAAGTAGATTGTTAAGAGTAAAGTAAAAACCCTAGGAATTTTTATTATATATGTTTTTCAGCTACCTATGATTCTTTTACTTTGTTGTTGGCTTTAGTAAATTGAAATTATGTTACGCATATATATATATATATATATATATATATATATGCATGTATATATATAGTATAGAGATTTATTTGGTGTGTTCTATAGAGTTTTGGGGTGGTGAAATGACGAAAAGTTTTCTCAGCGGTTCTGTTCAGAGCTTCCTTGGAGGATCAGCATGTTAGGGACATTAACTCCCTCCAAGCCAGTTCGGCATTTGTTGAGAGTTATATCACTCTTTCAACACACACAGTGGAAGCATCGTCATCGCATCAATTATACAAGTGATATATGGAGATAACAATCATGCACATCGACACACAAAATAATATTTTACACGATTATGAATCAAGCAAGAAAATATACAATCAGATGTCTAAACCCCACTCGCTCTCACTCAATCTCTTTTGAGGCTACATTTATACACTCGGGAATTACATCTCCTTGTGCTTACAACACTCACTCTTAAATCCTTTACATATTTTCTCCCTTCTCTCTCTCTAAACCTCTCACACTCACCTCTATTTATAGAGTCTTCAAACCCGATTTCTTGTTGGACAAGTATTTCCCAACTTGCCTACGAGGAGTTACCATATCATTCTTCAACGTCTTTTGAGTTCCACGTCCAACTTGTTCAACTTTTCTTGAACTAATTCAATTGGGGTTACAATCATGTCCAAATGGTTCAAGAAAAAGTTGAACTGGTTCCAAATAACTTGAACCTGTTCACTTCTCCCAGAACACTACTTGGACACCGAATTCGAGCCACAAAACCCAACAATCTCCACCTTGGCTTGAATTCGGTCTTCACGTGCTCCTCCATAGCTCCACCTTGAACAAAGATCTCTTCATAGCTCCACCTCAATCGAAGATTTCTCCATCTCAAACAAAACCACATGATGAAATTGAGAAACTCTTTAACAGATCATTGATCAGGTGTCTCAAAAGACTATGCTGTTTACAGTGACACTGGCTGTAAAGTGGGGTTGTGATTGGGGCCAATTTTCAATACCGAGTACTCTGGTATGCTCCATGATTGCTGATGACATAGATCTTGAAGCTTTGATTTGTACATCTTCGGGAAATATATAGAGAGAAAAGAGGTTTAATTGTTTATGAGGTGGGATTGGCTGCAACAGGGGAGAGGGGTTAAGCTGGGGTGGTCCAGTGGTAACAGCTCCAGCTATATAGTCTCATAGTGCGGGTTCGAATTTTAGAGCAACAAGTTTATGCATAATAGTGCTAAAGGTTAGTTTTGTGTTCAGTCCATCCTTCTAGGCATCCTACATATACGATACTATCATTTTGAGTGATACTGTTTTAATGAGTAGTCGCTCTAGGTGTCCCAAAACCCCAATCCTTTTTAGCATCCTCATCATTTCTTCTAAGTAGCAGAACTTAATTCTTGTAATTACAATTAAAGGAAAATAATTCTATGTTTTTTGAATTGTAGTATTATTGCTGCGAGTGCAGTTGGAATTATGTATTAATTTACATAATTAAATTATATTTTCTTCTGCGATTAGCCAACCATATATATTATATACAACATCATGTGTGTTTTATTAGGTTAGTTTTATAGCTATGAAGCACCGACACAGCTCCAAGGACATACGTACCAGTGTCGGACGCGTGTCTAAGGCTTGGACACGTGTCCAACACGCTCTAACCGTGTCCTGAATTTTTTAATATATTAGATGCTGCCGGACACCGATTGGACACGGCCGGATACCGATCGGACACGCGTAATCTGATTCCCATGTATCGATTCTCATCTCTTTTGCCTGAAGTAGTGAAGGAAGAAGATGAAGAGAGCGAGAGGAAGAAGTTGAGAAGAGAGGAGGAAGTTGAGAAGGGAGAACATGGTATCATATATATATATATATATATATATATATATATATATATAAGTCTGTGTATCTATAGATGTAAAAATTGTGAAGGCAGAGAGAAGTAAGAGAATGACCGGAAACGATGGGGGCACCAAGCGTAAAATTGATTTTGTTTTTGTGCATAGATCTCAAATTGTGAAGAAGATAGAGGAGGATCAGGGAGAATGGCCGGTGAGCAGAGACGTGGGTCAGTAATTGGGGAGAGAAAGAGGGGGTTAGGTAAGATAAGATTCCATCTTATCTTGTTATTATATATATATATATATATTTCATTTTATAAATAGAACTCTATATATATCTTTTTTTTTTTTTTTTTTGTTTTTTTGTTTTTAATGGAATATGTACTATTGACTTTATTTTTTTGAAAGAAAAAGATGGTTGGGCTTAATAAATGAATTGTATTTATTAAAATATATAAGAAATTAAGTAAAAGTGAATATTTTTATATATGTAATAAAAATTATATTATTATTTTATTGCCGTATCCTTGCCGTGTCTGTGTCCTATTTTTTTGAAATTTGCCGTATCGCAGTATCCGTGTCGTATCGTACCCGTGTCCCATGTCTGTGCTTCATAGTTTTATAGTAATACTTCTCTTCTCCAATGTTTATGAAGTGCTGTTAGGATAATGCTTGTGGGTTAATGCAGAGAAAGGGAACGAAATGTGATGCTTATATGAATGATTCCAAAATTATTGCTCACAAAAAGTTTACATTGTTTTCATCAGATTCTCATACTTTTGTGCAGGATTTGCAAATTCATTGGAAGTCAAAAATGAAGCTCCATTGGAGGTAAAAAATGGTAAGAAGTCTATAGGATAGAAAAAAGTTCTATTACATATTTTCTTCTTATTGAGTACTTTGCGTCGCAGGTTTTCACATGATTGTGATTCATTTTTTTTCGTTTCGGGTGCACCTGATAGGATGATACAATTCATTATACATTTTTTTCACTTTTTACCTATACTTATTGTTAAGGAAAAGAACACATAAATATTATAAGATACTAAAAGCAACACATCTATTTTATTCATACACAATGATTTAAATCAATGAATTCATCACCGAATAAGTATGAACATTACATTTCTTTCAATAAAATGTATGTTACATATATGAACAAGAGCATGCAACAATAAATCATAGAATTCAACGTAAAATAATGTCAATAATAAAAAATAATATAATAATAGAAATTAAGAAATGAAAATGACAATAATAAAATAAGTAAGAAAGAATTGGCTTGATGAGGAGGCATGTGTAAACACAGAGAGGAGGCATTGCTGCTAGCTAATTGGGTTATATTTTGGAGTTGACTAGTACCGCCAACACTTGCACGAAGGAAGACTAGGTCTAAGTCTATACATGTCTTGTTGCCTTTAAACTCGTAAAGTAGATAAACTCATACATATGGATACGTATACAAAGAATGTAGAGATAGAGTGAAAGAGCATGGTAGGAGTATATCTCTTTATAAAATTAGATCAATACACAACAACCTTTCAAGATAGTAGTAGATGCTTCATATGTATATATAGGATAGATACATAACGGTTAAGATATAATAATTATAAACATTATTATTGAAATGATATCCACCATAAATATAATTTAATTAGTGAAATAAAATTCACATTAAATCAGAATTAATATAATTTTAATTATAATTCTATTAAAAAATATTATTAACAGTCCCCACCTATTTTAATAAAAATAAGTAAATATAATTGGACAACTTTATATTATGCAATCGGTGTAGGTGCCTTCTGGGCTTGAACCTACACTTAGTGTTAATAGTCTCCATTTGAGGAAACCTGGGTGCTCGGCCCCTTGAGCCAAACTTCAACATATCAGACACATACTATTGATGAGCCAAACTTCAACATATCAGACACATACTATTGATGATAAACTTGGTTTGGCGGGTTACCGCGATTAATGGCATGCTCTGGTTGTGCCTTAGAGCTTTGATGAGAATTAAGATACCACCCTAGTATTTCACTTAGGTAAATCGTCCAAGGGTATATGTGATCGATACCCTGTGAGAGTATGCTCACCTTGGACTTATTCAGGGTAGAAACCTTTTTTAACTTCACATCTGTAACAACCGTGATTTTTAAGACTCGTATTTGTTAACTTGTGTTATATATATATAAGAAGATAAAGCTACGATAAGGATGGAGATAGCAAAGCTATCATTTAGTTTATTTTGAAATTTAAAGAGTTCTTATTGAACTCAACCACTAGATATATATCTAGACTTAGTTGTATTTAGTTTTTACCAACGTTGTTATCCCGAGTATTTTTACACGTTTGTTGCTGTGAAGCGAAGAAAAGCTCAAGTTGTGATCGCAATTGCAGGCAAATTAATTCTTGCTTGTAACTCTGTATTTATTTATATCTTAATTGTTAGATTATTATCTATGATTTAACTATAGAACTCATGATAATTATTTTTAATTAGACATATATATGGAGATTACACATGGAGTTACTGATGTATTAGAATTCGATTATATTTCAGTTGATAGTTAATATACATATGAATTAGAATGATTTATTTTTATCGAGGTATTGGTGTTTTTCTTGTTCCGATTATGGGTATATCAAAAGAATTGGTTATGGAATCTCTCAACTTTCATGTATATAAGAGAATGCCAGTGTATGATTTTAGTTGAATTGATTGGTTGATCTGGTATAATTATATAATAGGTACGAATAATGTTATTTGAATTGTCTAGATGTTATACATTAAGATTGGGATGGACCTCTACAGATAGGTATATATGTAACAGATTCTCTATACATATATACATCATTATTGGTGGGATTAATTTAATCTATTGTAGGTCACTACTATGATGTGATTTTATAGAAGCTTCATGATTGTTCTTTCCACTGAACAATCAATGTCTCCTACTGGCCGGGACCAAGTGTCCATACTTCCACTGACAATCAATTCAGAAGTCAGAATCAAAGGGTTCTAAAACAAGAACATCCTTGCATGCTTCATGCCAGAAGAATGCTACAATTTGTCCGTACTTTTGTCTCTCAGACTGGCCTCTATTTGCATCTTGGAGATATATATATATATATATATATATATAGATTTACCTATGTCAGTAGGTGTAGAAAAAGCTCAAGAAATGCAAGTGATTTACTAATGGGTTGAATGTATGTAATGATGGGTACATGATTAATTGGAGTAATGAATGAATTAGATTTAGACTAAGGATGAAGGTGGTGGTTGGTAGTAAATGGGTTTTGAGGTTTTGCATGTCATGAATTAATATAGTCACTGATATATATAACTTTTCTTTAAGCCTATAGTTTATGGTACATTTTGGAGTCATTAGAATTAGATATTTAAGGTGTTTGATAAACTAATGATATTATGAGTAAGAATTATTTAAATGTATTTAGTATTTAATTGAAGTGATTAAACTAGTTGGAGCGGTAGTGTGGGACTTACCCAATGATGAGTTTGTTGAGCGCAGTCAGGGACTGTCTACGAGAATGAATTACTCTTTTGTTATGGCCATTAGGATAAAAGCGCCCTTAGTATGTGGACGTGGTCAGGGGCTATCTGGGCGAGTAGACGTACAATCCAGCCACGTGTGTAGTTGGTAGTCTGGGACTATGCAATTCACACCATTTAATTAGAGTGGAGCTAGGGGCTCATGTGAGATAATGGCAATAGAACGCCAACTGGTTGAGGGGAGCCAGGGGCTCATGTGAGGTAAGTGAAATTTTAGTAATTTAAATTCTAGATGGGTTACAAGTTCACAATTTGAGTTAATGTGATAGAATGACATCATAGTTGGCACAATTGTAGTTGAGTCAATTTAATTATTAGATAGTTTGACGATTTGTAGATATTTCGTGGTTACTTATATATGTACATATATTTAGATTATAAGTAAGGATTGATGCTGAATGATGATAGTGGTTAGCAATTTCTTGTTGAGCTTGTGAGCTCACCTCTTTATCACTTTCACGTGCAAATGGACTTAGCTTGCAAAGGAGGCTCAATGGGAGATGGAGATTTTCCGGATTTTCTACATATTGATTTTATTATTGTTTCGTAGAAAAACATTTTGTAATAAGGTTCAATTAGTTGGGGAAATTCTAATTTGTTGGTGGATGTAATAGATTTCCTTTGGATTGATGGATTTTTAAATAAAATTTATTCTTACTGATTTTAATCATGGATTATTGTAGATGAATGATGTGAGTCACGTACCAGATTTTAGTATAAGATAAGGGTTTTTGTGTTAGAATTTTGGGGCGTGAAAACATCAAAGCACTGATGCCATATGGATGAGCATGACAGAATCTCCTTAAAAAACCTTCTAATAAAAGTGTTGTCAACAAATCATGCAGTGTAGAGTGTTTCTACTCATTGAACCTTTAACGCAGTGTAGATTGTTTCTACCCATTGAACCTTTTTCATGTGATTAAACCACTAATCAAAAGATTGGGTTACCTCCATAGGGCTTAGGTCCATCCCCTTCGACATATTTAGGGCTCTGTCCCTGGAAGACTATTGGTCTTTTCTTTCTTTTTCTTCATAACCTAACTCTTGGGTTTTTATTTTTCTTCTTCTTTTTTCTCCCATTTTAAAATATGTATATATATATTTTCCTACCCAGCGAGAGGATGCCTACATTGGACTCATTTAGGGTGGAACCATTCCTTAACGTCATATACAACACTCTTTTATTTAAGTGTTTTTTTCCCTAACAGTCTAAAGCTGATAGTCCTCCCCTCTGTGCGGGTGTTGGTAGTCCCAGTCAGCTCCAAGATACAATCCAATCAGCTCGCAGCGGTGTCACCATTATGTGCACAACCATAGGAAGACTAGGTCCAAGTCTATATGTGTCTCGTTGCCTATAGACTCATAAAGTAGATAAACTCGTACATATAGATATGCATACAACGAATGTAGAGATGGAGTGAAAGAACATGGTGGGAGTATATTTCCTTATAAAGTTAGATCAATACACAACAACCTCTAAAGATACGTAACGGTTAGGATATAATAATTATAAACATTATTATTGAAATAATATCCACCATAAATATAATTTAATTAGTGAAATAAAATTTACATTAAATCATAATTAATATAATTTTAATTATATTTTTGTTAAAATATTCCCAACACTTGCCACACCTGCTGAGAGAACTACTTTGATATGCAGGAGAAAATTGTTTTGTGGATTTTCCTTTGGGAAACAACTTGTTTTTTCTCCTTTTGGTTATGCCACTGTTGAATGGCAACACCTCATGATTATGGAGAAAAACTTAGTGAGATTATTCTAAAAGTCATTGCATAATTGGTGAAGGGCAAAACTTTCCACCATGCATTGGAGTCCTTCTGTTTTAGTTAATTTACTTCCAGCTTTTCATTCATAATCTTACAATAGCTTATAATCTTAATAAGAATTCCTAATTTCCTAGTAATCATTAAGAAAAAACACATGAAATTCTTATTTATTGCTTCTGCGGGACCAGGTGCGCTGAACTAAGGTTTAAAAAGGTTCCCATCAAGATGTAATTAAATCTATTGTCCCTGGTGGATTCAAACAACTTTTGAAAAGGTTTTACAATTTAAAACATGTTTTATTTGGACCATAATACTTTAATCAAGTTCGAGTTGGTTTAGAATCGGTAACCACATTGGGGACCAAATGCAGTCAAAATTGGACCTAATTGTCTTTCAAGAGTCGTACCCAGTTACTTACATGTAATCTTGTGATGTCTTATATTTCCAATAAGTGGACTTGATAATTTTTGAAAGAGAGGAATAGTAGAATGTTCGAAGGGAAATAATCGTCCTCGGAGATTCTGAAACTCCATATCATACGCTCTCTTTTCAGTTATGTGAAAAGGAAGTCCTATTCCTCTTCCGAAGATTTAATTATATTTTTGGCTTCTTTGGGGCCTTAAACCCTGGTTCCACTTTTGTATAAGGGATGCGTTCCCCTGTTGAACGCCTTTTTTAATTCAATTATTACTTATCAAAAAAAAAAAGTGGACTTGATAATTTTTTCGAGGGGTAAGTGCAGAAAACACCCCTGAAGTATACTTTTCGTAGTACTTTTACTCCTATTTGAAAAAGTGTGCAAGAAACACACCAAATTTTTTGATATTGTGCAAAATTACCCCTCTGTCATAAATCTGACATAAATTAGTGCTGTAATATCCATTGTACCCTTTTATTCTTCCCAAAATGTCCATGCAATCATCCTTTGCCGTCCGTGCTCGTCGTTTCCACCGCTGATTCATCTGCTTCACGTCGGAAATTTCAATATTAGTCACCTGCCTTGTTGCAGTTAAATCTAATTGGCTCAATTTACTCTCCAATAGAAGACTAAATATAAATCTTCTAATAAATGACGAAGAACTATACAGTTACTCAAAACAAAAATACCAAATTCGTTGCAATCAAATATCAATTAATAAAACGCAAAAATATCACTTTTGAAAGGCATTAAACGTATATAGATAACTAAACGCTGTTTCTTGATAGAAACACAAGAAAAGCATTAGAAACCAATTCACGCGTTCCATTAAAACAAAGTTCAAAAACAAAAAAATGCAATATATATATACATATATATAAAAGACCCACATTTCAGGTAACAAAAAAGGAAGTTAAAATTGATTACTGTACAAGGACGAGCCGGCCTAATCCTCCCCAACCCTCTCCTCCGTCTCCAATTTCCCTTCTGTCCTTGGGCATCGTCACGACGAGCTCGCTGTTGGCACTGACAGCGCTGGCCAACTCCGGCCTCGCCGACGCTGGAAGCCGATACCTCCACGCATCCACCACCAGCTCATCCAACAACAATTCGACCTCATCGCCACCGTTTCTGACCACAATCTTGGGCCCTCACGCCGGGGTGAATTTCGACGGCTTGGGCCCTCACGCCGTCTCCGAAGGTGTCATTCAAATTCTATATTTAGTCTTCTTAGCAGCAATTCTCTGAAATTGCTGCTACAAACAGCAAAAGAAGCTTTTTCTTCTTACCCTTTCCTCCTCTTGGGACTTTTTATAAAGTCAATATCATCATCGCAAAGAAGTACCAGGTCTTGTGTGGGGGAGCAGGAAGAGGAGGTGGCGGCAGAGATGAGAAGGGAAAAACAATGTCCTTTTTGGTCTTTTTACAAAAAAATTATTTTTATATATTTTATAAAATTATTTAATAAGGTTAATTTGGTCAATTTAGATTTTAAATATGTCAGGGGGACCTAATTGCACCAAATTGAAACTTGAGGAGTGTTTTTTGCACGTGAGGGGTATGATATGCACTGTAAGCATACTTCAGGATGTTTTTTGCACATGACCCTTTTTTCAATGCTATATTATTTGCATATTTTTTACTTCGTTTGACTTTCAATAAAGCTCCTAAGGTCAGAGGTCTACTATGTAAAATTACAAACAGAGGCAACCAAGCACTCCTGAGACTGGAGCACTAGTACAAAATACTCCAAAGGGTTGAGAACCTATGCTTAAAATCCATGTACAGGTGTTTAATGCAGTAGGAGTGGGTGTTGTTAATCCTGAATTGGTCTCCAAACCTTACAAAACACTTCAAAAAATGTCCAAATTAATTTCTAAATATTTTTGAATTTTGAAAAGAATTTTACAACCTTACAAAAGGTTTTTAGGGTTTCAATAACATAGATAAGAGACATTTATGATTAATTTTGCATTCCCTCACACTTTGGCACATCAATTGTGAGTTTTGATAGATTTTGTTTCTCTTACACATAGTTTCAAAGAGTTACCGAGAGAACATTAAAACTGTTTTTGACTATTCAAGTTTCCTTTGGAACCTTGATTGATCATCATTAAAGTGCTAGCGGCATAGTCATTCATCATAGAATACTAAACATCTTCGTTGGAGTTATTTTATTTTATTTTTTCTTAGTTGGTACTCACACACACATGCCTCCACTGAGGCTCGAACCCCTGACCTCCCTTTGGGAAGTAGGGGCCTGGTACCGCTAGGCCACTGTCCTGTTGGTTCATTGGAGTTATTTTACCGGGAGAGAATGAAATTGTTTTGCATGACGGATTATCTGGCTTTTAATCACTATAGGGGAAGAGAAAACGTCTGTAGCAATTTGGCTTAAAGTGATTCAGGTGAGGGGTTAGCAGAAATGGGCTTGTTGAAGACGAGTGTAAACTGTTCTAGGTCATAAACTCGTAATCTCGTATTCATATAGACTATAGTGGATTGGTTATTAAGTTTACTCAACCCACAAAATATTTGTAGAAAGATATATAACTCTCACAACAAATTGTGCTTTCATGTATGTTCGTGTTTGTGAGATGTTGCATGCATGAAGAAATTTTATAAGTATCAATGTCCAATAATGCTTGCTGACGCATTGTTCGCATTATAACTCTGACATATTTTAGTTCTATCAGTAAACATATATTATATTTTTTTGCAATAATATCATGTGTTAACAGTTTTTTATTTTTTATTTTTTAACAGTTGTGCAACATTTGTACAAGAATCGGCTTCAAAATTATGCTCAAAAGAAGAACCTTGATTTGCCTCAGTATGATTGTGAACGTGAAGGTCTTCTTCATGCTAGTCGCTTTAAGTCTAAGGTTACAATTGACGGGCATACCTATGAGAGTTCAGCATATTTCCCCACAGTAAGAGAAGCTGAACATGCAGCCGCAAAAGTAGCTTGTGATTCCTTGTTGCTCAATGAAGTCCAAGAGGCTAGTCGGCTAAGCTATTTTTTATGATTTTAATGCTTCTGGTCACAAATTTGTTTACATTATTGGTCAAAATTTCAGGATGAATCTGGTTTGTACAAGAATATGCTACAAGAATTGGCTCAGAGAAAAGGTGTCCGCCTTCCAAATTATAATACTACTGTATCTGGTCCACCTCACACATCAATTTTTGTCTCAACTGTGGAAATAAGCGGGCAGTTATTTCAAGGACAAGAAGCAAAGAACAAGAAGCAGGCAGAGACAAATGCAGCAAAGGTTGCTTACATTAGCCTTCAAGAGCGTAAGAAATCTACTCCCTTGTTTATATATTAGTCAGTCATAAGCAAGTTGCTATTTTGAGGTTTGTTGGTCGATGCTTCTATTTAAGATATAATTAGTGCCTTATATGGTGGACTGTGGAAAGTATCGATGCATGGATTTGTTTCAGATCAACTTTTCAAACACGTACCATGAGCTTCAATGCATGTAGTTATCATATAGTCACCAAATGAGTTCATGGTTAGTAGTTAGTTTATGCAAGGTCATCGCTGAGTTTTATTGTTTTCCCCGGTTGTACAAATATAGGATTGGTATTTAGCAATAAATAAATACGGAGTAAATAGCATAGGATTACAATGAATTAGTTATTAGATTCCATTATGGTCGTTATTATGGATTTATAGGTTTTAGCACCATGAGCTTCAATGCATGTAGTTATCATATAGTCACCAAATGAGTTCATGGTTATTAGTTAGTTTATGCAAGGTCATCGCTGAGTTTTATTGTTTTCCCCAGTTGTACAAATACAGGATTGGTATTTATCAATAAATAATTTTTTTTCTGATAAGTAGTATTTATTGGAGTAAATAGTATAGAATTACAATGAATTAGTTATTAGATTCCATTATGGTCGGTATTATGGATTTATAGGTTTTAGCACCACATTGTTCCTCCGAAACTGGCCAGTTCCTTGCAAACCTATCTTTATCGACCAGTCCTTTTATTAGGCGAACTCTTGTTTTGACCTTAAGGCTTTGATGAACTGTGAAGTTAGTGGGGGGGAAAAAACAGCTTCTAATATTGACTGTAATTGATAACATGGTGGGTTTCTACACCTTTCCAAGGGAGAATTAGCACTTCAAGGAGGTGGGACTCTCCTTCCTCCCATCTTGTTGGATCCTGTGCCTGCTCATCACTGTGCTCTTGTTAAGGGTGGTCATAGATCAGCAGAAGCGCTTGATCAGTTGATCGGGAGTTTCCTAGATGTTTAGAGGAATATTTATATTTCTGTTTAGTAAAATATTTGGAAATTATTCTATTTTATTTGCGAATCATTATAGTTAACTAGTTGACCAGAATGATTACTACGACATTCACAACGTGACTATTAGAAATTATTGATTTGGGGTTTTTAAAACTATTTACATAGTCATATCTTGACTATACAATATTTCTTTTGGTTGCACTTGTTAAAAATTGGCTAAAATCTATAAGTGGTTCAAATTGATTGGTACTATGATGTGTGTGCTTGTGAGTGGATGGCTGTCTATATACTATATGTTTTGTTCAATGAATGTTTGGTCAATGGTTTAGTCAATTAGAATGTGATGTGGCAAGCGGTGAGTACATGCACAGAAGGAGGTGTATTGTGTGGTCAAGGTTTGGTCAATGCATTAATGATAGGTTTTAATGCATTGTATTGTGAAGTGAAGAAAACGTAATGGCCAAGTAAAAGTAAATTTTAAGCATATGACAGCTTTGGGCCAGCTAAGTTGGCAGCCACAAGTGGGCAGTTACAAGTCGGCAATGATGCTATAAATATGGAGTATTGTGTTGTGAAGAAAAGGGTGTGAAGAACAGAGAGAGAAGAGTTGAGAGATGATTGAGGGCCAAGAGGAAGTGTATTCTTTAAGAAGAAGGTGTGTCTTCTTCTAGTGAGGGAGTGACTGTAAAATACCTTTTGGTAATCTGTTGAGTGTTATAATCTTTTCTTCTCTCTAATAAAAGTGAGTGGTTCTTCACCCGTGTATAAACCTTGTTATTAGTTGAGGGTGTTATTTCCATCTTTTTCTCTCCTTGTCATTGCATATTTGTGTGTGCGCCTAACGAATGGTATCAGTTTTGATACGAAAGGAGTTAATTCATAACAGCACTAAAGAGAAATATAAATAACAGCTGTTACGAGGTTGTATTTGGCAAGTCTCTTGTGAGAACATTTACGGCGATATATTGATAAATTTGGCGTTGAGCTTGGCCAAGTCCATTATGATTTGGGCAATGCACCTTGGTGCAACCAAGTTTTGAAACATCAGTTATGCTTGGATAACGTTTCATAGTCGTCGTATTATGTCCATTCACAATAGTTGTGTCTGTGGGAGCAGTCCTACACGGTTCTTTTGCTGGCTGCATCATTCAATATTGACTGCAGAAGTCTAGTGGATTCCTTCATCTGCAGTTCTATTTTGAATGTCAAGGCAAATTGATTTCTGTTCTGGAAATCAAAATTTTTGAAAAGAAATATTTCAGTGGCTCAGGCAGTTGGATGAAATTGCCTATTTATGTGATTGTTGTGAGTTAGGCTGGTTCAGGTTTTTTGTCCCTAAATGTTGGTAGCACTTTGGGCTGCACAATTTTAATCATGAGCCAAACTGAAGGAGACCCATTGTTGATTAGCTGAACATGAGATGAATAAGATAGGTAAGTCCAGCCTTATTTCCTGAAAGTGGCATAAATGGAAAAAGGAAGAAACTTCCTGTCAATTTGAGCAAAAGGATTGTTTTGTCACTGCAAAGTACTAATAATACTCATGGTGCAGGCATGTCATCTGAAAGGGAGTATGGTTTTTTAGGGATTTGAAAATTTGAATTTCACTGTTATTCAGAAAGGAGCAAAAAAGCACTGTTACTTGCACCGCTTTAAGAAGACTTTCTAGTACCATTTCTCAGTTATATACAATTTCTTAGCCTCTAACAGAACATGGGAGTAATGACACTAAGTTTTGCATGATAAACAACTGTGTAACATGAATATTTCCTCACCTTCCAAAATAGAAGGTTAAATGTTAAAATCTCCAAAGGGGCAAAAGTGGGTGAGTGTATTTTTTTAGATGCTCTGACACCCCTGAGGTTTGGATTTATTGCTCTTAGATTAAACCTGAGCAAAAATTGCTATGACACCCCCTTGATAAAATAAAATGCCTAAATTACCCTTCATTCCCACTTTCTCTAGCCGCATCTACTCCCTTGCGTCCCTTTGCCGCCACCGCTCGCCTCCTTCTCCCCTTCTCTCTCTCTCTCTCTAACAAACAACAGAAACCAGCCTTCTTTCTCTCTAACCAACAACAGTAACAATCCCATTTTCTTCTCTCATCCACCTGATTTCTGTTCCTCTCTTTCTCTCTCTTCTTGTTCATCCACCTGTATTTTCCCTCTTCCACTTTTCTCTCCATGCGAGCTTAGCACCAACAGAGATTTAGAAATTCATAGATGGGTAAGTACAACAGGAAATCGAGGACGAAAGGTGAGCTCGCGATTATGGAGGTTTCTCAGTCTCTCGGTGTTCGAACTTGGGCCAAAACCCTCGCTTTGCAACAGCTTCAGAAATCGGTGGTCACGCTGCGTTGACGGCCGCGGTTTCTGGCGGTTCGTACCCTCACCTCCGAAGCCAAAAAAAACCAAACCCAAAGAAAAGTGACATATTGATAAATGATCAGATTTGAAGTCAAACCCATTGGATAGTATACTCAAGTTATCACTGAATACAAACATCTATATACTGTGAAAAGGTATATATATATATAAAACTCTGTTTATATGATAAAAAAAATTCCAAATAGAAGGAAAGAGAAGCATTACATTCTCGCAAAAACCCAACAGAGATTTTCTTATATCTAAAACGTTTTGGTTATTTAGATTCAATAATTTATAAAATCTGTATAAGTGTCAAAAGCATGTGTTTGGATAAGTGACAGAGAGAGGTGGGTTTTCTTGTTTGGAAATTGAAGCTTCTTTTGGAGAGAATGTGTTGGAATTTGAATGTAGAGAAGTGGGTTTTCTTGGTTAAAGCCTGGAATTTTTTTACAATTGTGGTTTTCTGAAGGTTTTTGTTTGATACTATTAACATGTTTTGAATTTAGCGGGTTGGATCTTGGCTAGAGGTGCCAGGTCCAGACGGTGGTGTATTGGCGGAGAGCAGAGGATGGAGGGTGGTGTAACGGGACGTATGGGAGTAGAGGTGGGTAGAGAGAAAGTGGAGATGGAGGGTAATTTAGGCATTTTATTTTATCAAGGGGGTGTCAGGGCAAATTAAACCAAACCTGAATAGGGTGTCATAGCAATTTTTGCTCAGATTTAATCTGAGAGCAATAAACCCAAACTTTAGGGGGTGGCAGAGCATTTAACCCTTTTTTTTTCCTAATCGGGTGAGTGTACCAGGAATTAAAAAAAGAAAAGAGAGAAGAAGAAGAAGTCTAACATGAACGCAATTGGCCAATTGAAGTGGGTGAGTGTACTTCCTGGAACAATGTAAATTCTAAGTTTATGAACTCATGGCAGGAATCATCTGATGTTCCCAAAAGTTATGGAAACCAGTTTGATTTCTTAGGGAACTCTGGAGCCAATATATTCAGAAACTGATACTGCAGCCTGCTTTTTGATAATTATGTCCAGAAAACTTGGCTCGTCTCAGATCACACTAACTACCGGACAGAAAGAAAAAAAAAAATGCCACATTATTAGACTTTGCCATTGGGTGACAGTGGGCTCTGTTAGAAATTTTTTATAGTTGCCATTTGGTTCAGATGTATGATCATTAGTTTTAAGAAGAAAAATAGATGAAATTAAGAGTCAAAGATGGTTACCATTGAAGGCCATTCATAGTCTGATATCAGCTTCTGAAACTATGCTTTAAGATATGTAATAAATTTGCATTTTTATAGTAATAAACTTGATCATGATGATAATAATAAATTTGATTATATGACTGTTGTAATGTTTTGACAATATATTTTGTCATCTCTGTTCAGTTAGGGCAACCCAGGGCTCCACATTTCCTTCCCCTGATTATGAAACAAAAGAAGCTTTGAAGGCCTCATCTTCTATGTTGCAGTTGGATACCAATACTGGTGATTTGCTGCAAAACGTAAAACCCGAAGACAACCTTATAATTTCCAAGAAAAAAGATGAGGAAGACGAAGGTGATTTTTCTCAAAGTCCCTAAAATATATTGTCACTGGTTTTCCATATTAGTTGTGTGATAGTTGTACTAAATAAAAATGTAGTAATGCTCTATGAAACATAGTTCAAAATCACATGGATTGTCCAGACATAATTATCTAATAAAAGACCTGATCCGATGGTTGGGTAAGAAGGAAAATATTCAATAGATATAATTCACCCATTGCTTTCAATCAACTCAGATCGACTCAAGAATGAGGTACGGACGAAGATTATGAATGTGGCTTGAATATGGTTGGCTTTCCTGGTGCCTTGTAGTAGATGGACTTCTAAATATGCATCGGCTGCTACTTTAATTTGTTCACTTAATTAATTGAAAAAGGACATTTATAGCGTGGTATCATCTTTTAAATTGATGCATTAAGATATGTAATAGATTTGATTATCTGACCATTTTAATGCTTTGAAAGGATGCTTTGTCCTCTCTGTTCAGGTAGGACAATTCAAGACACCACATTTCTCTCAGATGGCTATGACATAAAAGAAGACTTGAAGGCTTTTTCTTCTATCCTGCCATCGATTATCAGTAGTGGTGATATGCCAAAAAATGACAAACCCAAAACAGACCTTATGATTTGTGACCAAGAAGATGAGGAAGATGAAGGTGATGTTTCTCAAAACTCATAATACTATTTGTTGTCACTGTTTTTTCATACTAGACTGCTAGTGTCTGCATGCCATTTGCTCTGAATTGATCTAGAAAGTGCACTAGTTATCTTCAATAGTTGTGCTCTATTCTTGTGCAAAACTTGGTCCAAAATCATCACATTGATTGGACTTCCATGTATCTCTCATCAAAGTATTGACTGATAAGAAGGGCAACATTTTGGTAAAAAGAAAAAGAAAAAAAGAAGGGCAATATTAATGGAATTTAATAATTAAAGGTACCAATTTTGGGCCCAACTCCCTCAAGCTGACTCTCGATGAGGTTTTAATTGAATTTGTGGCTTGAATATTGGGGCCATTTTCATGGTACCATGTAACGATTGACTTTTAAATATGCATCTGCTGTATGCGTAGCTTGAGATATTACAACCCCAACTCCCCAATCAAAATAAAGAAAAGAAAAGGGAAAAATCAAAATTTCTTTGGCACCATGGTCTTTCGTATGATTACATTGTGATGAGTCAACATCTTTTAGTTGTTTGATTGTTCACAAGTTTTATTCTGATGGCATCTTGTCCTCAAGAACTACTCTCATCATCCAAATTGACTACAGGATATGTTGAAGTCAACAGTCATCATTCTCCCACTCTACCTCCAGGAGCAGAAGTTACTGCAAAAAGACGCAGGTCCTGCTCATCTTCATCCGACATTGTATATGCCACTCTGCGTGATCCATTCCCTTCTATATCCTCTTCTTCCGAAGCCAGCAGCACGTCTTCGCATTCTAGTAATTCGGAGTGCTGTACTAGTTCAATAACAAACTCAAGCATTGTGCCATCAGCTGGAAAGGTTAAAGGTAAATTACCTTGCAAGAAGGTTTTGATTTATCCACGCAGGCTGAACATGACAATTTCTGAGGGTGCCACCGAGTTGCCCATCAGCGATGACAATTGGGTGGCTCTGAAAATGGATTAGTAAGCTTACCATATCATATTCTCTTTTGATAGTGGTGCTGTTATCAGAAATCATGAACTTCAAACAGTGACACACCTTGTATGGTAATATGTACATTTATGATCAAATTCCCATTGCTATAAGCAAGGACTCTATATGTCTTTGATGTCTTGGAGAACTTTATTCTGTTAGAAGTCTTTCTGAAAAATTATCAGTGATGAGTAGTATTCTGTTCGGAGGTTCGTCATTTAGCTAGGTTGTGGTGTGAACAGGGACCTGTTAGGGATAGTTGATCCCAAACAAATAAAAAGTTATTTATTTTGGGTGGGCCATAACGCCGCACGAGAAAGATAACTCTTTGGGATGTGATGGGGTCACGGTTAAATTGCCCAACCTGATCGGAGTAATTCAGACTCTCCACCTTGGGCATTTAGCAATATCTCATTATTTGAAAAAAGTGTGATTTTCACGGCTTCTTTTTTCACACTCAGATTTGAAGCCCTAACCTTTCACTTTGAGGGGGGGGGGGGGGGGGGTACAATAGTGAAGCTACTGTCATCAATTGGTAATAAGATAATAGTAGTTTCTATACCAGATATGTTTCATTTAAGTGCCAAAAGATGTATGTGTGTGTGTGTATCTTTATAATAATGTTGTCAGTCGACACCAGACATTCAAATTCTAGCACAGAAACATCCAGATATAGTGAAGCTACTGTCATCAATTGGTAATAAGATAATAGTAGTTTCTATACCAGATATGTTTCATTTAAGTGCCAAAAGATGTATGTGTGTGTGTGTGTGTGTGTGTATCTTTATAATAATGTTGTCAGTCGACACCAGACATTCAAATTCTAGCACAGAAACATCCAGATATACCGTGCGCACACTCGGTAAACTGGCACTTAAATTTAGTTTTTCGTTCCATAACATACTTCTTTATCCTATAATATTTTTGAAAGAGTACGAACTATTTAATACAAGTAACAACTGGCATAAGATTCTGGTAACTATTAACAAACTAAAAAGACGGTGATGAAAGAGGACCAAATTCATTTGCAGGAAAAGGTACATAACAGACATTAATTGGTATAACTAAACATAATTTAAGCAGATAAGAAAGCCAACTCTAGGCGCTAAAATGCATTACAAAATGTAACGTCGGTTCACCAAGTTGATTGCCGAAGGTAAGGAACAATCACAGGATGCAACACTTTATCAGCATCCTTCACTCGCGAATAAACTCCATCAATCTGTATAAAAGGCAAGACCTTTAGGATGCAAAACAGAAATTGCATCAAATGCTTCAACAAAAATAAAAATAAATAACTAATACCGTTCACCCATTGGATAAGAGAAAAATACCAAGCCAGGCCAGCTGCTCAACTGCCTTTTTCTTTTTGAGAACCCAACAAATAAATAAAGAAAAGACACACAAGTACACTTACATCTAGGGTATGAACCACTGCTGCCAAGGTAAGGGGCGGCTCCTCTTCCCTGCAAAGCAAAATTAAATTCAATATTTGTTAGGGAACTGCATTATAAGTAAAGGATCAAAGACAGAAACACAATTGCTTAATAGTGGCGTTTAAATTGGAGTGTCGGTAAATATTTGCTGCCATATTTGAAAATGGATTCACATAAAAATGTAAAAATGAAAATGATAAGAGAGAAAATTTAAAAGGGGAAAAGAACACCATTTTGATGGGCATTTTCTAATCTAATTTCAAAACTTCTCTAAAAATGGATGATTTTCTGGAAACTCGAGGAAAAGCTTTCAACCAGTAACACTTGGGATAAACAGTGTGCTTTCAGTAACTTTTGCAGCTTACATTTCCAATGTCCTCAAAAACATTCAAACTCCATATTTGGTTAATTAATTTCAACCTTAGGTTCTAGTGGACTTCTAATTTAACAATCAAATTTATACTCCGTACTATGCTAAACTATATATCATATACTTGTAAAGGAAATACGACAAGGAACCTTTACATTAATTTTTTCTCTTTGGGTCTTATTGCTACTTGGATTAATATTATCAAGCATAATTTTTATTTATTTATTTATTTATTTTTTATTTTTATTTTTTATTTTAAACTAACTACTTTCTCAACATGTATGTCTATGACATCGGCAAAACTAGTGAGTGATGTGCAGTTTGTCAAATTTGCCAGGTTGCCATAAGCTGAGAGAAAAGCTCACGTCATTTACATGAACTACATGCATCTTCTTGATATAAAACACCTATAACAAAATTTAGAACAAATATGCTCCGTACCAGGAAACTATTAGGATAATCTTCAACCCCATAAAGCGATCCTGACAGAAAAAGTGAAAATAGTTTTAATTATAAATTTGATGTAGTCTCAAAACCGCAATCAACAGTACATATTAGCATACCTGTTGCATAACCAGAACCTTGTCGATGGTAATAGGGTAAAGATGTCATACCAACTCCTTGGGATAATCCACTACCGACAAGAAAAAAATAAAAGTAAGCCATCGTTCTTAATTGAACAATAACGTTGATACAAGTTAATCTGAAATTGATGGTGAAAGAATTATCTATCATGCACGAAAGTCAGATTTTATGTATTTATTTTATTGCTAGTTGTAGCTCACACACCCGATCAGATTAATTTTGATGACGGAATAAAACAGAAATATATATAAACCTTGGACTTGCAACTGGAAAAGAACTTTCAAAGCGTGCACGAGAATGGTTTCTGAAATCTGAATGAATTGGATCATCAACCTGCATCCGTAAAGTTAGAGGCATTTCAGAAAGACAAGTTAACACGAAAGAATAATGAGCAACATAGAATGTACCACTGCAGTATATGGGCGCTTCTTCCCAGGTGAGGAGCAAGGATAATCCAGATCACGAGAACCTGCCCATGAAAGGAAATAGGAGGAGGGATCAAATATTTCATAAACATAACCAGACCCTGCTAACAAAAAAAAAAAAAAAAAAACTATGGTAGAAACATTATAGGTAACCATAACCCCTCAAATTGCACATCCAATTACAAAGAAAGTAACAATTTTGTGATGTTTTTTCAACCCAATTCTAAAATACATTTTGATTTCAGGATACAAGATAGCATTGGAAGATATGCTTAAACGTAACCTTGTTCTTGTCTGAGTATAGATGAACTAATGCTATTCTACACTTTCACTCCGTCTACAGTCATATTGTCAATTAAATCAAAGACCATCTTTCTTGTCACCACGTCGATAAATATCCATTAAGCCTTCCCATTCTTGTAGAAATTCAAACCTGTACTGTCTAACTTACAAGGTATTCTTTTTCCATTTCTTTAGAGGAGAAGCGGTGGGTTGGTACGACGAGGTGGGTATGGGATGGACATCTCTTCCCGTTCCCACCTGCGTGGGAAGACCCTCACCCCATTCCCATCCACGCAAGAGACAAGTTTTCCTTTTGGTACCAGACCCTTTGGTCAAATCAAGAGGTAAAAATTCCAAACCCCCCATACTTATCCAAAAAAAAAAAAAAAAAAATTCCAACCCCCCCATATAGTAAAACAGTTTCAAATCCAGCTGAGAAAATATAGTATACCCAAGCAAAAACTAAGAATCAAACCAGAAAAGACGATTAAAAACAAAAAACCTGAATAAACAAAGGGGAAGGAAAAGAAGAGAGAGATTTATATATATTGTTATGACAAACGCAGCGAACCCAAGCAACAATCATGAAACACGACAGAAAAGTAAACACACCAAAAGAACACAAAGATTTATACACGGTTTGGCAAAGCCTACGTCCACGGTGGAGATCCGGCGAAAGTCTTCACTATGTGTAAAATCGGAGATTACAAGTTTCAGCCCCACTCTCTTCTCCGTATGAATTTCAGTTTCTCTCAATAATGCACTCCAAACCTTAAGTGCCCTCTATATCGGGCTATAAGTGAGTACTAATTAGAGTCTACGACCCACAAGCAAAAACGGGTCAATAAATTTCGGTCCACGAAAAGCTCATTCAACGGGTCGTTGGGTCGCATTGTGACCCCGGCACCAAATTCGGGCCACAACATCATAAATATATATATATATATATATATATATATATAGAGAGAGAGAGAGAGAGAGCCTCAAGATTGATGGCCATAATGACCTTCTATATATATATAAAAAAATATATAGAGAGAGAGAGCCTCAAGATTGATGGCCATAATGACCTTTGATATGTATATAAAAGTATATATATATAGAGAGAGAGAGCCTCAAGATTAAAGGCCATAATGGGCTTCAAAGGTAAAATTCCCTCAAGATTGATGGTGGTACTGAGCTTCAATAGTAGAGGACTTCTTGATGGAAGCATAGAATAATGATGAGCTTCACGGCAACATTAACAACCAGCGGTTATTGGTCTGGTAGTGCTGTTGTGAGAAGGGAGAGTGGCATTGGGCCAGGTAATAGAACAAGAAAACCCCATCTCATCAGGGTGGCTCTATTCGGAAACTGCCCCAATAGAAATTTTGTATCACAAGTGGTTTGCATTTATTCGGTCATAAAATAAAAAATCCTGAAATTTGTGCGTAAAAAAATTGCGAGCAATACTCAAGAAATCAAGAAAGAAAAACAAATAACCTTCAACAAAAATCTTAAGGATGTCTCATTTCAAAAAGCTAAAACAAAATCCGAACTTCATGAGTGCGTAAAAAAAAAATAGAAGCTAAATGCATTCCAATTTTCTTTAAGAAGATCTGACAGTTGAGAGACGACATGTATCTTCACCTTATAAAATATGAGACGACATGTATCTTCACCTTATAAAATATGATGTTTGACGGTGGCAAACAGATCCTTGACTAAAAAAGGTCAATACATGTATACTGGAGTGCCTAAATAAGAGAGAGAGAGAGAGAGGAATGTTACATCATCGCTGGGAGGCAGTTGGCAGCAACAGTGAGTATGGAAAGTGATAGCTAAGAGTAAGCACAAACCTAGTTTCTAATTCCTTTACTCCAAATGTACTTAGATATATACAAAGGTTTTTGCATGTCAATATAACATAAAACAATGGCAATGAAAATTTATTATAAAGCATACAAGGGAAGGTTCAGATTTGGATAATTTGAACCAATGACCGGCCTAAAGTAGACGGGTTTGTATTTATTTCCCATACCAATCGTTATTCCAATTTAAGAGATACAAACTGTCTCAATAAGTACAGGTCAGCATGGGCTACCCATCTTTCCTGAACAATCACCATCCCTATTTATCAGACATGTTAGAGAATTGAAAGAAGAAAGGGTATGCTTTGGTTCTTTTCAAACATAGTACAAGCCCAAACAAAACTTGGATTTTGCTACCCCTCCCCAAGACCGCCCTTAATCTGACTAAGATTTTCCTAAAACTGCCCCCACATTCGATGGGGCAGGCTGGTGGCTTAACCCCCTTATTCATGTCAACTGACATCTATATTTGGCTCTCACCAGTCACTATACATGAGATAATGATACAACTCCCTCCCACTGGCTTATCAAAAATGCATTCATTTCCTATTCTATGTTGTAGTAATTATCACTACATTACAGAATTCATATTGAGTCAATACATAAGTATGAGAGATCATCGGACACGGGAAGCTATTGCCTGTTTACATCTCCTGTTCCCTTCTACAAATTTGACAATACATGGTTCTCATATCGTAGATCATAATGAGTATCATTTCCTAAGACTCTGCATTTCAAAGTCAATATTCAATTTTACTTATTTTAACATTAACAATAAAGCTCTGTGAAGATATATATTGAACATATATTGTCCACTGCATTGAGTAAAAAAATCTAGAATAACATATCATTATGGGATTTTCCCCATATTCATTCTAAACCTTGAAAAAAAAATGTTGCAGAAATTATAATATCAAATATCTTACACAATAATAGCCCATAAAACCTGGAATGCATTTGAACATCTTTCAAACTTTAGTCCCAACTTAAAAGAATTCCAGGACAATATAATTAACCTTTAGCAAATTCTCCTTTTGTTTTTAAATATTCAAAGAGTTACAGTAATCAGGCGCTAAATGTTGATGCCAGCAAGTATATGCCACCTGAATATGAGAATCGAATGAAATAGTCGTTAACCAATGCTAGTCTTACCCAAGCAGAGTTCTTAGAGGGGAAGACTAGTGATAGTCTCAACCTTTTCATTATTTTTGCACAAAGTAATTGATCTTAGATTCGAACTCCATACTCAGGCTTGTCAGCCTGAACTTTTATCATTACCCAAGATTTTATTTTATGAAATACTTCTATTTCAAGAAAGACAAGAGAAAGCAATAGAGAATTCTTAGCAACTTCCTTCTAATCTTAAAAGCATTATTAATGCACCAATGCAGAGAAGTAATTAGACCCAGAGAAAGTTGAAGGTGTCAAAGGACAATACAGGAACAAAATAACATAGACCATGGCTAGAAGAAAGGACACAAGTTCCCTAAACTTAACAGAAGATATTACTTCAGATAGAGTAAAGTGGAGCAAATGGGTCCCTATTTTTTTTTTTTGATAAGTGAGCAAATGGGTCCCTTTTAACTGCCCAAAAATAGTTGGAATACTTTTTAAGTTGAATTGAATTAGGTTTCTTTTTTTCTTTTTTTTTTTAAAAAAAAAAAAGAATGAAAATTGCCTTTAAAAAAATTCAAAGCACTGAATTAAGCAAGTATGCACAGTGCAATGTATGTTTATAATAAGATACACTTTAGATGAAAAAAAAAATTTTGGATAACTCATACTCATAGTAATAAATATCAAATACCCAATTCAGTACCCATTGATCTGAATTGTTGACATGAAGCAGTTCTCTGTCATTAAATGTTTAGGATTTTTCTCATCTGTAATTTTCCATTCTTCAATTACGACGGAGTAAATGAAGTCAAACCAGTAGGCAATGACATTATGACACAATCTATGTAGCCTACAGATTCGCAGAAAGATTTTCTACTTCAAAGACAACAAAAGAAATGTTAGGGTTTACACACCATATTAATACCAATACAAAAGCAAAGAAAATGAATTCTCTACAAGAAACATATATAATGGAGAAACTGAAGGTAAGTGTAATAAAAGTTACTCATGCCTAATCCTGTTCGTGGCTGTTTCCATGATGCTTGTTCCCTTAAGAGTTGTACAAGTTCAGTATTTGTTGAGGATCTATACACTCCAACATCTGCATGATAACTGCTGAAAAGTTTTCCCTTATCTCTACGTTCATGTGACTTTATGACAGCTGAAACAAAAAAGGAGTAATTTAACCATTACAACAAAATTGTCTTCTAGTCAAATAGCAAATTATCATATACTATATCAAGTGGTCCAGTCCGGTGAAGGCAATATCTTATTACATGCGACAAATTCTTCTTTATCTATATAAAAGAAACAAAAAGGAAGCACACATCAGGCAGTGAAACCCTCGTGGTGCGGGGAGGATTGTTCAATAGTATAAGAAATAATTTAAGAGTAAATAAATCAAGTCATCAGTAATTAGGATCTTTAATCTCATCACTGTAGAAACAATTGCCACATGATTTTTTATTTTTTATTTAAAAAAAAAAAATTAATTAAAAAAACAGCTACTAAATGGACAAGGGGCCACTACTTGGTGCAGTGGTAAAAGATGGGGTGCCAAGGATGAGAACACAGGCTCAAGTATGGGAGCAACTATTTTACCAAAACTCAACTCAACAAAGCATTTTCCCACTACTTGGGGTCCGTAGAACCTATTTATCCATTCTATTATATCTAAGGCCATAGCCTCAGCCAAACCACATGCTATTTTACGCAAAACCAATGAAAAAAAATTAGGTCTGTGTGTAATCCATCCCTCCCAACCCCTCGCATAGGTAGGATCGGTTACTGGATGATGGCCTTTCAGCTATTAAATAAGGAACTGAATCCAAAACGTCCATAGTTGCCATGCTTTCTGCATCAATCAGTGCATTGGAAAGTTCAGGGAAATTAACCCATTGTGAATGTCCGCCCATCAATGTATCTAAACTGTCCCTGGCTACTTCAATAAAAAGGGTTTACTGCCTTTAACCTATGATTATTTACTTGCCTCAAAAAAAACAAAATGCCCCATGGAAGGAAAGGACCACTAAAGCTTTTTTATTCCTGGACATATCATCATCATCATCCTTGCCTTTATCCTGCATGAGCGGAAATTTCTGGACATATAAACTTCCAGAATTACTACTATAGTGGAGTATCACTAACCACACAGAGTTGGCATGATAAGTACCATCCTAAGAGAGAACACTCAAGCAATCCCCAATTACAAAAGATAACCCTTTCTAGCTTCCATCACCTTCATGAAAGTCACAATTTCTTTAGCAAGCTACTCCACCTTCCCAATTCCACATGACCAAGCCACTACTATATTCCAAAGGTTCTACATCCTAAACCTGCAAAGCCAACTGACACAAGAAGAGCCCTATTCGACACTTCAATTTAGTGGAAACACCACCTATCTTAATAACTATTACAGTTCGGTGGTGTTCCAGCCTATCTTGAAGTTGCGAGCTAATTCAGTCTTAGTTTCTTCTATTATGGAAGGCATTTGTATTGTTTTGCAACAACACAGTAGTTTCAAGCTTTCCTGGGTGCCCCAATTAACAGGGATCACAGGTTTTGAATTCCATAAAATCCTTGCCAAACAATTTAGTAAAAACCCATAATCAGATCACATATCCAACAATCCTAGTGATTTATCCAATTGATTCATTGCCAACCTCGCAACTCCCCTTCTACAAATGGACTTGCTAAGATCAGTCCACCCCTCCTTTCCCATGTCCTCTAAGATCAGAAATTTTGGTTCCAAATTGAGAATCTTAACGTTTAAAGCACGCAAACAAGAAAAAAAAGGTCATTAAGGAATTACAGTGAAACTTATTCTGAATTGTCTAGTCATGTGCTGGTTCAGTTTGGGTCTACTTTTATTAGGTTAGTATACTGCTGATTCAATTAAATAATTTTTGTTGTCGATTTAAGTTGTGAGTACTTTGGTAATTTCTAAATTTGATGTACATGTCCCCAAGTTCCCTAGTACCATGAAACATAAAAACTATTCCCTACATTTATCCTTTATCAACAATAAACAGTCATTAGGATGCCATTTATGCTAAAATGTGGTACAATAAGGCACTCTATAGAGTGACATAGTTAGAATGTCATGAGATAGTTCCAATTTGAAAGGTGGTTTCTCAGCTGTAGATATATACATAGGTTAGAATCATCATAATGCACAAGTCTTCCATTCATTTTGCAGAACTAGTTGAGCTCTTGATTTGCTATGACCTTTTCCTTTTATCACTTGCCTTAAAAACCTATATTTTTTTATGAAAATTGATTTTTAATCTTTTGCCTAATGAAATGACAACTAGGGAAAAACATAAGAAAATAATTTGCTTGTTAATATCAGTGTTTTAGAAAAGAAGTCCTATTTTAAGTTTTAAAGAGTGCATTCCAAAAACACAAACCGATTGGCAGTAGTGTTATTTGGTTACCTCTGGTTATAAGAATAATAATCACAACAAAAGAATACAAATACTTACGTTGGGCTGCCTTGCGCTTCACTATGGAAGATTCCTTACTAATAGGATTTGAGACCTGTTTGATTTGCTTGCCCTTTGGTATTGGTTTCGCTAGAGATACCTTCACCTAGATAATCACAGTTATACAAATCAATTATAGGAAAGGTAATGAAGTAAATAACTTTACAACACTATATAGAAGCAGAACCTTGGAATCATCATCATTCAATGACACATGATTGAATGCCTCGATACAAGCAAGAGCAGCCTCACGTGTTGTATAATTAACAAATGCGAAGTCTTTTCTTTTAGATGAACGGAGATTTCGAGCAAGAGCAACATTTTCAATTTCACCAAACTTTTTGAAATGGTCTCTCACTCTCTCTTCATCCCACAAGGAAGGTATATATTCAGCATAAACCGATTTCACCTGGATAAAGACAAGACAAATTAACCATTTATCCATCATGATCAACAACGTTAAGTAAATCAATAAAAAGATACAAAGAAAGAAGAAAGATTACATTTGAAAGCAAATTTTCTAATTAAAATTTGAACTAAAGTAGTTAGAACTTAAATATTGCCACAAAAAAAATTAATGAAGCCATGAAAACTTATTCGCCCGTCAATGAAAGATAAAAATAAAATTAGACACACCTTAAGCATTTCTTCTTCATCTGGCTCCTTCAAGGGTTCAGCCCAAGCGACTTTTATCTTCCCATGCTTCCCAAATACATCCTTATTTTGAAGTTTCTTGTAAGCTTTTTGAGCATCTTTCTTAGTTTCAAGTTCAAGAAACGCAAACCCACGATTACACTCGATGTTAGTTGGATCAGCCATAACTGCAACTTTGTCTATTTTTTCAATCCCAATCTCCTGCAACAGTTTAAGGACCTATACAGACATAATATTATATTTAGAAAGATCATCCAAACTTATAGAAGTTACTGTATGAGATCAATATCAGATGTAACAACTTACATCTTCACTCTTCCACTTCTTGTCAAGATTGCCAAGAAAAATTGTGTCATTTCCCTCAACAAATGCTACACCACACTGCTTTCCGCATATCTATGGTTGAATTTCAAAAAAGGACAAAAACTGAATCATAAAAGGAATAATTAATTATTTATTTATTTATAAGTAAAATCATAAAGGGAATAATGATCAAGGTAATTTTCTTTCCTGATACGTTTATCACACAAACCTATATATATATATATATATTAATAATAACTATAGGCCATGCAAGCATAATTGACAGAACTAATGCAGCTTAATTGATAAATTCCATGTAAAAAAATTAACAATTACAACAATGACGACGTTACTTATGATAACTGAGACCAAGAAATATAGCGGTAATTAATATGATAAATGTTGTATGACATGATGAGACATGGCAGCATGAATAGATAATATTACAAGCGTCAAACTACGGAATAGACATTTTTCATCTAAGTAGGGGAATGAATCCATATTTGTCAACCAAAAAGAACACATAATTTGACAAAGATGGATATCAAAGTGGCTGCTAAAAGTAACATTAACTTCCCTTGAAGTTCTGTAAATAAAACTTGTTTATTTCAATTGAATAAAATAGTTAAAGTGTGTATTTGATAATTTATTCCAAAGAAAAAATAGTTCTACTAATGAGAATTGCATTATTGATAGTACTAAAGATAAATCAAGACCACTTCCTAGTAATAAAAATTTACAAAATATGGTGTCCCAAATCTTGAAGATTAATACAAACAAACATGACCACATTATTAAAAATTCATAGTACCAATACCATTTATTTTATCTACTGTCTCAAAAGAACAATTGTGGAACCATTGGGCCATTAGCCCAGCAGGTATAACCTCTCTTCCCTCAAAAGGGGAGGTGAGGGGTTCAAGCCCCGTAGTGGGCATTTGTGGATGTGGGTGTGTTAGTATTTACCTAAACGGGAAAAAAAATGTCAAAAATAATTCTATTACTGATCCCAAAGAGGGAAGATAAGTGAAAACATGTATAGAACCCCATGAAATGTCAAAGCTATTTTCCAAAACCTCAACAGAGGATTCTGTAACTTGCAGAAGAAAAAGATCGCATGACTTTTCATATTTAAGAGCATAAGACTTCATATTAAAAGCCAAAGTGCAAAACTGCGTCTACTTCATAGACAATTGTAAAATATATTTCAAAAGAGTAGCTAAATTTTCACTCATTTCATGGTAGTATTGTAGTGGCCAAATTACGATTCATATTCCAAAATTTTTATTTCATCCTTTGAACACGAAGCACATAATCTTGCAAATGACAAGATATATTGACAATTTTGGAAAAAAGTAGAAACATAATAAATATAAATATATAAATCAGAGTAATAATGTAAGAACACAAGATAATCCTATATGATTTTTCCTGAAAGATCACATCATATACTGAGCACCTGCCATACTTAGTATAGCATCTTTTTTTTCTTTTTTTTTTTTTTTAATATATATATATATATATTTTTTTATTAATACAACATTCCGATATTCTTACCATTTTTTTCATTAAAAAAAAAAGTCTCATAATAAGGGTTAGGGTAATTATAAGTTATTACGGCTAACATACGAACTAATTTTATCATTTTAATCAAATTAAACGCAAACCATGGTCGGAAAAAAATTTACAAGTGAGCAACCGATATCCATTTCTTTACTACCTCTTTCAAAGTACTTTTGTTTTTGACCTTTCCAAATTTATTTTTTCCTTTTAAAACATATGAAACATATGAATCCACAGTCCCCTTTTGTGCACTATTGAGATCTTGTCCAAAACAATCACCAATGATTCCATTCTTCTTTTACATTTAATCAGAAGAACTTCCTAAAGTACCAAAATTTGTAAACAGTATGAAACACTTTTGCTCAATTAACTACGCCTATCCTAATAACACAACTCAAACCCGAACACACGTTGTCATGTTAGTTACACTTTATAAGCATTCCAGCCCACCAATCTTACAATCGTCGTTGCAAGTGCAATGATCTCAAGAAGAAGAAGAAGAAGAAGAAGTGTTCAATTTGGAGAAAAACAGAGGAGGATTGATTTCGTTGTCTCTTAGAGAAGAGTCTGATCTACAAAGATAAGATGAAGTATTTTTACCATGAAGCTATCAGAAAGGCTTTGAGTGGCTCATTTTAGAGAATGAAAATGCAGTGAATAATAACCGAGTTTTTTTTGTTGTATGTCTCAATAAGCAATTGAATCACAGATGATTATTCAACTCCCGAATCAAGCAGAATACTTTCAGTTCACATGTATTAGTTGGATTGCAATTTGATCCAGTAATACATATGCTTGAATTGAACCAAATTGAAAAAAATCCAAATAACCAATAATATTGTTGCATGCGATTAGTACATAGACGTGGTAATGATTATAGAAGATCATCCAGCCCAATAGTTAATGATTATACCTAAATATCTACAGTAAAATTTGTGTTTTGTCAAATATGGAGTATCTAGAAATAGGGCCAGGAAAGTTCTCAAAGATAAATGGTCTAAGCTCATCTCATTGAGTTTACTCATCTCGCCTAAACAAGCATTGAGTTTTAAAATGGCCTAAGCAATTTGCCCAAAGTAGCAACAAGTCACGGGCTTTATATACTTCTCACGTGTCACATACATGTGAAACTGTAATTGATAGCAATTCATGCAACAAAACAGCATATTTGTGCAACCAGTTTGATGTCTATTGCTTTTATACATGCATTGTAAAGCATATTTGTGCAACAAAACAGCCATGTGCGCCATCAATGTGTTACTAGTCATTCCAAAGCAACAATCACCTGTGAGGACCTACCCGGAGTTAGTAGCCCAAATAGGGAACGGAGGCACCATAGTCCATATATAAACTACTACCATAAAGAATTTTGTAGTGCGTTTGGTCTCAGTGAAGAACAGAGGGATGTTAGGGAGAGGGAAAAAGGGAAGGAGGAAGGAACTCCCTGTTTGATAGAGGGGAGAGGGAGATGGAAAGGGGAGGAGGAGGGAGCTATTCTTTTACTGCACACCCTCTGTTACTTGCCTTCTGAATTTTTTGCCCTTCAAAACTATAATTCTCAACCGATTTAACGGCCAATTTTCAATTCTTTCCATGAAAACTAGTACCATGAAACATAAAAACTATAGTTGATTAGTAGCCCAAATAGGGAACGGAGGCACCATAGTCCATATATAAACTACTACCATAAAGAATTTTGTAGTGCGTTTGGTCTCAGTGAAGAACAGAGGGATGTTAGGGAGAGGGAAAAAGGGAAGGAGGAAGGAACTCCCTGTTTGATAGAGGGGAGAGGGAGATGGAAAGGGAAGGAGGAGGGAGCTATTCTTTTACTGCACACTCTCTGTTACTTGCCTTCTGAATTTTTCGCCCTTCAAGACTATAATTCTCGGCCAATTTTCCATTCTTTCCTCCCAACTCAACCAAAGAACATGAGGGAAAGACAGTTTTATTTCCCTATAAATCACTCTTTTGTCCCTCCTCATAGCTTCCCTCTTCCATCCAATTTTCCATCCTATGTAGCAAACAAAGCATTAAGCTACATAAAAACAATTTAGCCAGTACATGACAAAAGAACCAGGAATCAAAAAGAATTACCTCAACTTTGGGATATTTTGCTAAAGCATTCTTAGCATCAGCAGCAGAAGCAAAACGCACAAATGCAAACCCATTCTTGCCCTTTCTACCCTTCATCATCACCCTCACCTCCACAATCTCACCCACCTCTTCAAAAACTTTCCTGATATCTTCTTCCTTTGTATCCTTGTCCAACCCACCAATGAATATCTCAGTTTTCCGCCGCCTTTTACGCTCCAAAGCCTCCATTTCCCCGCTCAATAATACTCCATTAGCCATCCCAACTTCCCCTCTCAAATCACCAACTTCACAGTTCTCCACCTCTTCCTTCTCTCCCTCCTTGCACTCACCACCTCCAAAATCTATATTTTTAGTTTCACATTCATAGTTCTCGTTTTGGATCAAATCCACATTTTCATCATCTAACTGAGTTTTAATAAAAGAAACAGCCGTTTCAGTTCCATTAATATTGTTCTTAGTTTCAACAGAATCCGAAACACAAGCTTCAGACAAAATTTCTGTCAAAGAAGCATCCTTTTCTTCATTGCAAGCCCCAGGCTCCTTCGGGTTTTCAACTTCCATTGAAGCACTAGGGTTACAATTAGGGTTTTCAGCATCCACAGCAACATCAAAAAAATGGGGATTTTCAACTTCCTTTGAAGCAAAAGCATTAGAGTCAAGATTACAATTTTTTACTTCCACTGGAACTGATTGATTAGGGTCAGCACTTTCAACTTCTAATGAACCCAACACACCAAATTTAGGGTTCTCACCATCATTCCCCGTACCCCGTTTCTCCGCCGATTCTTCATTCGAAGAAACAACCAAACCCGTTTGCACTCTCTTAGGCACTTTCCTCTTCACAATCTTCTTCACAATCCTCACCGTCTTCTTCACCACCGTTTTCGCCGGCGCCTTTGTGGCATCTTCTTGACCTATTCCACCACCATTCTCAATCATAGTATTAGCCACGGCAGTTTCAGGTGCTGTTGATGAAGCCTTCTCAGGTACTGTTTCAATTGGGGCAGTTTGGTCTGAAGCTTCTTCACTAATATTAGGAGTCCGTTCGGCAATTCCCATTTCGGATTCGATTTTTGAGGTTGTTTTAGGGAAAGTTAAAGGAGTAGTTTTTGGGAGTGTTCTTGAGACATTATCAGCATATTTGGTGGAGGTTTTGGGGGAGGAATTGAAGGTGGTTTCACTTTTGCCCGACGAGGATGGTTCTAGGGTTGCGGCGGCCGCAGTGTTGGTGGTGGTGGTGGTGGTGGTGGTGGTGGAGGAAGGTGGGGTTTCAGAGGAAGTAATGGCGGCGGATTTTCTGACGGCGGGCCTCCGTCTTGGCCCGACGGCAGTGGAAGCCTTCGACTTCGGTGGCATCTTCGTCGCTTTCTCTCCCTCTCTCTACTGTGGGTACAGGATGACAGACACACACATACAATATTGAATACAAAAGATTGATTTGTTCTTGTATTTTAAACCCTTGAAATATGGTTATTTTCACAAGAGACCCTTTTAACTTTGTGTTTAATTCATTTACACCCCCTTCTAGTTTATCAATACTTCGAGGAGACCCTTACATTCGTAAAAATTTAGTCAGACCCTGTCAGTCAACTAACAATTCCAAATAAGTGAAGGAAATAACTAATCTGCCCTTTTTATCATTTTCCATATAGGCTCAACCAAACTCCTTTTCTGGAACTCTCAACAATGACTACCCAATCTATTAAAGCAAACACCTTTTATTCTTCTTACCAAACACTCCGCTCTAGTCCAGGAGCCCACCACTATCGATAATTCACACATTCCACACACACACAGAGAGAGAGAGAGAGAGACAGCTCTTTTTCATGGGGATGGCCTCTGTTTTGCCTTTCAACTGATGTAGCATAAAATCCACTAATATATATACGTTTATATTTTTTCGAATTACAATGGAAAAGCTCTCTCTTTCTCTGTCTTCAATGGCAGATGTTATTCGACTATCTTCCATTTCGCTTAGCTTCAATTCTTCGCTGTTAACTCGTCCTTGAATTCTCTCCAACCGAGACTCCCACCCACTCAAAAATCGTATAAGAAGATCTCCTCTGTTGCCAATTCTTCTACTACTGGTTTTTTTGCTCCATTTGCCTTCAGACCCACCAAGCAATTGGTCTCTTTCAAGTTGCAAAAGGTTCACTCTTCAATGGGAATATTTTTATTCCTCAACTCTTGTTGATTGTGGGGAAAAAAACTCTTGTTGATTGGAGAGTTTTCTGTTTGAGTTGAATAAAGGGGTAGATTGACTAAAAGTTGTCTTTGGATTTCATAAGAAGGGGTGTCCAAGTTGAGCTTCATATATCTTTATGTTTTATTTGTTTTTACTTAATTATCATGTTGAGCTCAATTTGAACTTTCTTTAATCCTTGAAAGGAGTTTTTTTTTTTTAATTTTTTTTTTCATTTATTTTCTTCTTTTCTTTTTCTGAATAGAAAATTTTCTTTCTTGTCATTGGTTTGCTTTAAATATATGTGTTATCATAGGTATGTTATTAAAATATGTGTTTTTTATGTATGTTTTTATTTATTTTTTGGATTGTTTACAGTGATGTGAGAGTTACCATAATTTTCATGTGCACTACACTTCAATACGTAGAAATGTGAATCATTTGTGTATTAAAAATGAAGTTTGGCTTTATATAGAGCCAAACATGACTGTGGGAGGGGAAGAGGGAGTGAATATGAAAAATTCAATCTGGTATACAGTCTGTTGCCAAGCATGACCATTGGAGGGCAATTTGGGTATTATAATTTTTTTTTTTTTTTGGTTGATGTGAGCAAAAAGTGTCGCAGAGCACTGTAAAAGGAGGAGGAGGAGACTGGTGTGTGTTAGAAAAAGTAAAAAGTCTGAGTGATTTTTTTTTGTAAATGTAGCGATCTTCTTGAAGTATTGATAAACTAAAGATGTGTAAATGAATTAAACCTGTTAACTTTTTACATAGATTGTTCTAGAGTCCAGGACCCTATAAATAGTGTTATTTTCACCATAGATCCTTAAATTATATTTTATATAAAGTTTATATTAATTCGGTGATTAACTTTATCTATTTGAAGGTTATGAAACTAAATTTTACTTTTATTAGGGGTTTTGTGGCTCAATGATATCTCATCTATTTCCCAAAATTTATAGTGAGAATTTTAGTCTCCAAGCGAGCACAGTGGATGTGTGAGTTTCTTGTCAATGAAAAAAAAATCAGAATTTTATTTTGAGTAATTAACTGTCCGTCAACGCCCTACTTCTTACTTTGTTAAATCTTCATAACAGAAGTGGTTTTATTATTATAACTTAATTTGAGGGTGAAAAGTAAGTTAATTTAATTTGCCCATTATGGAGTGTGTGTGTGTGTGTGTGTGTGAGAGAGAGAGTGTGAGTATATATATATTAGATAGCAAAGGTAACTGGGGGACTTAAAAAAATTTCATATGGGATTTCTTGAGATATACTACGAATATTTCACCAAGGAAAATTAATTGTATATCACCTATTGTATGTTGTGATTTTTTTGTTTTCTATTTTTCATAATATGGATGGGAAATATTTTAATGGCTTCATCTATCACATAGATTATATGAATTTAAAGAACGTTCATTGGATTATCAAATTTTATATTTTGAAGTGTGAAAATTTATGCACTTAAATTTTCATGCTAACATTAAATTGAATGGTCTCGCTGTATAAAATAAAATAAAATTTGACAGGGACCATTTCGTGTTTTAAGGTAAAATTTGTCCGCAATAAATTTTTATGAAGAACATCAAAAATAAAGTATTATGATGTCCGACACTATTCCAACATACAAAGTGATTCCTTTAAGGCTTGTGTGAACAAGATAGTGACATGTAGATGGATAAAAAAAAAAAATTAACCATTGCAACACAATATATTTTTGAGGACAATAAATGGTCTGAATAATAAATTCAGTCTGAATTTGTTACATGCATTAATTATCGTTATTAATATATAAAGCATATAGGTTAAGCTCAACATTCACACATCCAAAGGATGATGATCAGATGTCGTATATCTATATACTATATATGCACCAAGAGCCAACACCACAGGCAGCAGTACCACAGCAACATTGATGGCCACCTTTCTACCCAATCTCACCCTTGTAACTGACCTTTCCATCCCATTCTCGGCTGCTTTATTTTCCATTGTTTGGCTAAAACCTCCTAATTTCTCAGAATTAAGAGTAGGTTTCTTACTCACTTGAGGCTGATTGGTCTCTGTAGTTTTTGAAACATTCTGTTGAGAGTTTTGGAGTGGTTTGGGTTGATCTGGATTGGTGATTTTCTTGATTGGCATTACAATATAAAGGCGGGCAGCAGCAAACTTGGCATGGATTTCATCTGAATTGCACTTATTTGGAATTTTAATTTCCTTGCTGAAACGGCTCCATCTTGTCCTGTCCAGAGGGCGTTCTCCTGTGATCTTTAGGGTTCCCAGACTGTTGACATGGACCTTTAGCTGCTCTTTTTTGAATTCTACATATCACAAATCAGGAAAATATTTGATTAACCAAACCAATTGCTACTTTAACTTGGTAATTTTCAATTACTTATATACAATTACTCATATATATACCAAAGAAATAAAATAGAGTACCGGGAAGATGGAGTACAAGAGTTTCGGCTCCTTCCTCTCTGGTCCAGTTGCAGAATGGTTCAAAATCATCATAAGATTTGGTATCCATGGCAGCTTTTGTACTATTCTTCTTCTTTCGGGTTTTGAAGAAGTTATGCAGCTTTGATTGAAATGAACACATTTCTCTTCTTATCTCTATAATCTATATATATATATACATATACCGATTCCATATATACAGACAGACACATTCGATCATAATATGAAAGGAGGTACACGTTGCCTCTAATTACAGGTTTCTTGATCAGAGCTTGATGGGAATCACTTGTTTTTGGGTTTGAATATAAGTTTTTGATGAATTGCTTCTTGTGAATGGCAACCTTGGGAAGGTCTCCTATTTGCATGGGCAATGACAAGATTCCTCCTATTGAAATTTATTCCTTTACTCATTGAACAGGAGGAGGTTTAAGATGCTTTCCATTCCATGTGCAACATCAGCTTAACCCAATCTATAGATAACCCTTTTAAGACTAGTGGGCCCATGCAAGCCAATTGAATAAAATACAAGTTTCAACTCTCCCCAAAAAAATTAGTGTGAGAGTTTCTTCGTCAATATATATATTTAAAGGAGATATATTTACACTTCACTTTTTATGTTTGCTGTACAATTTTATATCACTTTTGATAATATAAAAAAAAGTTGAATGGATTTTTTTTTTTAAAAAAACCCAAAAAAAAAAAAAAAAAAAAAAATTATATTGAATAAATTACCTCTTTTGACCGGGCCAACACATAATATAAATTAGAAATAAACACGTAAAAATAGAAAATCATATTCTAGTTGAATTGAAACACCATGAGTTCTGAATCCCACAGGCAACTTGTGAAGATTTAAAACTCTCTTTCAAATTGTCTCACTAAATTTGTTCTAGGACTATGATACCATTTTTCCAGGTCAAGTGGTCCCAATTAATGAATTTATTTATTTATTAGTAAATTAAATAAATAAAAAAAAAATTCCGCCATTGGAGAAGCATGCACACACACCCCCATCCGGCCATACCCTCCCCCTCACACACACTCAACATCAACCTTCAAAGTTTTGATTAACGAGAAGGTTTGAGGACCCACTCTAGTGAAACCAAACATGGTCTAATAAGAAAGAAAAGAGGTGCAGGGGCCACACCAAAGGACTAATTACCAAACATGTAGAACCAATAGAGATCTGATCATCCATTTTTGGTCAAAAATCATTTGAACAATGATCCCATTAATTTCCTTGTCTTTTTCCTTTCCATTGAAACCTAGAGGACGACCCTGTAGGATCTTCTATGAGTGAAATCTGAGAAGTGAAAAGACCAGAAGGAAGGAAAAGAAGTATTGGAAATGTAGTGGTCACTCAAGGAAGGTTCATAAAAGTAAAAGGTGAAAAAATTTAACCATCTGATGTGAAATAATACCCATGAAGAACAGGAACTTTATGTGGAATTACAATTACATCATGCGATGTTCTACCATGTCGTGAACTCTTTGCTTTCCCATGAGTCCATGAAAATTTGATGAGATATATGGAACTACTGATTTTACTCATAGTTTTAGAAATTTATAGTACTATCTGCATTAGAGAAAAAAAAAAAAAAATGGTTTCACAATTTACTCTCAAATCTGTGGTGACTATTGCAAGACTTGATCTAATATATATATTGAGATACATATTAGTTATGGTAATTAATTTTGGGTAAATTATACGGACATCTTCTATAATTTTTTATAATTATAGGGACCTCTCTTATAATTTGAAAAATTATTCAAACCACCCTAAAAATGAAACTAACTCTACACGGACCTTCCTTCTGTAATAGTCAACGCGAATCAATGAATTGATATGTCTTCAATTCCAGTTCCAATTAAGGGCAGTTTGTTTCATGCTATCAAATGGAGATCAAGTGAATTTGAGAATGTGTGTGTGTGATGATTACTTAAGATTTATGTATGGAATTCATCTAGTAGGTTTATACATATAAGTTTGGTGAGTGTGGTAGGAATATTATTGCTCCAATTGGACTCTCTCTCCCTTTGTCTGTTTCTCTATTTTGCTAAATTCAGTGTCTTGTATCAATTTATATACACACAATAAATGGTGCTGAGAGACCATGCTTTGGCCTGGGTGGTGACACTAATGCTTCATGATATATATGGCTTTACTTGTCCTCTTAACTTTTGTTATATCAAATGTCACATAAGCTGTAAAAAGTATGAGCACTCACTTCTTTTAGAACAAGACAACATCAACCTGGCCTCCAAAACCTATCAGTTTTTCATTATTCATTCCATCAATGTAATGACCTGTCTATCATGTGTCCTTGGGCTGTACTAGTAAATAGTTCTCTCTCTCTCTCTCAAAATTTGATATTATGTGGTTGCAGCCTTTGTGGGTTGTGATTGTTGAATCTTGAGAGAGCTAGGGAGGGGGGACTGGTGTGCATGGAGGTCGAAGGAAAAGGGGGTGTTTGGAATGAAGTTTGATCCAAGATATATCCATTTGTTAATCAATCTCCTTTCGATCTTATGGTTTTAATTTGAGGCCAATATTGGTGGTTATTGGTGAATTTATGGACTGATCTCGGACCAGGCTTCATTCCTCACACCAATCTTTCCTGCAGAAACACGCTTATGAGTGCATCAAGAGGCAGGTATGCTAGTCTTCATCAATATCCTAGCTTACCAAGAAATAAATAAATCTTGATCAATTATATTTATAGATCACACCTTAATTTAATTATAGTTTGTTTTGCCCTTCTCTTGAAAATCTAATTAACTTTCCATGCAGTCATCATAATCTATATATGATCCCTAGTAGGATATTAATAAGTAATAACCTATTAGGGTTTGTCATTTGGAAATTTTAATGTATATTAATTAGTAGTGGTCATTCTCTATTTTATATATATATATATATATATATATATATATAACCCTTATGAATATATTTGCAGTTGTAGCTTGAAACTTTTAGTTATTGAAACACATATGTTTGGCTTTTCATTATACTTGTAGTTTATGAATCTTGGGAGAGTAAGTATATTTATATTACCCTTACCTCCCTCTATCTCTGTGAGAGGCATAAGATGAACCCTAGCCAGCAACATATATATGTTTGATGTACTTGGCCTTAATTTCATCGATCGCTAGAATTGGATCTTATATCCTTCTTCCTGTTTATGCAAACCAATCCCGTGGCACGGAGCCCAAAACATTTATCGAGTATGATTACAACTATGTATCTTTCCATATGTAATTTCTGATTAATTCAGAATGGGAATTAGGAATGATAGATGCAGATGTACGGACACATACATTATTGTTAATTGGATCATTTGAGAGTACTACTTAATTATCTCTTTCAGTTCATGTACATCAATTTGTATCATTATATATATGTGTGTGTGTGTATATATACGTACACCACATATTAGGATCAGTTGTTTGTCAATCAATGTTAATTAATTTTCCGAACAGTGGCATACGACTCTGGTAGCACCCAATAAGCAAGACAGCCGTAAGTAACATCATGCACAAACATTTTAAGCCAAATGTAAAAAATAAAAATAAAATAAAATAAAGAAGCAAACTTTATTTCAACGATTACATTACTTGATTTATGTGGTTGGAAAGCTAGCCCAGATCCCTGCTGTAAATTTTGGTGCTGTAATTATTTTCAAAGCCACTACATCTATTTTCAACACATTTGTTTTTTTTTAGCCAGTTGTAATGTATTGAAAAATGTATGTAATGTGTTAATATATGTAATATATTGAAAAACACATGTAATGTGTTCAAAAGTGTATAACATCACTACAAAAAATGAGATTACAGTCGAAGATCCTAGCTCTGTGTGTGTGTGTGTGAGTGAGATATGTTAAGAAGTGTACAAAATCACATCATCAAGGGAGATTATACACTAGAGACTGTGAATCTTCAACATGTGAATCATTTTGTGTTTTCTGTGAAGTATTTATTTGAAAATTATTAGAAGGAAATGCACATATAAATAAATGACTAGTATCACATATATATTGTTAGATCCATATCTTAAAAATTTAAGTTTTGGGACAATTGACAATTACGTACCTAACGTATATATATCAATTTTTTGGTTATGTGAGGTCTTGGATTCGATCCTCTAAATTTGCATTTGTTGTCCTCTTCTGTTTTTGTCTATTTGCTTTGTTTTCTATCCATTCGACTCTCATATGAAATAGGGTCACATGAGGAAGTGTGTTAAAAGTATGATTTGCGTGTGTTGTTAGCTAGCTAGATCATTCATTCATTCATTTCAGAACAAGTCAACCTTTGGTGTAGTTGATAATCTATTGAGGATTTGGCAAGTTACATTGATTGGTGCAAAAAAAAAATACAACTAACATAACAAAAATTCAAATCCGACATCTATATACGGACCACCTTGCATAAGATAAATACTTCTATGTATTTGTGAACGATGAATATTTCGAAAAATTTAGTATATTCTTCTTGATGCCAGGGATTTATAATGCCACTAATCTTCAATCTGTGTACTATAAAACATTGTCACCCCATTCAATGGACGGTAAATCATATGATAAAGTTTAGATTAGTCCATGCATTTTTGTTAAATAGAAAATAAATTGTGGTAGAAAAAAGTTTCCAAACCAAATACAAGTTGCTGTGTACGGATTGCAGTGTATCATGAACAAGGTTTGTGTTACTTCCAATAAAAAACAACTAAAGAGGTAGAAAAAGAGGAACATCCACTACACACACACACGCACAACATAGCTAGACCCAAATTCTAATACAAACTTCTTAGGATTGTATTTAGAATTTGTACTTTTGTTACCCAAATTCTAATACAATCTTCTTAGGATTGTATTTAGAATTTGTACTTTTGTTTCGACTTTCTTTTTGAATGAAGTTGTTGCTTGCCTCATTTAAAAATAAAATAAATTCCATAAATATGCTCCAAATCTATACATTTTGTTCTGAACTCAAATCTTACTTTCTTCAGATCAGACATATCCTCCAAAGTGACTCAGCAGGTTTATAATAGTGACTTGCACAGGAATAGTGCATGTGACAGTGCTAAACTCCCGTTAAACAGATCATGGATTCAAATTAAAGGAGTTGTGATATATATATATATACTCCTTTCGTCCCAGTCCCATATAAGCAGTCCATACATTTTGTTCTGAACTCAATCTTACTTTCTTCATATCAGACAGATCCTCCAAAGTGACTCAGCAGGTTTATAATAGTGACCTGCACAAGAATAGTGCATGTGACAGTGCTAAACTCCCGTCCAAACAGATCATGACCTCAAATTAAAGGAGTGGTGATATATAGTAGTCCATTATTTCATTTTTACATGTTCCAAATTAGTTGTCCTTTTGAAAAATCAAAGCATTTTTTTTTTATATTTCCATCATTGTCCTTTATTTTTTAAAAAAATTTCAAACTTTGTAACTTTATATGTTTAATTTAGAAAGAACAATTTGATAATTTTTAAAGGGGACATTGCATTAATTGCATGTCCCTTTAAAAACTTCAATTTCTATATTATAGGGGTGGCAATTCGTGTTGCGGATCGTAATCGTGTCGTGTCAATTTAAGGATATTATAATAAACAGCTCAATCTGAACACGACCCATTTAATAATCGTGTCAGGAACTCTCAACACTAATTCGACCTGTTTTGTGTAACCCGTTTAATGACCTATTTATAAAAAATAAAAAATTATATTATTTAAATTATTAATAAAACTCAATAAAATAATAAATACCAAAAAATATATAAGTTTTAATCAACCAAATTACTAAATGGTTTCTAGTTTACAAAAAATTAAATTATAAGATACAAGTTTATAGTAATTTTAGAATTTAAATAAAAATTTATTTACGACATATATAGTTAAACGTGTATAAATAGGTTATACGGGTTGAATCCCTCAACCCAAACACAACACGATTAACTAAATAGATTAATTATGTCAACTTGTTTATAACCCAAATTCGTTTAAAATCAATTCAAACTAGTTTAACTCACATGTCATGCTCAAGTCGTGTTAACTTTTGCCGTCTTTACTTTATGTGGACGGAGGTTTTATTATATATGTGTATGTATTATTGATTGCTTTGTTAAAACTTCAAAAGAATGAATCTCCAGTATATGTATGTGTGTAAAAAGCTAAAGAGATGTCGGGTGACCAAAACGTGGTCGGTGGCACAAAAGATTGTCATCTTTGTCAAAAGTACACCGTCCCAGAGTGGCATACCATTCATCAAATGCCTGTACGTCAATTACTCCAATCTCTCTCTCTCAAAAACACACATATCAAGGTATGGATAGCTTGCAAAAGTGAAAAAGAATCTCCAGAATTAAAGAAAATATTATCTTAAGAAAAAGCAATGCGAGACCGAATTCCATCTAGATTGCCATTAACATTCTAGCTTTACAAAGTTGTAAACATATTCCCTCGGCCTTAAATAATTGTTCACTTAATCAATTATGATAATAAATTTTTATTTTGTAAATTGTGACTCACAAAATTTACGAAGTGCACAACATATTATTTTAGAGCGAAAGGAATATATATATCATATTATGCTTATAAGGTGTTATAGAAAATTGATCATCAAAACAATTAGAGAAGAGCTTCTTAAGACATTTAGTTTGTATAATTAGTACAGTACTTATCTTGATGATGAAAAGAAACATGCAAACTTAATAAGTAAGCAAGTCACCCAAACAAACCATCACCTTAAGAAAGTACTTTTGAAGAACATAAAACTAATATGTTTTTTTCCCAAAAAACAGAAAAAAAAAAAAAAAAAAAAAAAAAAGAGACTCAGTGCAAATATAAAAAATTACATTCGAATATTATTTTTCATCTTTTCTGAAGGTATGTCTCTCTGTTTGCCTGTAATGCTTCATCTTTGTTTTAATACTACACCAACTAGGAATATATATATATACACACACACACACATTAATTTAATGCCTTAGAGAAAGAAAATTAAAAAAGGTGAAAAAGAATCTCCATTAAACAAAAGTAAAGGCTGCTTACGCACCAAGTTAAGCACCTTTGTTATCTATGCTTTTCTTCTTTACCTTCCAACTAATAAACTCCGCTATACACACACTCTCTCTTTCTCTCGTCTTATATTACATCAAACACTTCCCATTCTTCTTTCTAGTTTCTACTACACAAGTAACACAACCCAAAACACATGCACATACCGGACAATGTGATAAAGCTGTAATCAACCCCAACATTTCCAAAACACCACCAAATTAAGCTTCAATTATGGACCCGGTCCGAAAATTGATTGTTCAGGTTGTTGACGCTCGCGAACTTCTTCCCAAGGACGGACATGGATCTACCAGTCCCTACGTGGTTCTCAATTTCTACGGCCAGAAGAAGAGGACCCGAACCGTCATCGGGGACTTGAACCCAACCTGGAATGAAAAAATCGAATTCAACGTCGATAAGCGTCCGTCGTCGGTCATCGGCGACCTTCTAGAGGTTGATGTCTATCACTACCACGACCGAAGCATTGGCCCCACAACGAAGGACATCTTTCTGGGTCGGCTCCGATTGAGCTCGCGACAGTTTGTCAAGAAAGGTGAAGAGGCACTGATTTACTATCCGTTGGAGAAGAAGAGTCTATTCAGTTGGGTTCGGGGTGAGATTGGATTGAAGATTTATTTCGTCGAACCCGTATCACCGCCCTCGCCACCGCCGTCGGCGGAGGACGTCAAACCACCTGATGCAGCTCCACCACCGCCACCACCAGTTGAACCCGGATCCGACACTCAGCAGCCGAAAGAAGATGCAGTGGCGGATGGTGCAAAATCTGACACACAGGCAGTGCCTCCGCCTGAGCCCAACCAGGCGCCGGCGGCGGACCCACCTCCAGATGGCGGGAAACCCAGTGAAGACATACCTCCTCCTGCGGGTACTGAAACTGCTGAGAAACCGCCGGAACCTGACCCACAACCCCAAGATGCAAGTACGGTTCCAGTGGATCCCGTACCAGCTCCATCGGTGCAACCAGATCCATCACAGCCACAAATGACGGCATCACTATCATCACGATCAGGACCTGAATTTGGTTTCAACGGTCCTCAGCCAATCAGCCGCCACGCATCGGTCAGTAGCTTCATGTCGGACCCATCGGAGGGTAATCCAATCGAACGGACATCGTTCGATCTGGTTGATAAAATGCACTATCTCTTTGTTCGGGTCTTAAAAGCCCGATCACTTCACACCAACAGCAATCCAATAGTCAAGATAGCGGCTTCGGGTTCTCAAGTCGTATCCAAACCCGCCAGAAGAACCCAATTGTTTGAGTGGGACCAGACATTCGCCTTTGGCCACGACACACCAGATTCCAGCTCCTCCATTTTAGAAATTTCTCTGTGGGATGCACATAACTTCTTAGGTGGGTTATGTTTTGACGTGACAGAGATCCCGTTACGAGATCCACCAGACAGTCCCTTGGCCCCACAATGGTATAGACTTGAAGGAGGTGGAGTTCACGGAGGCCACTTGATGCTTGCCACGTGGCTCGGCACGCAGGCTGATGAAGCGTTTCCTGAAGCATGGAAAACCGATACAGCCGGTAACCCCACTTCTCAGTCGAAAGTCTACCAATCACCGAAGCTTTGGTACCTGAGATTAAGGGTGATCGAAGCTCAAGACATCATGCCGTTAACGTCGTCAAAAGAATCATCAATCCAAGTCAAAGCCAAGTTGGGATTTCAAGTTTTCAAGACCAAACCCTCCGTTACACGTAACGGATCTCCGTCGTGGAACGAAGATTTGATATTTGTAGCAGCCGAGCCGTTTAGTGACCAACACCTAGTCCTTTACCTGGAGAGTCGGCAAGCGAAAGGACCAGTCATTTTGGGAGTAACTAGCATACAACTAACGTCCATAGAGCGACGTGTTGATGATCGGAAAGTGGCGTCAAGATGGTTCAATTTTGACAAAGGCAGGGTCCAGTTATGTGTGTGCTTCGATGGTGGATATCACGTGATGGACGAGGCAGCCCATGTGTGCAGCGACTATCGTCCGACGGCAAGGCAGCTTTGGAAACCCCCTGTGGGGATGGTCGAACTCGGCATCGTTGGATGCAAAAACTTAGTGCCCATGAAGACAATCAACGGCAAAGGTTCCACAGACGCCTATGCTGTTGTCAAGTATGGTAACAAATGGGTTTGCACACGTAGCATCTCTGACAGCCTGGAACCCAGATGGAACGAGCAATACACGTGGAAGGTATATGATCCGTCCACGGTACTGACTATAGGAGTGTTCCAGTTTGACAGTTTGCAATTATGTGAGATGGACGGCTCTGATGAACCCACGCGAAATGATCATCGGATGGGGAAGGTGCGTATACGTATATCTACATTGGAGACAGGTAAAGTGTACAAAAATACGTATCCACTACTATTGTTGTCTAATATTGGATTGAAAAAAATGGGTGAGATAGAGGTGGCAGTACGCCTCGCACGTGTGACTCCCACGCTTGATTTCTTACACGTGTATTCACAGCCATTGTTGCCTTTGATGCATCATATCAAGCCACTAGGCATGATCCAACAGGAGATTTTGAGGACCACCACAGTCAAACTTTTGGCTGCACATTTTTCCCGATCTGAACCGCCGCTTCCTCAGGACGTCATTACATACATGTTAGACGCGGAATCGCACGCGTTTAGCATGCGCAAAGTACGTGCTAATTGGTTCAGGATCATCAACGTCGTTGCTGGGGTGATTGATGTGGTCAAATGGTTGGACGACACGCGTGCGTGGAAGAATCCGACGGCCACCATACTTGTGCATGCATTGTTGGTGATGCTTGTGTGGTTCCCTGATTTGATTGTCCCCACATTTGCATTCTACTTGTTCGTGATCGGAGCATGGAACTATAGGTTCCGGTCGCGGATCCCACTGCCACACTTCGATCCGAAGATCTCATTCGCCGATTCCATTGATGGTGATGAACTGGATGAAGAGTTTGATGCAGTTCCAAGCAGTAGACCAAATGAGATGGTACGTGCGAGGTATGATAAGCTACGCTCGCTGGGGGCACGTGTCCAGACTATATTGGGTGATTTCGCCACGCAAGCAGAACGTGTGCAGGCATTAGTGACTTGGCGAGACCCACGTGGCACGGGGATTTTTGTGGGACTTTGCTTTGTTGTGGCTATGATTTTGTATTTGGTACCGTCAAAAATGGTGGCAATGGCATTCGGGTTCTACTATCTGCGCCACCCTTTGTTTAGAGATCGAATGCCGTCACCGGCATTGAATTTCTTCCGAAGGTTGCCTTCGCTATCTGACCGAATCTTGTAGGCCGTTGATCTACAAAAAAAAACTAAAGATTTCACTCAGATTGTTGCAAAAATCTATTGTTCATACGAATAAGTTATAAATTAAGCATATGGTGGACTTGGAATCACTTGTAACACTCTCTGAATGCAATATAATTTTTGCTACTCATGCAATAATTAGGTGACAATATATAATGAATTGATGAAATATTTCTGATATGATTTAAGCGTTTATCTTATAAAAATAAAAAAAATGAAGTAGATATATTAATCTAATACTCAAATGATATAGTTTGGTGTGAATAAAGAAATAAGCCTATACAAGACAACGTCAAAAAAGGTCAATGTTTGGCCTGCAAAATGGACAGATATTGTGCATGTGACTATGTTTCTATCTGAATTGAATAGAAAAACAACCTATGTTTGCTGCATGTGACCATGTTTGTATCAATAAATTCATAATTTTTTTTAGATTGGACTTTAATGAACAAAATCCACGTGTGATTCATCCAAATTATTTAATATATGCTTATAACTCAAGCGTGTTACTTCTTTTCTCTCAATGTTCATGTTTAAAAATTAGAGTTTTTAAGGAATATACAATTAACGTATTATTCCCTTTTAAAATTACTAACTTGTTTTTTTTAGTTTTGATATGCATAATTATAAAATTTGATTTTTTTGGAAAATATAGAGAACAATGATGGAAAGATAAGGCTTATTTATTTTGAATTTTTGGAATAGACAATCACTAGTAATTTAATACATCTAAAATAAGATTGTGAACTACTAATATAGGACAGAGGTAGTGTAACTCACAGAAATGAGTTTCGGGTGAGACCTATCAAGCTTCATTTATTTTCATACCCTACTGATATAGTTTTTGTTTCCTTGAAAGGGAAATGCAAATTTACTTAAAATTCTTCCTTTTAAAATTTAATAATAAAAAATTGTATTTGTAAATTTTGATTAATATAATTTTTTTTCTAAAATTTTGATTAATACTGAATGAATATTAAGGAATCGAAGACTCCAAACATATATTTTGTTCAAATGAATTAATGGACCTATAAAATAGTTACTTATCATTACCATTACCAAATATGAGGAAGAAGAGATGTTACTGCTTTCTTATATTTTGCATGCATTATTAAAAAAAATTGTCACTCAAACAAATTACTTTAATTTATGGGCCAAAAAATTAATTTTCTTTTGTTATACACAAATCTGCTAAAGAACAACCACATTGATTTTTCATAAAGACCTAAAATGTACCTGAATATTAAACCATATTAAATGTGATGTCTAATCCAATCCAGATTTGTCATGTGACCTAGAATGATTCAAGAGTTGTTGAGGCTGGTTTAGGATGCTTCTACCACACACACCGAAAGAGACAGCACAAAACAATACGAAGCCCAAGGAAAATCTTAGCCTAGGAAATAATTGGACCAATTTGGCCCACTTCTCTATGCCAATCTCTAGCTTAATTCCCATATTTCCCAGAAAATAAAATAGCTCATCAGACTGTCAGATAATATAAAATTCTTATTCTTATTCTTGCTGTTGAGAAAAAAACGAATCCTTTTAACAGAAATGTTGGTCAGCAACGCGCCTTTTCCAGTTTTTCCTAAAGTTGTTTTTCGAAACTAACAAAACGCCTTTTATATTTTTGAATTCAAATATTCTTGTTGACCAGTGTACTTTAGTGAACTGAAGAAAGTTTTTATACTCCCATCAGTTTTAATAGGTGTTGGATGATATTATATCTTCAATTTAATTGCAGAACAAAGCACTAAACAAAAAATATATATATTAACTTCTAATTGGAGGATTTCAAAATTCTTAAATAAAGAAAAATACGGAGTATTAACTTTTAAAAATAAAAATATGAATAGTTTGATACAATTAATCGCGTCATGGTATGAACTGTGTGTTACCTTCTACGTAATGTAATAGTGATTTTTCCCCTAAAAAAACCCAACAAACAAACTTTTCTATTAATACCACCCCCATCCCTCCATTGCTTTACAGTTCACCATTTCCCAGATTGGGCATATAGCAAAATAAAAACCTCACTCTACCCTTCTCTGCCTCTCTCTCTCTCTCTCTCTCTCTCTCTCTCACACACACAAATAGCAGAGGCTACGCGTTTCTGGGTCCCTACCTGTAAGTACAGACAGCTCATTTTCCTGTGTAAATCAATCTGCAAGCTTCTGTAGTCATGAATCATTGATTATGGAGATCATTGTTGTTATCTTAACTGAAAATGGATTCAAATGCCTTGTTCTGTTTCTGGGTTTACCTTATATTTTTTGTTCTGTTACTACATACTAGATGAGGCCTGTCCGATTTAATCTCTTACTTTAATAATTTTGATTCTTTTCTTTTAGTAAGTCTTATCTACTTCTTTTAAGTTTGTCTTAGCTAGAGTGAACTATCAACTGTTAAATTTATTATCAAATTGGGTGATTTACAATGTTTTTCCTTTATATTTTAATCCTTCAGTTTAATAAAGTATACATTTGTTTATTTATTCTACTTATTTATTTATTTATTTATATTTTCCATCTTTATGTGATCAATTGTTTGTTGGAAGTTATTATTGTACCATTTTACAGATCAAGTTTATGCATTTTACCCTTAATTGGATAAGATGAATGCAAACACAAATACACAGACATACATAATACTAGGATGTGTGAATTAAGATAATACATGTTCTGAATTAATGCTGCTCCTTGTAGTTCATTTTTCTATTATAGTTTTTACCTTTATATCTATTTCTCGTGTTTCTTCCAAATTTGGTTTGTCAAGTTACTGTCCTTTTGCCCCAAATTAACTGAATAATCTTTTTCTGAAATGCTATATCAAGTTTGTTTGTATCAAGTCCGATTTTATTTTTTTTATTGTTTTGGAAATTTCAACTGTGAGATAACACCATTTATGGTGTACTGGGTGTCTAATCTACCATCATACTATTATTTCTATGTATAGGCAATTTAGGGAAGAAACATGGGAAGGATTTCAATACTCTTGATAGGGATTTTAGTAATGTGCTGCTGGGCAGCCATGGCAGAAGCGGAGTACATGAAATACAAAGATCCTAAACAACCACTAAATATTAGAATCAAGGATCTGCTAAGCCGGATGACATCAGAGGAAAAGATTGGGCAAATGGTTCAGATTGACCGGAGTGTTGCATCGGCCGAGGTCATGAAGAAGTACTTCATTGGTAAACATCAATAACATTCTTCTTTCCTATATAATGAATGATGTTGTTTTTAGATAGCAATTGCTCAATATGCTGTTTGCACAGGGAGTTTATTGAGTGGCGGTGGGAGTGTTCCAGCTAAACAGGCATCGGCTGAGACTTGGGTCAAGATGGTGAATGATTTCCAGAAGGGTTCTCTATCAACTCGTCTTGGGATCCCAATGATTTATGGGATTGACGCTATTCATGGCAACAACAATGTTTACAAGGCTACAATTTTCCCTCACAATGTTGGGCTTGGGGTGACAAGGTCAGTGAGCAGAAATTAGCAAATATCTTCATAGAGATAAACTTGTTAACCATGTAGTTAATTGTGTCTCAGACATAATTGAATTTACTGGTAAACCAAACTTGTTACGAACTTTAGGTTTGTGCTCTTAGGTCTCTCGAAAAATCTATCCGCAGAATGGAGCGATTGAAAAAGTCAAAGTTATTGTTAAAAATCAAAGTAATAATGACAACTCTACTTTTGTACTGTAATAAACAGTCAAGCCCATTATCTCAAATCAAAACCTACTAAAGCCACTAAGAGATTGTTTCAGCTGATTCTTCAAGTGGAACAATCATGAGTTTTTCTGTAGGGAGGACAATGAGTGGCGAATCTAAACCTTTCCCTTTCAACTATTGCCTTTTAACCTTCCTCTTTTCTTAATTATTATTATTATTATTATTTTCGTAAGAAGTCCCAAGAAAGAATGAAGATACATAATAAGATTTTCTCTAGTCAATCCTATGGAGGGAGTTTTGCCTCTTTATCCGGTGCTCATGATATACCTTTTTGTCAACCAGGGACCCTGAACTTGTCAAGAAAATTGGAGCTGCTACTGCTCTTGAAGTTAGAGCAACAGGAATACCTTATGCTTTTGCGCCATGTATTGCGGTAACTAAATCAACAAAAAATAATTGCTGCTGGATTTAAGAAAATCTTTAACTTAATGAAGTTCTCATATTTTTTCCTCAAGTTAATTTGATGTGAAATACAGGTTTGCAGGGATCCAAGATGGGGCCGGTGTTATGAAAGTTACAGTGAAGATCACAAGATTGTTCGAGCCATGACTGAGCTCATACCTGGATTACAAGGAGATGTTCCTGCTAATTTCCGAAAGGGTGTTCCCTTTGTTGCTGGCAAGTAAGGGTTTTTGCGAATCAATAACTACTTCTTAGTTATGAACATAATCTAGTGATGAACTCATTCTTGGATCAATTCTAGCAATTTTCTGTGCTTTGTGTACATTGTGGAAAGTAAAGAGTTAACGGTGTATCTGCTTTGCATGTGAATGTTTTATATATCACCAAACCTGATGACTCAGAAAGTGTAATAGGTTTATATATCTGCTCTGCATGTAATAGGTTGTTTGCACTTGGATTTTTTTGTTTGAAGATGTATAGCTTTGGTTTATATGATAGTTTGTGTCGATTTCTTGGAGATTTGGCTGCATATAGATTTGTGTCATGTAACATTTTTTATTCTCATCCACCTTTATTTATTTATTTATTTTCAGCATCCACCCATTCTTTGAGCTTGTCTAAAATCAAGTCCATTTTGGCTACTTTCAATTTGTGACAGTTCTGATGGTCTAATTTCTAGGGTTTTTTTTTTTTTTTTTTGCTAAGGATGAAGTAGGCTTCTATTAAAGATGTCTTGTGGATCATAGATAAATTCTCCCTTATGGACATATGAAAGCAACCCTTTTGGTTTTGTGCTTGATTGAGGCCTTAGTGGAGTGGACCATGGTTCCACCAACTATAGAAATAAAGGAAACATAAAAAGGGAGAACTTAAAAAAGAAAAAAAAAAAAGAAAAAAAAAAAAAAGAAAGAAAAAAAGATAGGCCTAACTGCATATTCAAGCTTAACATTTTGACTTAGTGATTTATTTATTACTACATTCATATCCAAAATCAGAAAACCTTACTGGTAGTCCTAATATATTCATCAAATAAAAGTACTCAACAATGAACCATTAGTTCAGCTATATCTTTGCATTTTAATATGACTGAAGTTCTGATATCTAATCTGAGAACTAAAAGAACATAACCAGATAATTGAATGCTTTGTTGGGAAATTACTCTTGTTCTAAGAATTAGTTTTAAAGAAACAATAAACTTTTGTCTTACAAGATACCCTATAATTGACTTTACCTAAATCACTTTGTTATTTTCCTTGATTTATTTATTTTCACGTTTTGTAGAACAAAGGTTGCTGCATGCGCTAAGCACTATGTAGGTGATGGTGGAACAACCAAAGGCATCAATGAGAACAACACTGTAACGACAAGAAAGGGTTTGTTCAGTATCCATATGCCAGCCTACTATGACTCAATTATCAAGGGTGTGGCAACTGTTATGGTCTCCTACTCAAGCTGGAATGGGATAAAAATGCATGCTAACCGTGATCTTATCACTGGCTTCCTGAAGAACACCTTACGTTTCAGGGTAAATTAAATTAGAGTAATTTTGACTCTTTAAGTCCCAAAAATTTGCATAGATTTTTGTATCAATGCCTTTTTAGAAATTAGTTTTTTTTTTTTTTTTTTTTTTTTTTTTTGTACCATTATTCAACTGGAAAATGACTTTAGTAGAAAAAGGCAAAAATAACCTCTTAATTTCTGGAATTTACAAAATGGCTTGAAACTGATAAACAAAATGTGAGGGCTGTCTTGATCCCTTCAACAACCCAAAAAAAATTCTAAAAACCAACACTGTAAAATCACAATCTTCCATTGAATTTTAATTGTTTCTAAAGCCAGAAGAGAGAATGATATGCGATTATCTCAATTTTATGTGTGTGGCCTTCTAAGTCCTAAGTCATTCTTGTTAATCAACTTCTTTAAGCCAATTTCCATTCAATCTCTTGCTCCATATCCCTTAAGTAATGCTTGGTGTTGCCCAGGTGGATTTTTTTCAATTATTATCTTTTCTCTTTGAATAGTTTCTGTATATTTCCAAACTCATTCCCATTCCGTGGCCATAATTGAAAACAATTATTCTTAATTTTGTGCAAACTCTAATCAATTGGATCGTTGTTTCACATGTATCAAGGTTGTTGCATGTCTACTGACAGTAGCACCAGCTCAAACTAAATTCTTCTTTTTCTGTTAGGGTCACCTTAAAATCCTTCCATGTCTACCACCATCACCAAATGGTCTGACGTGCTTGCCACTATTATTATACTGTAGTAACCTTAGCCAGTTTTCTAGACACAAGCTTTTTTCTGTCACATCTACCCCAATTATGTTATTTTGTAGAGGAAACAAGCCTTCTGCACACTGTAGATCTTTACCACTATACATCATGCCTTCTTGCCCCAAATTTTGGTTTCACTAAATCTCATTATGATCTCCCAGTTAAAGTCATCATAACTGTACCAGAGATACCAGTTGCCTCAAGCCTTCATTGTTGTCTTCTCCAAGGTAATCTAGGTGATCCATGAAATTTGTTAAAAAATAAAAAATTATCTTCACTGTCCATTTTAACCGGTTGCCCCAATTTATTACAAAGGGGTATTGTTGGTATCTAAGATTAAAAACCTGTTGGCTTATGTAACAGGTTAAATTAGTACCAATCTTGTGTTTTTATGTGTCTTTTTTATGAACAAAAGCAACTAATATTGAGGTATGAACTGGTGAAATGTTTTAGGGTTTTGTCATCTCGGATTGGGAGGGGCTTGATAAGATCACTACTCCAGCTCATGCTAACTACACATATTCCATTGAAGCTGCAATTAGTGCCGGAATTGACGTGGTAACTAATTTAAATTAGATTTCATGCTTAAAAATATGTGTAATTTGAAGTTCAGACTATCAGATTTTAGTCACTTAGTAATGAAGTACCACCAATCCTATTGTTGTGGGCACATTGCAGGCCATGATTCCTTACAACTATACCGAATTCATTGATGGTCTAACCCTCCTGGTTAAGAATAAGATCATCCCCATGAGCCGAATCAATGATGCGGTAAGGAGGATTTTGCGGGTCAAGTTTGTGATGGGTTTATTTGAGAACCCATTGGCTGATCTTAGCCTGGCCAAACATCTTGGAAGCCAGGTCAGTCTATAAGTTAGTTAAATTCGATATTCTTTGGATATACTTTGTTCAAAATGTAAGAAGTAAGTATCTTCTTCCTATAACATTAACAGGAGCATAGAGAACTGGCAAGGGAGGCCGTGAGAAGATCTCTTGTACTGCTAAAAAATGGTGAATCAGCTGACAAGCCATTGTTACCCCTTCCTAAAAAGGCATCAAAAATCCTCGTCGCTGGAAGCCACGCAGACAATATCGGTAATCAGTGTGGTGGGTGGACAATTGAGTGGCAGGGACTTGGTGGCAATATCACAGTTGGTACATTTACAATTACCCCTTTGTCTGCTTGAATTCCTACTTTTTGTTGTCAAACACCTTAACAATCTTCTTCTAAGGGGTGATGTTGCCAAAAAAGTTCCAATTATTCAATGATATCACTTCCAAAATGTTCTTTTCATTTACAGTGAGTAATATATTAATAAGTTTTAAATAATACATGTTTAAAAAAATAATACTAATATATTTTCAAATTTGGTTTAATAGTAAATATGTATTTCTCTTAGAATTCTAGAAGAGGAGAAGTTTGAGTGAATTAGATTTATTTAGAAAAAACCTTGTGAATTCGTATAGTTAATGTATCTTAAGAGTCCTATAATAGAGAGAATTACAAAAATCAATGTGATATATCTTATATAATTTTATTTCTATAGCCAACTCAAAATTAAGTATTTCTACACAAGTTATAAAATTGAAAATTACAATTGTATAAAGGATAAACACTTATGTTATAGATACACACCTAGTTAAATGAACATGTAAAACATTTCATTAGTTGTGTATGAAGAGAAGTCTAAAGACCATTGCAATGAACATTATTATTAGTCTATGTACATGAGAGTGGTATGCTCTGGTGGGTTATCCAACTTCTTGGATTAAAAACTAAAAATGTAGATAAAAAATAAAAATCCACACTTCTATTAGTAGTACAGATATAGATTGGGTGGATCTAGGTAGATATTTATGTTGTTCTACCATTATTCTTTGGTGTTTCATTTGGAGATGATAGATAACCTTTTCATGTGCAGGTACCACAATCCTTGGTGCCATAAAAGATAGTGTGGATCAGAAAACTAAAGTAGTCTACGAAGAGAATCCTGATGCTGACTTTGTCAGGTCCAACAAATTCTCCTATGCCATTGTTGTGGTGGGAGAGCCCCCATATTCAGAGACAAATGGTGATAGCTTGAACTTGACAATCCTTAACCCTGGACCTAGCACCATCACAAATGTCTGTGGAGCTGTGAAATGTGTTGTGGTCGTTATCTCTGGTCGTCCTGTTGTGATTCAACCTTATCTTGCCACAATTGATGCCCTGGTAGCTGCTTGGCTTCCCGGAACTGAAGGCCAAGGTGTAGCAGATGTTTTATTCGGTGACTATGGTTTCACAGGCAAGCTTGCACGTACTTGGTTCAAGACTGTTGATCAGCTCCCTATGAACGTAGGGGATCCACATTATGACCCTCTCTTTCCATTTGGATTTGGACTCACCACCACACCGATTAAGGCCAACTAGAAGTTCTACACATCGGAATCTAGTCTAAGATAGCATGAGACTAGCTATTTATTGCATCTTGTTTGGTTGGCAATATGATAATTCCCATCCAGTGGGTTTTTTGACTAGTGATTTTAAGGACAGTTTGAAATGTAATAGCTGTGCGAGGTTTACTGCATTGATATGGTTGAGGTCATGGTCACACTGAGCTGCACATTCTTGGCCAGCTATCACCATCTAAAGATGTCTAGACATTACCCTTCTGTCTGCTTTTCTTTTTCCATTAAAAGATAACTTATCTGAAACTAACAAAACAGGAAGGGCAGAGTATAGAGACACCCCCTGAGGTTTGGAGGAAGGCCATGCAGAGGAAAATTGGCTTATTTTTGGACAATCACACTCCCTGTGATATTTGTCATCCAAACAGAGTCTTAAAACATGTGAAAAGTTCATTTTACCCTTCACTATTTTATTTATTTTAATTATAAAATATCCAAATATTTAAATGACCAAATTATCCTTTTCATAAATACACACACACACACACACACAAACAACCACAGTAATCACCACTCCCAACCTCGACCTTATCGAAGCTCTGCCGCCGCCGTCGCCGCCTCAACCTCGTTAGAGCTCGGCCTCATTTCGGGCAAACTCGGCCTTGGATAATAGATCCGTTATCTTCTTACTCTTCACTTTCTATACCGCTAGTATTGCGTTAGGCGTCATCAACAGCGATCCGTCAAATTATCCGCCGGAATTTGACACAAAGCCCATAATTCTCCTCCCCATCGAGAAGCTGAACTCAGACTCAGAACCAGCCAACATCGCTGAGATTGAACCTGAAGCCACTTACCACCATCCACCACCATGGCCGCCCCCACCAGCGGCATAGCCACAGGGGGACAAATGGGAGCAACTGTCCCCACTAAACTTTTAATTTTTTAAAAATTTTATATGAAAAGATTTTTATATTTGTATTGTTGCCCCTCTAAAATTTGACAATGCACATATATATCTATATATATATATAACCAAAAGTTCATTCATGAGAGGAATATAATCGTGGTACAATTGTAAATATATATAATATATCTATCAATTTATACTTTTCCAGAAAATATGATATTTTTTTTCACTTTCTATTATATTCTTTTCCACTTTCCAAAAAAAAAAAAAAATCAAGATATTCTACCACACTTTTGACTTTACAATAAACAAATGGATGATTTCCATCACATCTTCATCTTCAATATTTTCCACAATACAAACAAAGCAAGCGAGTGCGATAAACAGGTAATTTGATATTTTTTTTTTATCATCTAAATTTATTATTATTTGATATTATAATTTTAATTAGAAAAATTATTAGTTATTTGTATCAAAATTATTTTAGGGCTTGTTGTTCTTTCAAATTTTTGTTTGTGTTTTTATTTTTTATTTTTACATATGTGATATATTAGAATAGTTAGGTAACTGTAGTATTTTCTTTTTCATATCTTATTATTGACATTAAATATGATTTTTTTTTTTAGTATATTTAATTGAATGAACTCAATTTTGAAACAATAATGAACAATCATAAAAATCGTTGTGAATGTACTGAATACAAATATTATGAATTAATATTTTAATTTTTATATATATTGTTTTGGTTCAAATTATATATATTATTACTATTAAAAATTGCCCCCACAGAAGAAATTTTTTGGCTATGCCACCAGCCCCCACCACCAGTCCTTTCATTTCTCTCTAACCTCCTACCACCACCCACAATTGGCACCTCCACCACTGCTCACCCACCATACAAAACAACTATCTCCACCCTTTCACCACCACCACCCACAATTAGCACCTAAATCATCAACATCACCACAATCACGAAATCCCCAAATTGTCCGATTGTCTGAGGCAAAAGCCCTATGTGAAATGCAAAACCCATTAAACTCTCCTTTTAGCATCTTTAACCCGCCATTTTTGTTCTATCTATTTAATAAATACACACACACACACATAGAGGCGTGATCTGTGGCCTTCCACTTCCAATTCCAGCGACAGCGAAGAAAAGCGAACCGGACAACGGTGATGATGATCAAACTATCTGGTGACGACTAGCCACGATTCCGATGATGTGAAGAAAACCAACGAAGATATAGTCCATATCAGCTTCGAGATCATAGGGCTTCGAATCGCCGTTGGATTTCAGAACAGAAGACTCGAACGGCGAGACAGTGCACTCAGGATTTGGGGACGTCTCGAAACCGAACCGAAACCATAGGGTTCCAGCGAGTGAAGATTATTGTTGTTGTTGGTGTCTAGGGGAATGAGGTGTGTTCGACGATGAAATCGTCGTCAGCAGCAGTGGCAGGGAATTTGTGGTAGTCAGCCGGGATTCAGGATATGTTTGGTACAGTGGGTTTAAAGAGGGAGGATAACATTAGTTATGAGGGAAAGGGAAGGGAAGGATAATCTTAACCCCCTATCGTGTTTAGTTGGTTAATGAAGGAAAAGAAAGGAAATGACAATAATCATGTTTAAGAAAAGAAAGGGAAAGAAAGGAAAGGGAATTATTTTAATAAATTGACTATTATACCTTTTTATTTTTCTTTTCTTTTCTTGTGCAGGTATAGGAGACTATATATATATAGTCTCCTATACCTGATTGGTCGCAAGAAAAGAAAATAAAAAAAAATTAGGGCAAATCATTTCAGCCTCCCCAATCTTGGCTCCATCTCTATTCTCGTTCTGTTCTAAACTCTGAACTTGCCCTCTCTCTCTATCTCCCTCTACACTACAAGAATCAGAAGTTCGAAACCCAAACCCATATATTTCAGTTTATCTTTTTGTCTACAAGAATCAAAAATTCAAAACCTGTATCGTTATATCATTTCAGATTGTTCAGAAAATCAAAACCCATATCTTTCAGTTTCCATCGCCGCTGTTCCAGTTCGGGTTCGCCGTTCTCAAGCTTTAGCCGCTGGCCCTCCGTCTCTCATTCTCTCTGCAACTGCTAACTTGTATGTAACTTGTTTTCAGGGTAAAATTGGCATCACCAATATTACATCAGCCATTGCCTTCCCTTTCCTTCCATTTTTGGGAGGATAAGCAAATCACTGTATAAAGCTATACATAACCCTCTAAACCCTTCCCTCTCCTTTCCTTTCCTTCCACCCATTTTACCCGAACACAATTTTTTAATCACCCTCCATCACCTTCCCTTCCCTTTCTTCCCATTTCCACTCTACCAAACTGAGCCTCAATGTACATACAAAGAGAAAAGGGAAGAGGGTACTTTATACAGGCGGATTCGGGTTAGTGTTTGAGATGGGTTTGGGTTAGGGTTTAATCCAAGGGCATTTAAGTCAATTAAAATGTCAATTTTAAATCAAAGGGTAATAAGGTCAATTCACCATCTTCAGGGTCTTTTTGTCCATTTTTCAACCTTAAAGGGGTGTCATTGTCTAAAAATATGCTAACTTTCCTCTGCATGGCCTTTCCCCAAACCTCAAGTGTCTCTGTACTTTACCCGAAAGAAGAAAAAATGCATATACAATTTTTTTAGGTAAAAAATGTTTGCATATACATTTTATCACTATATTAACGGTTTCACACAAATTGAGCATGTAACAACATCTAACTTATGTAGAGCTCTATATTTTTTAATTCAAATATTTTCGTCCTTTAATATGATAATTCCCATAGACAGAGATAAACCTTAAAAATAAAAAAATAAAAAAATAAAAGTTGACAAACAAACTTGTCTATGAATTCCTGTATAAATTAAACTGCAAGCTCCTCCTGTTCAAGCTCCAATATTTCAGGCCGGTATATATATAGAGCTTGAATAACATCAAAGCCGGCCTCCCCTGACAATAACCCAAAGTCTAAATTCATTCAGAGTAACACTTGGAGTCCTTAACCCCCATTATTACTCAGAGCCAGCTTATTTTAAACAAATATGAAATTATTTTCTATAAGATGAACTTCAATGTACGTGTTGGGAAATTAGGATAAAAAAACTTCAATGCACAAATTGATGATCCAATTTGTGACTGCAAGATACTTACAAAATGAGATGGATATATAATCATACTAATCAAGTGATGCCACTAGGTGAATGAACTATTCAACATAGTATCAGCCACAAAAGGACTAAATGCAACTCTCATGGAACCACGTCGGAGCCATAACTCATACATAACCATATAAAATGCGTCGTAGTCAACTGGGGAATCATGCCACTGGAAATGTTTTCGAACCTTCAACACATTGCTCTGTAGCTGTAGGTATTCATTGAAGCTTATCCCTTTGAGGATTTTCTTGAGCAACGGTATGTCCAATGTCGCAACAACAACTGAAAAGCTCCTCCAGTTTAATATGTCTGCAAATGGGAGATCGTAGTGGTTGGAGATGATGACAGGGACACAACCATAGTATAGTGCATCCCCAATACGAGCAGTGCTTACTTCAAAGCCTTTGACATGGAGGCAAAACTTGCTCCCGAGAAGCTCTTTATCATATGGTGTTGTGAGCCGACCAAAGTGGACAGATATCTCCGAGTCATTTGTCCACACTTGAAGAAGCCTTTCGCGAACTGGCGAGTTGATTGACCCAGCAAAGAAAGCAAGCTTTTCCCTGAAACATCACTCTAAACAGAAAGTAAGATGAGTGCAGTTCATGTTTAGTGAACACAATAAGACTGAGACTGAACAAATTCAAAATATATTTAGATAACATGTCTTATTGGTAAACTTAAGACCTTCAGTGATGCAGCTACAACTGAAATTAATGTAGCAAGTATAATATAACTAAACTGAACCATATGCAAGCTATCTAAGATCTGTAGTACCACTTGAAACAGCTAATATAATCACAACATTAATTTGAGTTTGCTGCCAATCAAGTTATAGGTGAAGCCTACTTCAGAAGCATCATCATTTCATCATGTAAAGGCATTTCTTCTAGTGCATGAAGCCATGGGTTTAGGTTCTTGATGTTTACCAAACAGGTATGTAGTTGCGCAACACTAAAAATAACTTCAATTTGTTTAACGCTAAACATAACTTCAACTGAATAGCATGTCCTAGAAGACTTTTGGAATACACAGGAGCTATTCAAATAGACAACGAAGTACATAGCCTTCAGAAAACAAATAACAGAGTGCAATGAGCATTCTTCACAACTATTATTTATAGAGAAAATCTGATAGTGCATACAAAGAACTTCAATTGAAACTATCCTATCCATAATATAACAAGAATTGGCACATGAAAGATATAGCCTCACCTTTTTGATGAAGCAACATCTGGGGGCTCCCCTTGTCTTGGCCATATTTGTGGCAAGGATGCATCCTTGTGAGCAATATACCCAGACAGGAAATAGCTCGAAGAGCATACAACTTGAATGGCATTGAATTTAACTTCTTCAACTTTCTCCATCGCCGACCTTCCAATGGAATGACAAGCAACATAAAAATGGTCCACCCCACCTGTCCGGTTCCAATAAGGGTAGCTGTGACTAATGTTCAAGATATAATCTCTGACAAATTCTTGGATACCTCCAACTCCTATTCTTGGGTCATGCCGCAACCTTGCAATCGAAAATGGCATAAAGAAGAGATCTGCTGTGGAAGGATCTTTTGTGATGAAATGGCTTTTCACAAGAACTTTTTTGAAGTAGCTTTCACTGGCATAGTTGCCCCCAGGCTCGAACTCCACTGGCAAGAGCGCGTGTGCAAAGGGATCATCATGCCTGTGAGGATAAATATATATCTTGAAGCTTTTATTCATTTCTTTATAATTTTCCAGAAAAATATCTCTGTCATGGAACACCTCATTAGTCACAAAGTTTCCTGAACCATGAAAATCAACAAATCCAGATTGTGGGGTTAAGAAATTAAACTCTAAACACATCCACTAAAGATTTTTCAAATCAGAACATATAAGATAATGGTGTGATTGGATTATTTAATTGCTAGAGTAATAAGAAACTAATTTTTGTGGTTGGAAGCTCTTGAATCGGAAACAAATTAATCTCTCATAAGACTTATTTTGCTTATTCTGAAAATATATGGTTTTTTTCTGAATAATAGAATGAAAAATGACAAGATAACTGTTTGTCATTGAAAGGTTGACAAACCCCAATCATTCTAAAGTTTCGAATCTACATATACTAGGTCATTCTTAAGTGACTTTACTTAACTGGGATCTTACCAAATTTTGATCATAAGTTTATTACCCATCAGTGTCCTATTATGGAAACAAAAAACAAAAAAAACTGTGTCCTATTAACATTACTTAAGTGGATTTATTTATTTTAAATGTCATTTCAATCTTGTCAAGCTCTAATTCAATAATTCGCGAGAATGAAATTGAAAAATGTAATGATTGAAATTTGAGAGAATATTTGACACTGTTAAAAATAGATATTCATATATTGTTAAACTTAACAAGCATTGCATTTAAAATGTAAGACCTTGTGATGAAGTATTGGATCAAGCAATATATCGTAGTATTTTATTAGAACACATCAATAAGTAGCAGATGGTTTTTATAGAAGGCAATAGAATTTATTCGAAACCAGGATTTACATAAATCCATAAAAGAAGACATGAGATCATTCACATGCGAGAGGTAAAGATTCTACTAGAGCAGGCAGGATCAAGACACATCAGTTGTTATCTTATCATAGTAACAGGGACGGACCTACAGTGTGCCAACTGGGGGCCCTAATCAGCTTTCTCTACTAAATTTGATAATGATGAAATTCATTTATTTGCTTATTATGGTTCAAAATTTTCAATCAAGTTTTTTTTTTTTTTTCAATCAAGTTACATTTAAATCTAATCAAGTTGCAATTAAATTTTGCAATCAAGTTGAATTGTGCTCAATGGAAAATATTAATTAATATTAGAAAGAAAAAAAAAAAAAAAATTTGTTTGTTATGGTAGTTTGAAATATATATATATATATATATATATATATATATATATATTGTTTAAACCCACCCCCTCTCAAATAATTTTCTGAGTCCGTGAGTGCTTAGTGAGATAAACAAATAAAATTTTATTACCCAATTTAATATTTATAGCAAAAATTGAATTTCACTCTCACTTAAAGGGTAATGATAAGTTTGTGCTTCAGAATTCTGAGTAAATCGAATAAAGATCATTCAAGATGCAGTGAACATTGTGATAAGCATACCAATAGATATAATAAACCTACCCAAATGTCCACAAAGAATACCAAATAAATTCAAGAATTAAAAATAAAGACCCATAAGCATAAAAGTGATTGTATTCATACCATCTGAGTCAGTTTGAAGTTCCTTTGACAAATGATTCTCATCACCATCCTCCGCTAAAAGAGGTGTTGTCTCAACTTCTTCTGGCTTGAGTGAATTAAAAATTGGAAGTTTGGTGGGCTTGTGAACAGAAATTTGGATGATTGGGTTGGTGGGTGGAGAGATTGATGAAAAATGAAGTGATGATTGTTTGATTTGAAGATGGGTTTGGTGGGGATGAATGAAGAGATTTGAGGTTGAAGAGATGTAGAAGATAATGAAGAGAGATGTGAGGAGAGCTAAGGTTGTAGGTATGAAGAACAAACCTCTAAAAGAATCTGAGATACGCCGACGAGAGAGAGAATAGAGTACCAAAATTGAACGAGCCATCCAGGCTGCTAAGTGAGATCTAGAGAGAGAGAGAGAGAGAGAGACGTTGAACTGTTGTCTATTTGGATGTTGGACTTAAGGAGTCTGGAACCAATGGATCATGTAGGCTTATATAGCCCGAGAAAGAGTAAATGATGCTTTTTATTTTTTATTTTTTATTTAGTCAAATATTATAGCACTCATAGGCTCAGTGCCTCCTATATATATATAGAAGCTTAGTATATTTCTCAAACAAAAAAGGGCAAATTTTTCAAAACCTCCGATATTTTTAAAATTTGATCATAAAACCTCAGCTTGTTTTAAAAAATCTTTACATTTTAAAAAAGTGATCACATTACCCTTCAATATCTGAGTCCAACCCGTTAATCGGACGATAAAATGATAAATTTGATCTTACTTTTTAATGTTAAATAATCTGAACATCCAATAGGATTGTGACAACGCATCACTTCTCACAATAACCACTTCACACTATTGCCAAACAGGCCTAATTACACTAATAATTTTAGCACCAAACACGGCCTTACCCACGCTCTCTCTCTCTCTAAGCTATCGTTCTCCTGTAGCCGAGTATATTGTCGACCAATAGCAAACTCCGGTAACCGATTTCGCCAACCAGTTGGGTCTTCAAGGAAGTTCACGATCTGTATGATGCTTGCCATAAATTTTATTGATTGTGTCTGTTTCTGATTCATCGGAGACTTCACTGGTTTTGGTCACTGCAATTGCGTCTTTGATGCTTAGAGCTTCTCGCCGGCAATCATGGAGTTTAAGGTTGTGCTCTCATCAGTTTCGATGCAATTGCGTCATTGATGCTTTAGAGTTTCTCCAGCGATCTCCATCATCATCATCATGCTCACTCGGGTCAACTCAGTTCCCACCAAACTTAGTCTCAAACTCACCAAACACAACCCTTAGCTGTGCGTGGTGGCCTCTGCAATGGTGAATTGGGGATTGTTGCAAAAAGGATTGCAAACGAACCCTAAAACCAGAAAACGCTCATATAGATACGAACGAAGTATACAAATTAAAACACAATTACACCTCTGCAATGGTGGGGCAACTGGTGGAGACGGCTGTCGGCTTGATGGGTCGTCTTCTTCACAGTGATTCAATAAGGAAACAAAAAGTTGAGAAAGCGACTGAATCGACGGCCATGTGAGATCGCAATAATCTCGACTAGCCAAACCAAAGGCCACCACCGCACTACCATCCCCATCGCCGGAACCGCCACCACCATTCCTACCTCACAACCACCACCGGCGCCACCGTCACCATCCAACACCATTATAAACGCCTCCACCACCACCTCCTTCTACCCCTTCCATCGAAACCCTAATTTCCCACCTTCTTCATCACTGAGTACCCTCGTCGTTGCCACCATGTACCTATTTGGTCCTTCTTCTATCCCAGTTTGATCCCAATTGCTTCAAATTCTGTGATTCCAATTATAAATTTGATAATTGTGGCACCAATTTGATGACGGTGGTTGCGGCTTCCTCGCAGTAGCGACGGTGGTGTTTTATGGAGTGGAATGGTGGTTAGGGACGTGAATGACGTGGTTTGTGCATGAAAGAGTAAAATTGTTATTAAAAAATATAATTTTTAAGTTTTAAATTAACATTAAATAGTAAGGTTAAATTTGACATTTCATAATTTATTTAACGGGTCGGACTCAAATATTGGGACAATGCGATCACTTTTAAAAAGTATAAGAGTTTTTGAAAATAAGTTAGAATTTTATGATCGAATTTTAGAAGTATAAGGAGTTTTGAGAAATTTGCCCAACAAAAAATGAAAAACTTTCTTTTGTTGGGAAAATATCTTATATTCAACATAGTGTTGGGATTTGTATACTTGGTAAAGTCAACTGAACTGTAATTAATATTTATTTTAATAAATTTAATTTATTTAGTAATTTAGGTAAAAATTGAAGCTAATTTTATGGTCCTTTCCTTGGGTAATTCGTGAAAAGCAATTTATAAATAATAGGATTTTGATGTTCCTTCCTTAAAAATTATTACATGATCGGGACTGTTGATGAAATGACATTTAATAAAAAAATAATAAAAATAAAAACATAAAAAGAGGATGTGGTGGATCCCTTCCAATGTATGAAATTATAAAGCAAAATGATGATGATGAAAAATTTCGATTCTTTTATGGCCCAGTATTATTGGGCTGAAGCCGATAAAACATTTTGAATTCTAAGAAGGGTCTGCATGACTGAGGCGACAATTTCATACCTTGAGATAGCCCATTATTGGGCTTGAGATTGCACATTATTATATCAAGTATTAGACTTACTGGAGTCTGGACTGCTAGTCTATTATTCTCTAAACACACACTCACTCTCTCTCCACACCGTACTTTCTCTAAATTGAAGTTTACCATATTGTTGTTGTTCGTCTTCTGATGAACCTTCGTTAAAAAAAAAAAAAAAAACTTCCGATGAACCTGGTTCGCTCGATTGGTTTATTTAATTCGAATATATGTCGTCGTTTTATTTGTTTCCGAGGACTTTTCTGGTACTCAACAACAAAAGACTCTCTGTATCGTCGGATTTCTCCAATCGGAGATTTTAGGGTTTCGATCGTGCCGGTGCTCGATCAGTGGGTCGAAGAAGGAAGGGAAGTATGGAAAGAATTGCTTCAAAACATAATCAAGGAGCTGAGACGTTATAGAAGATTCAACCATGCTCTTGAGGTCTCTTTTCTACCATTCAGATCATTTTTTCATTGTTCCTCATTGTCAATTTTGTTGGGTTTTGCGTCTCTCTCTTTTCTTTTTTTTTTTTTTTTTATTGTGAAATTGTTTCTGTTTTAGTCTTCCCGAGAAAGCTATATATAGTATATGTGCTTTTGTTTGGTTACTGAGAAAATGAGGGGAAAATGGTCGACAAACTGATTTTTTTTGTAATCACGTTACTGAGTCTTTTCTTCTGGGAAATGGGTAGTATTAGATTATAGATAGTAGGTTTTGCTTTTACGGGTCCGCGACGATGAATAATATATTTTTATGCTTATCACCTTCTTTCCTGTTTTTAGCAACCAAACAGACCTTATGTTTAACCGTTCATCAAGTGTTGTGTATATATTTATATATAGAATACACAAATTTATGAAGCGCTTCCTCGAGATATTATTTTCTGATGCAACAAAGAGAGATTATTAAAATACTGTATATTCTTATGCTTTAGAAAATTAGGAGTTTTTTTAATCCATAGTTTCTTAGTGCGATTAGTGCCAGGGAAAATATCTCTGTACACACGATATTTGAAGTGCTTCCTCGAGATATTATTTCTGATGCAACAAAGAGAGATTATTAAAATAGTGTATATTCTTATGCTTTAGAAAATTAGCAGCTTTTTTTAATCCATAGTTTCTTAGTGCTTGTATCCACTTTATATAAATTGCTCTATTGTTTTTAAAATGGAAATTGAAGATTCAAATCTATTACTTGGAACAGAGTCCTAATGGGAAATGGAGATTGCATCTGAATGAAAAGTAAACATTACCAAGGGCATTGCAGCATAGTGGTATTGCCTCGACCTCTCAAAGTGTGAGGTGAAGATTCAAATCCCCATAGGGGCAAATGGGTGTGTGAGTTTCTTGCCAATGAAAAAAAAAAAAAAAAAGTAAACATTGGAGCAAATCAACATATTCTTTGACAGGCATGATTCGTACAACGGTTTTATTGTTCAAAATATTATGTTAAACACAGTTACAGAGTGACCAAAATTTCAATAGGAAGTTGGAGTGTGCCCCTAGATTTTACGAAAAGTCTGGTAATGGAAGGCTTTGAATCTAATGGATTTTCCTTTTTTGGGGGGAAATTGATCTAATGGATTTGTTAAGACATTGAATTTATCGAGGAAAAGTATGAGTCAATTCATGAATATTCATTTCGTTTATTTTTATATTTTCTTTCGAAAAAGATGGTTAACTATAAGTGATTCTGCATTGTAGCTTATTAGCATTACCTGGAAGTGTTATTTGTCCTAATGTAACTTTATCTAATTTAAGACAATGCTGGGATTCATGGGGTTTGTTCTCTTGTAGCCTGATTGTAGAAGTATTGCAGGGGTTCAAAGATGCTTTTTCATATGGAAAGAATGTTTAAATTGCTGAGTTTTTGTCTGGCTAATGTACCATAATGTTTCTTAATTACCTGTTGTGTAATTCCTTATTTTCGGTAGCAACTGAGCTAAGCTGTAATTTTTTTGTTAGGAAAAAAAAAAAGTGTGTTACAAATATGGTCCTTTGTTCGATTTCATCCATCAAAATCATCTGTGTACAGTGATATTGAATATTCTCTTTTATCTCAGATTCTAAACACCTGAAATTGATTTTTATTGCTTTGTCAGATATCTCAGTGGATGAGTGACAAAAGGTGTCTTGAACTTTCAACCCATGACGTTGCTGTACGACTGGACTTGATCTCAAAAGTTCATGGGATTAAACAAGCCGAGAATTATTTCAATAACATTCCAAAAGAATTAAAATCAAGTGAGGTTTTTCGTGCTCTTCTAAACTGCTATGCACAACAGAAATATGTGGAGAAAGCAGAGGATCTCATGCAGAAGATGAGAGAAATGGGAATGGCTAGGTCGCCAGCATGCTTCAATTATATGCTGAATCTCTATTATAAGACAGGAAAACATGAGTTATTAGATGGTGTGATGCAGGAGATGGAAGAAAAGGGCATCAAATTGGACAAATTTACTTTTTGCACACGGCTGAGTGCATACGCAGCTGCCTCTGAAACTGAGGGAATGGACAGGATCCTTCAGCGAATGGAATCTGATCCTATGATTGGTTTGGACTGGAATGCTTATGCTGTTGCAGCAAGTGGGTATATGAAAGCTGGGCTTGTAGACAAGGCATTGGCAGTGTTAAAGAAATCTGAGCGTTTAATAGCAAATTCAAAAAAAAATCATCTTGCATTTGAATTCCTTCTCACACAATATGCAGCAACAGGGAATAAAGATGAAGTGCTACGGCTTTGGGAACTCTACAAGAAAACAGAAAAGATATACAACAAGGGCTATATGAGCATGATAAGCTCACTACTGAAATTTGATGACTTAGAAGGTGCTAAGAAGATTTTTGAAGAGTGGGAATCCAGTGAATTAAATTATGATTTCAAGGTTCCGAACTTTTTGATTAGTTTTTATTGCAGAAAGGGTCTTATGGAGAAAGCTGAAGATCTCATAAATAGAGCAAAATCAAAAGGGGGAAAGCCTATCATGAATACATGGTATTTCTTGGCTACAGGTTATGTGGCTAAAAAGCAGATTCCAAAGGCTTTAGAAGCTATGAAGCAAGCAATCTCGATGTGTTTACCAGGATGGAAGCCAAACAAGGACACTTCAGCTGCCTGTCTGGCATACTTGAAAGAGACAGGCAATGTTGAGGAAGCAGAGGAATTTATAAAGTCACTCCAAGCTAAGGCCGTTGTCTCTACTGAAATCCACGACAGATTGCTTAACTATATTAAAAATGGGAAATCAAATTCAGATGTACCTCGTTTAGTGGAAGGGGATTCTTTTGTTGGGGATGGAGAAACACATGAAAATTCAACATTGGAGCGTGTGGATGATTTGGCTGGGGCCAAAGAAATACATGGGATTTCAGAGCTGAAATAGAATTGTTGCAATTACAAACCAAGCAGGTGAATCGTGCCAGTAACGTGAACAAATCACTAGCAATTTTTGGAAGTAAATGCGATTCAACCCTGGGAATAGTAGTGGCAATTCCCATGGGTATTTCATGGATGTTGGTAAATCCTACTATTTCCGTTTCATTTATTTGACAAGTATTATGGAACTATTTGAGAGTAGCAGAACTCACACTTGCTTATCACATTCACGTCTCTCTCTTCATCCTTGCAAGGGAAATATGAGAGGGATTGAGGAGGCTGTAAGCTTCTGAAGAATGTAGACCAGTCACAGCTATAAACATCCAATTTCATCTACAATGTCTGCAATGCATTCTTCTTTTTGTACTTGGTGTTTTTTAGTTCTGCTTTTTGTAATTAGCAGCACCTTCTGTTTGTTCAACAATGAAGGAAAGTTACCTGAACAATATATGGGATTTGTCCGTGTTTGTAGGCAGATTATGGTTGCAATTGAACTGAGTCAAGCTGAGAATATGGTCGTTTGAGCTTGGCTCGGTTATCAATTGGATGACTTAGAAAACATAGAGATGTCTTCCACTTCAGTGTACATTAGAGGATTAAATTAACCGAGTATAGCAATAAATCCTATATAGGTTCTGTCTACCAATAATTGTGAAGTGGTGGCTTTAGAGTTTAATACTTTCAGCTGGATGCAATAATAAACAATAATTAAATATTTTTTAAAAAAAAAAAAAAATGGCCAAAATTTGTCTTAAAATATAGTATTGGTATTTGCTGTGTTGCAAAATCTAACACATTTTGTTTTTTTTTTTTTTTTCCCCGATAAATATTCAAAAAATAAAAATAAATAGCCATATGAAAGTAAATGTAAAACACAATTTTTTTTTGGATAGTTTTTGTAAGAGGACTTGAAGTCTTGAACCCTTTTGTGCATAGTGAGTTATTTGATAGGTTATTTAATAATTGGTTAACATAAAATAAATTACTTAATGCATTTTTCAAATTATTTAGAATTAAAAATTAATATGAAAATATGAGATTGTTTCTCATGTGATGATTGTAGGGCGTTTGTCATGTTTATAAGGGTTGAAAATTATTACTAGAAAAGTATATGTGTAGTTTAAAAATTAAAATTTCTTATACTATTAATTTTGTGCAAATAGTTGTCTTGAGATTTAAAATGATGATGCACGTATAAGTAAAATAAAATAATAAATAAAAAGATTTTTAATATTTTATTAATATAAGGGTTAAATGCAAAAAATCCCCCTGAACTATTGGGGTTTTGCAAGAAACCCCCCTAAACTACAAAAAAACCCCCAAACTATTATTTTGTTGCAATTCACCCCATCAGGTCACCGGAAAAGGAAAAAGACAATTCCGCCCTTACTATGACCTAGGATAGTGCTACACTAGTAGCCAAACAGAGTACTGGGATATATTATACATATATATGGTATATCATATATGCCTCTGCAAACCCAGAAGGGGAAAGTACTGCAGCCACAGGGACGACGATGAGGATCGGCCGGAGGAACGGCGGTGAGCTCGGCTGGTTCATCTCTTCATTCGCGAATTGGTGGGTCGCTTCAGCTCTCCGATGCAAGTCATCTAAAACTTGGGGTAGCCGGAGTTAATCTCTGAAGGTTCTGGGTCTGTCTCAAACGCAATCTTGCGGTTCCCTGAAGCTTTTCCGATAAAGGTCGTTGAAGCTTCTCTGATAAAGGTCGCTGAAGCTTTTCTGATTGATTGAATGTTGATGCTCTTTAGGTTTGGTCGCCGTCTATATGGAGGTATCAGTTGGGTCTTCAATGGAACTCTAGTTCAGTTCATACAGCTTCGATTCGGAGCTCGCCGGCTTCAATGGACGCTACTGCTGCTCGGAGCTCGCCGGAATGGATGGGTCGTTGTAACTCTGCACATGTCTTCATCTTGGGTTGGGCCGGTGATACTCAGAGCTTCCCACCGATGGCCATAGAGTTTGAAGCCGGGTATGGAAAAATCAATATCTGGCAGTGGTTTGTTTATTGGAGGCTTGGAGCTGTTGCAATCTGATATGGGTATGATTGTGGGTGTAGGAACAAAACAAACCCAGTACAAATTATTAAAAAAAAATAAGAAAATAAATAAATTTAAACAAACCTCTGCAACTTTGTTGTTTTAAACAAACCCAGTACATATTGTTAGAAAGATTTCAAAAAATTCAACTTTTTAAGTATTTGATTGGACTGGTATAGACCATTTAATCGATCAGCAGATTCATCACAATAGAAAAAAATTTGTAAGCTTTAATGGAGAAGTTGAATTGGTTATAATACAACATTAGAATTTATATATATATATATATATATATATATATATATATATATATATATAATATCAATGAACTGTAACCCAACAGCTAATTAGAACTTTGATCCTTTAGATGATATGGAGGTCACTTTGACTCAAATCATGTAGTGTAAAAACACAATGTTGATGAGTCCTTGTAAACCCAGTTCTCAAATTGAGGGTTTGAAAACTGTATGCTCTCTTGTTTCCTCCTTAAATTCGTAGTGCAGGCATCACAGGGAAAGAAACTTACTACCATCTTGCAGTTGGGTTTGATGAAGAAGATAAACAGTGTTTGTAACTCTCTCTCTCTAGGTGTAATATATATAAAGTGACGAGGGTGTGTTTGGGTAATTGGGTGTAACAGTAAACTAAGGGTGTGTTTGGGTGTAATGTTCATAATAAGGGTAATATAGTCTTTTATGCTCATAAGGGCATTATGGCTATTAGGTATATATTGTGTGATCACGTGACTGCATGTGATGGTTTTAACGGCGAAATTCAACCGGCCGGTCGCCATATGGAGCTATCTGCAACAAAAATTATAGTTCAGGGGGGTTTTTTGAAAATTTTGAAGTTCAGAGCGATTTATTGCTTATTGGCTAATAGTTCAAGGGGGTTTTTTGCATTTAACCCTTAATATAAATTGACCTATACTTCCTTGTTTGCTAAATTACATTCGCCTCTCTTCGTCATGATGTATCTTTGAGGCTCAATGTTAGCAAATAAGCAATTTTTTTTAGTTTAAAGTTACTAAAATATCCTTTTCTCTGCAACAATAATATTGAACTCGTGGCCAAACACCATTGACCCCAAATCTCTTCAGCGACGTCATTTGTTACAAATTCCGATCGCGACTTAGCCGGCGAAGCTCCGACCAACAACCAAAACAAATGGCGAGGCTCACTCGGCAACTGCAGCAAACCGGCGGGCAACAAAGGATGACGATGAAAATTCTGGCAACAACGAAGGATTGGTTCGAGATAATGAAGCCCTCTGCAGTTCCACCGACCGGTTACTTCGACAACTAAGTACGACAACAACAATCAACAACAAAACAAGGCGACGTGAATCAAATAGAAACGCGATCGAGCACAGCTCAGAACTCCAACCAAGCAACACAAAGAACCGCTGAGCCTCCGGCGGAGCCTCTGGACTGAGTTGCTTGGGGCGATCGTTGGCCCTCTGATTGGGGTGGAACATGGATAATCTGAACCCAAATAATTTATGCTAAAAGTAGATGGTGAGTTTGTATTTTTCATATTTTTTTGCGACCATACAGAGTATATTTGAGATGATGGATCTGTATATGGACTCAGTTCTGAGATTGTGTTTGCTTTCAATATTTTTGAGATGGTGGGCTTTCAATTTGGATTAATATATATGTGATGTGGTTTGCTTTAATATATTTGATGGTGGGTTTGCATTTGCCAAGATGATGTAGATTAATATACATGAGAAGGTCTGTGAATTAATGGTGTGTTTGATCTTAGAATATCTTTGGCAGTGGTGAGAGCGCGAAAGGGTCAGAAAAGGTGAAAAGAAAAAGTCATCAACCAATGGCCAAATTCTTAATTTCACTTTTAACATCCGCTCAACACATCTTACTTACCGGGGAGGTCAATATAAAAGAGAGGGCAAAGGCAAAATCCGATTATATATATATATATATATATATATATATATATTGTCAAAAAGTGATTTATTTGTACAATTTTTTAAAAACACAGAAACTGAAATACACCTTTTAAAAAGAAAAAGAATGCATTGGGCACAAAACAGCGTTTTATGTGCTTAACCTTTATTAGTATTCAATCACATTTAGCATATAAGAGTTCGTACAACTGTCAAAAATAAATTACTCTATAAAGCTGTCACATTCATAATCCAAGGTTTTTAATACTTTTTCTAAATGGTGAGATTTAATACTCTCTCTAAATGGTGAGCATCGAGGATTACAAACTGGTTGGACAAATTTCTAAAATAAGTGTGGGAACGACATTAAATGCACATCTGTCCACCAACATAAATACTCTCATATGTCCGCTGAAAAGGCTCTCTCTAGCCTTCGCACGTGCATTGCAAGCAACACTATATGTGCCGTGTCATTTTAAACTTCATAAAAAACCGAAAAAAGCGCGAGTTTGTTGTGTTTGTACCATAATATGCTTAGAACCCATACAATGCATCTTCAAAAATTCCCAATGTAGGGTTCCATTAATTATTTATTCTTAGGGTTTTAACCTCACACAAACCCCTGTTCTTCTTCATCTTTAGATCATCAACTTTCTTAATTTTGTGTCGCCTGATTGTTGATTAAATTAGAGTTTTTTATGAATTGGAATTCTGGGTTTGTTTGGGATTGATCACAACTCTCTTCTGGGAAGCTAAGATGAAGTTTGGAGAGACATTCATGGAGTATCTCCATAGAGATCAAGAGGGGTTTGTGGACAAGTGCTCTCATGTTGAATACAAGCGCCTCAAAAAAGTCCTCAAAAGCTGTCGAACTTGCAGGGCATTGAAGGAAGGCAAGATGAATGATTCAATGTCTGATCAGTTTTGTCAATTTGAATCTTGCCCAGGTATGTGTGTGTGTGTGTCTTGTATTTTTGTTTTTTAATTTCTCATCGTTCTTGTGTTATTCTCAAAGAGTTGATCGGTTATGCCTATTTATTTCTTGTTCTTTTTTTTGGTCATATTTTAAAAAACTATCGTGCAATGAACTAATAAGGACGTTGGTTCGAGTCTCAAAGCAGACACTTTGTTAGTATTAGTTGGATTGGGTGAAATTGTTGTTCAAATATGCAATTCAATGTGCTAAGATAGTGATGCATTTTAATAATAGAGTTTACGAGGAATGTTAGGTCCTTCTTGTTGATTTTCAATAAAAATGGAGGTTCTTTAGAGGTAGAGAGTATTATGCCTTTTTAACCCCCATCTAGAGGTAGTTTGCTCTCAACACTAGAGGTAGTTTGCTCTCAAGTATCTTTATATCCATCGAGTTTCTCCTTTCTCAATACTACCGTCAGAGGAGATATTTGTTTCACTATTGAAATGCTACAATTAAATGTACAACAACATATGTAGGATGGTAAATTCCCATCCCCGCCCCGCCCCGCCCCGCCCCATTTATAGTAGGGATGGGGATCCTTTTAGCTAAATGGGGATGGGGATGGGGGCAAATTATGAATCCCCGCCGGGGGTGAGGACGGGATGGGGTAAACCTGCCCCGCCCCGATTAAGTGTGAAGTTACTAATATTCTCTTACATATAATAATTTATTACTAAATTAGATTTATTATATATATGAAAATAAAAAAATAAAAATGTGTTTTTTTTTTAATAAAAAAAATTATGAGGCCAGGGGCGGGGATGGGGATAAGGTGTCGGGGGCGGGAGCGGTATGGCAAAATTTTAAGCGAGGATGGGAAATGAAAAATGCATCGAGGATGGGGATGGGCAATGGAATCCCCGCCCCGCCCCGCCCCGCCCCGCCCCGTTGTCATCCCTAAACATGTGTGTGTGTATATATATATATGAATTCAGACAAGGAAAAATTCAATAAATTATCGAATTTGAATGTACAAAATCTGGCTTACCTAAAGGATTTGAATTATTTGTTGCATCTCACATCTGAATAGTTTAGACAATTGATTGTTTGATTCAGCCAGTTCTCCCAAAGGATTATGTTCGACTTTGAGGAATAGCTTAAGATAAATATCCTTTCTGTCATGCTCATAAGTAGGATTTTTTTCCTTCACTCTCTTATATGTTATTATGATTCACTGTGTTTATTCATATATCCTTGATAAATGTTATACTTATATTACCAGCGGATTTGAAAGCGGTTTACATGGTTAACGGTGGCTGTGATGAACCTATCTGTTAACATCATTTATTTCACAGTCTGCTCAATTATTACCCTTGATTCTTGAGTTGCATTTCTAAGTAGTATATATTTGGTAAATCTAATATTGTGATTATGAAATCTTTCAAGGTTGAAAGTGGTTTTGTGATCTAAATATGTAACTCAGCTTTTCAGGTGGTGTAGTGTAATTTAAATAATGAAGCTTCGTGTACCCCCTGCAGTGTGTGATCAGATGTTCTTTTCTGAATTGATGAAGGAGGCTTCAGATATAGCTGGATGCTTCAGTTCAAGAGTTAGACATCTTCTCCATCTTCATGTTGCTTCTGGAATGCAGAGATACTTGTTGCGCTTGCGGCAATGTTTCGCAAACGATCAGCAAGCCATGGTACAGGAGGGTCAGATGTTGATTGAATATGTTATGATGAATGCTATTGCTATACGGAAAATTCTTAAGAAATATGATAAAGTAAGCATAAAATGGTTTTGCCCTATTGGATTTAACCATTATTTAGAATTTGAGGTTCGTTTTATTCATATATTTTTTTCTTCCCTTTTAGGTCCATAGCTCTGTCAATGGGAGGAACTTTAAGTCCAAGATGCAGGCTGAACACATAGAGATTCTGCAATCACCTTGGTTAATAGAACTAGGAGCTTTCTATATGAATTTCAATGAATCATATGGTGGAGGGTCTGATGAAATTTCCAGTCCATTCTCCTGTGATCTGAGCGCCACAGAGCCTGTGTTGACTTTGAAGCTTCCGGATTCTGTGAAATTAGAATATAATCTCACTTGTGCTATTTGCTTGGTAAGATCATACTTTTGATTGCTTTCTGATATGAATAACTTTGGAACCTTGGAAACAGATTTCCATGTCTTTATTCGCTCTCTCTTTTGGTTGATCCATTGTTACTTACTTGCAGTTGGTTATGATCTTCAGGACCTCGTTTTCAATCCATATGCTTTGAGCTGCGGACATCTTTTTTGCAAATCGTGTGCTTGTTCAGCTGCTTCTGTGATGATTTTCCAAGGTCTCAAGGCTGCAAGACCAGAGAAGAAGTGTCCAGTTTGCAGAGAGGTTCATATTTAATTGACCAATATTTAATTGACTATAATTTATTTATTTTGCAGAATATCAGGAATCACCTTGAACATGCTTATTTCCTTTTCTTTCTTTCTTTCTTTGTTTATTATTTTTTGCAAGATCTATATGCTTTTTTTGCTTCACACCCCACAAAAACTCCAAAGCATTTTGTTCTGAAGGCACCTCAAATCTCCATCTGATTAGGAAGAAAAGAACGTTGGATAACACTTAGCCACCTAGGCGATCACTAGACATGTTGTGTACCTTTATCATTATTGCTTATCAATACTCTTAAGCAGCTCTCTTTTGGAATGACCTTTCATCATAAGAAAACTCCTCATAAAATATTATCAAGAAATAGTGGAATCCATAGATAATAGGAACTCTTCAATATATCATCAAGCATAGAGTGAGGTTAACCTAGTCGGATTATTCTTCAAGGCTGTTTAGCCAGATACACAAGGCTTGTCCCAGAACAATTCCAAAGGGGGAATTGAACTTTATATATTACTTAACCGAAATATGCCATCCTGCCCGAAAAATAACTATAGCAATTCTAAATGCTAACCGTACACCCTTAATGTTATATGTGTGGTTTTTCATCCTGAAAATGAAATAGGTCTTAACGATTCAGTTCGGTAACTATTCCTGACCTAAGGTAACTCCTTAGCGTCATTTGGACTTAGGTAACTCAACCACGTATGAAAAATACTGGGACTCTCCCAAGGCTCTAAAACACCAAAATTAGCTCATTTCAACCTTATGTATCTGAAAAGAGAAAAAACACAAAATAAGACTAAAGCGGGAAAAACACAATAGCAAAGTCGCAAACTCCTGAAGGAAACAATGAGAAATGGCATTGGCAACTTGGTGTCTTGGAGGAACCAGGAGAGATTTTGACAATGCTATTACACAAAATACCAAATGGGGATATTGGTTGACAATGTATCAGCCAATAAAAGGCCAATCAACTTCTGAAGATTCCCTCACTTTTGTTACATAAATAAATAAATAAAAGGAGCTATGTCTTCTTCTTTTTTTTCCCCCTAAATAAAGGAGTTATATCACAATTTAGAATTTACAAGTTTATTTTATTATTTTGATGTAATATGACATTTTAGTTTGTCATTTACTTAGTTGTTTCTTGTGCAGGTTGGAGCATATGCTAATGCAGTGCACATGTTAGAATTAGATTTGCTCTTGAAGAAAAGGTGAAAAGAAAATATATTGAAAATCTTCTGTGCTAAAAAATCACTACTCCTAACATGAAAAAAAAATTCAGGTGCAAGGAACATTGGAAGGAAAAGCTGGCCGCTGAACGCGCTGAGGCGGTGAAGCAATCCAAGGAGTACTGGGATTTACAGACTAAATTTGCAATCGGATTTTAATGTTTGTTTCTCTTTCTTGACCTCTGAAACTCAAAACTTTCAAGTGCTACCTTGCAGAGAACGGCTGTGGGTTTGATGGGAACTGCTTGCCGATGCAAATTTTATCGAAAAAAAATCATTATGGTTTTCATGAGGTTCCTATGTCATGATGTCCTTATTCAACTGGGATTAAAGAAGCTTTAAAATAAAGTATTGTTGTTAATGATTTCCTGAATGTTGTTAATGTATGACAGAAGTTGATTGATTGTTGAGAATTGTTTTAACAGTCTATGACCATTACTCTCATGTACTATATTTTTTTAATAGTTATTAATATTTTATTATTCGTCGTAAAAGATTTAGAAAATATGTTTCACTTAGAAATTGGAAGTTGTATGTTAGGTCTCACTGTTGTTATCTTTCTTAATACAATACAATGCAACCTCTGGAACTGCAAAAATAGTCCCACCCTCTAGTATCATATACTCATTTTTTTAGTATTTTTAAACCAACCAAAAATTAATGACAAAAACACAGCTCTTTCCATGCTCCAACACCAACATGTTCATGTGTATAGTGTGCGTTTATAAAACAATTTATAGAAAATTATTAGTTAAACCAATTTACAAATTATTTTCTATTTTTCAATTCTCTAGAAAATATAAAACCGTTCATTGAAAATTAAACCACACAACTCCTAAAATTCTAAAACTTACACTCTAATGATAATTAACCCTGACCTAACCTAAGTGTTGCTTAACCTATCCTTTAAACTTTCTTTGGACAAGAGCCAAAAGCATTTATAATTAATATCCGTGTCATGATCCGTTACTTTTCTTAAAGGTCTGGGGGTCGTATAAAGTCTGCCTTTATTTCAAAAGTTAGGTTTGGTGAAAAGAAAGTTAATGATATTGATTAATAAGTTAGGAAGTAAGTGGAGGGCCAATGTCATCAATTAACACATATAAATGTGTCAAAACTCCTAACAATTAAAAGAAAACACGTGAAATCAGGATTATTTAAGTCTCTTTTGGGCCATGCTGCTGTGGATAAGATGACTCATGGTTTGTAATACACGTTTTCACTAAATTCTTTATGCAATCTTTATCAATTTATCCTTCAAATTCATAACTTGGCACAAGTAAAAATATTGATATAATTTGGTCTTTCTTGTGCTCAAAACATAAAGTTTTGACAATCTTATTTAAGTTTTTCAAGTTATAGGAGTAATGAGCTACCCTTTATACAAGGGTGGATTCAAAGATTGTCAATAAAGTGGGTTAATATTAGTAATATATATATATTTTTTTTATGCTGAACTAAAATTGACTATAGTAATAAATTCTTTTTTTTTATTTTGTGGGCTTGAGCCCACCAAAACCCACTCCCGAGCCTTTATATACATGTATATATATAATTTTGCATTTTCTTTGTTTTTTAAATTATATTGTAAGGGTAATTTCAAAATTGTAAGGTTATTATTATTTTTTTTTAACAGGGATGTTTTTGGATTTTTTTTGCACTTTACCGGATATATAATCATGTAAAATTTTAATACACCAGTCATTTATTTTAATTTTTAACAATTTTAAATTGAAGTCAAGTACAATTAACACCATCAATACAAATAAATATAACTTAATAATGAACTTAGATATTATTATTTAAAATTTTCTCATAATCTATTAACTTTGGTCATCATTTAAATTGAATTACAGGTAAAAGTAAATTGAATTACAAGTTTAAAAAATATTATTATTAGTAGTAGTAGTATTTTGTGTGTAACAGTGTAAGAGCAAATAAATTCACTTATTAGTTACTTGGAACTCTTCAATAATTGGCAAATCATAAATACACAAAATGGTCCACAAACCGCGTGTATCTTTTTAAATTAGTTCATGAGGAGTGAAAAACAAAACATTACTTCTATTTGTATAATGTTACTAGCAGTGAGTAACGTCGTTTTTGTGAATTTAAACAAATTGATTGCTTATCTAGAATTCAAAATATATGTCTGAATGAATTAGATAAGAGTACAAGTTACTTCATCTACAACTTATTAAAAACACATGTAATCCAATATCAAGGAAGATTAATGAAATATCTCATTTTTGTTAAAAAATTAAGTTTATTCCAACACAACACACAATTGGTGGAGTAAAGACCGTAATTATAAACTCTTATTTAAGGATGGCAATGGGGCGGGGCAGAACAAAAATCTCATTCCCCATCCGCATACCCAGTGAATTTTTTCATCTCCATTCCCGCTCTCGCCCTGCCCAACCCCCATAATCGATTAACGCACTATAATTTATTTTAACAAATAATTTTTCTTGCTCCCAAATTTTAAGGTTCAGTATGACCAAGTTATAATTTTTCTTAATTGTATTTAAATATCGTAATCTAATTTATTAATATATCATAATGTATAAAAATATTTTAATAAATGTACACCCTAAACAAGTAGGGCGAATTTACCCCATCCCATTCGGTCGGGTTTTCAAAAACTACCATCGTCCTCATTTACATAAAAGGGCCCTCAAATTCGCCCAAAAGACCAGCTGATTTTGGAAATTTTACCATCCCTATACTTTTACTACACAAATGGAGAGTAACTCGCATTATCCATGCTCCTATACTATCTCCAAAAATAAATAAACAAATAAAAGGTCTGCTTGTTGGTTGTACTCTCCGAAAATCTCTCTAAAATATCGCTTCTGCAATTTCTCGTCCTTTCTATCCGTTTTCCCAGTTTTTAATTTGTCTCTCTCTGCAATTTCGGACTTTCTCTCTCTAAAACAATACACGAAACACGATGCAACAAAACCAATACTACTACAAAATCTAGGGTTTCAAAACTCTCTCTCCCCATTTTATCATGCTTTTCCCTCGCTTTCCTCAATCTCCAAATTGAAGGGCTCCCGCCTGTTTTTTTCTGGTTGTTCTCCAGGTCTTCCGGTCTCGTCTTTTCTCGGGAAAATTATTTAGGCGAGAAAATTTTCCTTGTGCGACCGTATCTGGAGCTTCATATTTCGTTTGATTGTCGAAGCTCGTTCAAGGTAAGCTAATTTCCCCTCTCTCTCTAGAGTTTTGTTAAATTAAAGTTTATATATTATATACATGTAGAGTTACTTGATTTTGTGATTGCCTTAATTATTTTAGGATTTCTGATTTGTTTATATAAGAGGGTTTATTGATTTTGTGGGATTGAGGAAAGGGAATTACGTATTTGAAGGACATATTTTGTAAGAGGGGATTTTGAGAGCTCAAATACAAGATTTTTTATGCGAATTATTGATTTGTTATGTAGGAGGTTGCTATGGTTTTTGTTAAATTTGGTTGAGTCTGAATGCGGTTATGGATCTGGAAGGGACACCACCTTCGACTAGTCTGGTCAATTGTAGCGACTGTGGGTGTACTTCTTCATTGATGAGTCGGTCTTATTCGGGGACATGGCTTCGATCTGTGAAGAGAAAGTTCCGTGAGTTTGAGGAAGGCAATAGCTTTGTTATTCCGGGTTTCGATCATCAAGACGTTGCTCGGGTGGAATTTGAGAATGAATGCGGTGCGTTGCGTGAGATGGTTGGCAGCCAACAACAAACCATACAGGAGCTTTCTATAGAATTGGAGGAGGAGAGGAATGCCTCATCATCGGCTGCCAATGAGGCCATGTCTATGATTTTGAGGTTGCAGAGGGAAAAGGCTGAGATTCAGATGGAGGCCCGGCAATTTAAGCGGTTTGCTGAGGAGAAGATGGCACATGACCAGCATGAGCTTTTTGCATTAGAGGATTTGTTGTATAAGAGGGAGCAGGGTATTCAATCTCTCTTTTGTGAGGTGCAGTCTTATAAACATAAGATGATGAGCTATGGACTTACAGAGGCTGAGATGGAAGGGGAAAGAGGCAGCATGACCCGCAATAACAGTGTGGTTGAAAGCCTTGATTCCCTATCTGAATTTCCCACCTACAATTACCCTCCTCTCAAATGCAACTGGAATGAGAATCAAGTTCACTCGGAGATTGACAATAATGTATCCAGTGTTGAGAAATATGCATTTGATGAGACTCCACGTTCTAGGGGAAGTTTGAAAGATTTGGAGTATAGGATCAACCAACTGGAAGGAAGCCCCAGAGGCATCCAGCGGGATGAGGAATTTCCCAGTACAATGAATGTGCTTGAAAAGGTGATAGTTGGTCAGTCTCCTAAACAGCCTAGGCATTTTAGGAGGTTTTCCTCTACTAGTTCGGGTTCATTATCTGCAATGGATAAAGAAAAGGGTCCAGATTTTACAACTGAGTCTCAAAAGTACTCGCAGACAGAGGACTTATCTAATTTGAAAAGGGTGGATGATGCATCAGAAAATGGAGATGACATGAGCGACAGAGTTTATACCATTGATTCTGTCCATCAAGGAGAACCCTATAATGATGCTACGGAGCCCAAGGCATATATCAAAATATGTGAAGATTATATTACTACTCCGAGAGAATCACTGAATTTAACTGATGTTGGAGATCCTGAGATCCAGAAGCTGTACATGAGACTTCAAGCACTCGAGGCTGATAGAGAATCAATGAGGCAGGCAATCATTTCTATGCGAACTGATAAAGCACAACTCGTATTGTTGAAGGAGATAGCTCAACATTTATGTAATGAAGTGCCACCAGCGAGAAGGACACCCGTGAGGAAGTCATCTCTTAGTGGGGGCATTCCCTTGATGTCACTGTTCAAGGTAAATAATGCTTGTTCTGGTGACTAATTCATGTGGCATACTTGTACGTTATTCTTTGGCACCATTCTGGTTCATTTTTTTTCTCCCAAAAATTCATTATGGTACATTGGATTTTCAGAATTATGTGTATTTAATATTACTGCTTCCATCATAATGCTTTTTGCACTTAGCAATGTAATTGATGTTATAATTATCAGATATCATCATTTTGACCATTATTGTTGTTGCATTGTAGTATGTCTGTGCATTAGCTATCTGATGGTATCTAGTATGTAGTTAATAATTTTATGATAGGAATAAAAATATTTTTACTCTTTTCAGTCACTATGTCTGATAGATTTTTTCATTAAGTTTTCTTAGTAATATTCCACAAAAAAAATGATTCAACTGAACTGTTTTCTGGTGTATTGGTAGGAAATTCAGATACAGAGTTTCTGAAGCTAAATACATAACTGAGCCTTGTCCTACTGCTTCAACCTTTTGCCTTTTTTCTTTTGCAGTTCTACTTTATTCAGGGCCATGTATTTAACCACATCTTTGTTTACAGCATCCGGTATAATTCTTTTTGGACTTTCGCTTGACCTTGTAGTTCTGTGATAGGATTTGATAGGCTTAGTCGTATAAATTTTACCTGCTGTGTGATCACTTTAGCAATTTATCCTTAATAACCTACCACGGACTACCATTTATCCAAAAAAAAAAAAAAAAACCTACCACGGACTACCAATGGTGTGAGAGTTAACTTACTATCAATGGGGTGAGAGTTATCTTACTTCTTGTAAAACACAAAATGTCTTTTTTTTCAGCATCAAAAGCTCCCAGTTTATATTCTCTATAAATTTTGCTTCCTTTTACCGTGATTCACTGGCTTCTTCATGTTCTGTTTGTGAGTTGTGCAGCGGAAAAGGATGTGGAAGTTTGTATAAAAAAAATCTAGATGGGTGGTGAATAAGTTTTACTTACTCCTTTATCCAATTTTTACTTATTTTAATTTTACCAAAATAAAACTAAAATCAAACCCACAAAGCAAAAAAAAAAGTGCAAGGAAATTAAATAAAGTTTGAGAGATGACACTAGGATTTTTAGCGAGGAAACCCCGATGGGTGAAAATCATCCAATTGTTATGGGAAAAAACCTCGTGGCCTACGCCGTCCAAAGCAAAAATGATCAACTATGTTTGAAGCAAAGTACACTGAACTTTGACTCAGGCTCACATCCTATTGTTCTACCAAAGACCAATTGCTGCTTTGCAACTCCCCCGTCCAACAGCTCTCGACCTCAGACTTACTCTTAATCTCTGTAGAAGGGTTGCAAGTATATCTAACTACACTCTACGAATGTTTTGACCCCTTCAAAGTGTGATTGAATAGTCCCTTTTCTTCAATTCTGAATTTAATGAAGAATAATTAAAATCCTACTTCTCGGAATCTCCAAATCTTCAATTATGCTCTAATTCCAATCAAATAGAGAACAACATTCTAAAATCACTTTTGTGTTTATGTGTGTGCTCTCAAAAACAAAATTAAAAAAAAAATCAGATTTGATTTTTTAAACAAAAACATCTCTCAAATTTGTTGACTCTCAAATAAATTAGAATTTTGTATGTAAAAGTCGTATATCCTAAATGAGAAAATATGTTTTTATAGACTTTTGAAAACCTAATTGAACTTGGAAAACAAGTCAATTTTGTGCATAACCATTATAGTAAAAGTCTATCCAAAATAGAAAGCCAAAACAAACCAGGAATGAAAGTTTCTAAATTGGTGTACAGAAGTTGAACAGGTTCAGAGATTTTTGAACCGGTTCAAGTTGGCCAGAAGTGAACTTTTGAAAAACAACTTTGAAAGTTGAACCGGTTCAAGTTGGCCAGACTTGAACTTCGTTAAGAAGCCTTTAAAAGTTGACCCGGTTCAGAGAAAGTTAAACCGGTTCAAGTTAGGCAGAATGGAAAATAACACTTATACTTAGAAAATTTTCCCGAAAAGCTTAATTTTGAAACCATGCAAGTGTCCTCACACACTCACTTACCATCCTAGTGCGTTGTTATTATCATCACGGAGTGTATTGAAGTATGAACGCGATCGCTTCTTCAATTCCGCTTCCGATCTTAAGTCTCAACAAATCGAAACAAAAATTTACAACTCGATCGGACTCGTTTTGACAACGAAATTTGTCAAATTACAAATGTATATTTCACACAATTCTCTTGACGGATAAGTTGTACCATAATTGCTTTGTAATTTATTTTTGTCTGCCATATACCACTTGGCTATTCTTCTTCTTTTAGACATTCTTTAGGAACTATACCAAGTTCGTTGTTATACACTTACTCCTGCAGTCATGCTAACATGGTTCTTCTATCCTCTTTTTTTTCTTGTTATATAACTATTTTTGGAAATGATTTCATGTTATTAAGTGTATGGAATTAAAGCTATTGTGCTAATTTATACTTTTTCTCTACTGAAGCATTTTGCCACACATATTTTGTTGTGTTGGCACTTATCTTTTCCATCCCTTCCTTGTTTTTCAGTGGATCGTGTCTTTTGTTTTTTGGAGAAAGAAAGCACATAAAAGCAAGTGAGTATATCATGATTTGAAGTTGCTGATGCTAGACTGTTTTCTATTGCTGAGTTTTATTTCCTTCATGCTGTATCAATATTTGAAGTTGCTGATGCTTGACTGATTTCTATTACCGAGTTTTATTTCCTTCATGCTGTATTGTACATCTCTTACTCATTGAACCTATGTTTTATAATGACAAATCAGCCTTTGGATGAGTTTTAGCCTAGAAATGTACTACGTGAATGATTACTGATATATGATCGGGAGTTGAATTCTTTTTCTAGTCTTTGAAGACATGATTCACTGTTTTGAAGCTGTGCTTTGGTGGTTTAGCCTTTTAGGCCTTAAAGGGATGTCCATGTGGTGTCAAATTTAGAATGTATGAATATTTGCTACCTGGATTACTTTGGAAGAATGTTATTGTTGAGATAATCATGTTAAAATATAAATACGCTGAGAGTAAAACGACTAACTGTACCAAGAAAGTAAGAGAAATATGTAACTTAAGTGGAGGCCTTCCTGTTAGAAAAACATTAGCGCTTCATGTTGGAACTATTCGGGTTAATTCTATAAAAATTAAATATATATTCTGAATGTTTTGGAAATTTGGAGACTAGCCCTCTACCCACGGTATTTTTTTTTGCTGAATTGTCAATTAGTAATATGTTTTATAAATTACTTGTATGTGAGTGTAGCTGCTCTGGTTAGTTGCCTTTTTCTTTTTCTTTTTCTTTTTGTTGCAATGATAGCATGTTATGTGGTATTTCTTGGTACAGGTTTTTAATCTCTATTTTCATATTGATTAATATTATTGCCAGGTACATGTCTGGGCTATCAGCCAACAATGTGGGTTTGCGGATGCTTTTGGATTATGGGCCTCATGTGGGGCAGTGGAGATGCGTTACAAGTACGAAAGTTTGAAACAAAGTTCTCAACCTTGGGTATCCATATATGAAGCCTTTGCTCATCTATGTGAACACCTCAATCACACACTTTTAGAATTTGCCTTCTTTTACAGGATTCCTTGTTGCTGCAGAATTTGTTGCTGGGTTGGTTTTGTGCAGTGTTCTTTCACTTCGTTTTCTAAGGATTAAATAGATTTCGCTGGTTGGGATTACAGTATAGGGCACTCTGGGGCTTGCATACTCACTCTTATATGGTTTGTTGGAATTTAGCTTGAGGTATGGTATGTGTCCTCTCGTGTAGATTTCACATTCATGCATCCAGTGCGTATTCTTTTTCTTATTAAATCACTTCAATATTCATCTCTATTCAGTGCAGGTTTGATCCTGGAGTTCTTCTAAGCTGTTCTTCTCTCTCCGGTTAAAATGTAGATTTTGTTTTTTTTCTTGTGTGAAATATCATTCTGTACACTGTTATTGATGGAAACGGGGCCAACTTTCTTGTCAATATCATACACGGAAGCCCTTTGTTTTTTTCCCTTTCCTTTTTCCTTGTTCACAGGGCATGGGAGATTTTGGTTTTACATTAAATTATATATATATATATTACAACTCTAGCTGTTCATATTAACATGATAAATAGTAAAGCTTAAAATATATATATTGTAATATGAGAATTGATGGTAGAATTTGAAAGAGAACATAAAATATGGGCATAATTTTGAGAACTTTGAGTAAACACTAAACATTGGCCATAAATAAATTGGATTCCAACCTTTCCCAATAATTTGAATTTTGTATTACAATGATCCAAAATCGTGCTACCTGAGTAGGCCCTCCATCAGGTCCAGTTTGTGGGGGAAGTCTTATTCTATGTTGTGCTGTTTTGTAAGAATTCAATTTCATATTTCGCATAGTGATAGTTCTCTTATTATTAAAAGTACAAGTTGTCAAGAATCTCAAATCATCATTATTAATTAAAAATAAATAATTAAATAAGTTAATCATAAGTAACCAATTAAAATAAAAACATATGTTGCCAATTAAAAAACAACTCCTCAAGAGAAGAATTTCAAATCATCATTATCAATTAAAAATAATTATATAATAAAATATTATCAATTAAAACATAAGTTAATTATTAAATAAATAATAAATTTAATAAAGTGATAAAACTATTTAAACATAAGTTGTCATTATAAATAAATAAATAATAAAAGTTATACAACCGATACAAATATAAGTTAATCATTAAATAAATAAATAATAAAATTAATAAAGTTATACACCTCTTACTCCTCGCGATTATTAAAACATCAGTTACTATCTATCTATATACTATTAATAAAAGTAGAAAGAGTTTCAGTATTTATTTATTAATATAAAAAAAAATTAATTAATCTCAATTTTGATATTGCTTTAGTAGTTTTAAAACACACCTATCAATAATTGAATTCCTATTGGAAAGTTCAATTCAAAATTATTATTTTTACCTTGTATCACTTTTAAGTTCATTGATCATTAATTAATATATAAGTGCAATTATTTTAAGAAATTAATTTTATTGCTTTAGTAGTTTTAAAACACACCTATCAATAATTGAATTCCTATTGAAAAGTTCAATTCAAAATTATTATTTTTACCTTGTATCACTTTTAAGTTCATTGATCATTAATTAATATATAAGTGCAATTATTTTAAGAAATTAATTTTAATTATAATTTGAAAAAAATAGTTATTTAGTTACTTTGTTGAATATTAATTTTAAAATTATAATTTGAGAAAGTAATTATTTAATTATTTTGTTGAATATATATTAGTAAAACAACACGTACTGTTTTACTAGTGTGTATATATATATATATATTTTGCTGGTCTTTCCACCACGATACTAAGAGAATTGATTGGGACAACTTTATTATTTTACACAATGGTTGTTATCAAACCTGAACATTCTCTATGTTCTCAATTTGAGCTATTACTGTTTAATATATATAATGGCGTACTGATATAACCAAAAGCATAGCCACGCCAATAAATCGATGCCTTCAATTAAAATCCCAATAATACAAGTTATATTGAAGTGCAAGGTAATAAGATTACGAGGCCAATAATACATTAGGAAAGGTCAATGGTAAAGAAAAGAGAAAAATGACAAAAGTGATAAGCAATGCATAGTGAAACCAAGAGTTCATGATTGCATCTATGAGAAGTGATGGGTGGTAAAACAGCATATCAAACAGGTGAAAGAGAAGCTGTATAAGAACCATTGCAGTACTTCAAGCCTTTTAAAAAGGCAGAAAGCAATTGAGGATAATATATGGCATTTCGGATGCCAAAAGCAGCATGACTGCTCTCTTGCAAGCCTTCTACTGCTGTGGCTCGAGGATCGGATTTCTGGCGAACGATTTCAAGACCAACATTCAAGCCAATTGAGGTGGGTTCAGTCACAAAACTGCATATTGCACAAAAAAAAAAAAATAAATAAATAAAAATAAAAATGGTATTAATCCACCAACCACCTGATAAAAAGTAATGAGAAGCAACAAAAAAAAAAATCCAAACGATTGCAAAATAAATATTCTACATAAGAATATCTTGGCACTTTCTTCAGCAGAGGTAATGATTAAAAGAGTGTTTGCATTGGCTTGTGCATAGAAGTGTAAAGCCCTAAAGTTAAAGAGGGTAGGATCCATGAAAAAGTAAACAAACAGGAAGAAACAATTTTTTTTTTTTTAAACATTTTTTTTCCCCTTTTTGTGATTTAGTAGATGGGAAATGGTGCTTAGGCTCTTGAGAAATGTTATACACAGATCTAGATTATGACATCCCAAGTTACCCATGAAACTAATGGCATCTTCTGCAAAGAGATAAACCAATGTGTTTGAGACTTGAGACCATTAACTTTATAACAGTTTGCAGTCCAAGCACCCTCTATAAAATTCTTTCATATACATTCTCAGTCATTATTCCTTTATAACAGTTACGGTCCAAGCACCCTCTATAAAATTCTTTCGTATACATTCTCCAGTCATTATTCCTTCATAACAGTTTACAGTCCAAGCACCCTGAAATAAAACAAGTAATAACAATTCTTTTTACCAGCCACTATGATACAAGTGGGATTTCATTATAACGTAGTGTTATTTTATGATTTGAGTACTGCCAATCTGGGCGGTTCATTCCACTTCTGTCTTTCTAAGAAATCCTATATAATTTTCTTTTCAATAGAAAACAATGCAATTTTTTTTTTTTTCCCGGAAGTTAAAAAAAATGCAATAATTCCAAACAGAGGAGCTGTAAAACTGTACGAAGACAATGATTTCAGTTACCGCACAAAAATTGGTTTGTAAAAATGGTCCAACTGCCAAGATTATTCAGTCAAGGCAAGAGAACTCCATACCTTGCCTCAAAGCTTGTTGCCTTAGAGCCCATGGCTTCACACACACTGGAGATTATCCATGGTGGAAGATATGCATCCTTGATTTCAACGCTATAGCAGAAATCAGCAGAGGAATCTTGATTAAATTCCTCTTTCGCATCAACTTCTTTTAGAGGAAAAGAAATATGATCAGCTTTCCTCACCTCCTTGCATCTAACCTATAAAACAATGTGCATATAATTTTATCAGCTGCATTAATTTTTTTTTTTTTTTTTTTTTTTTTTTTTTTTTTTTTTGCAAGAATTGCAAGGGAAAAAAAAGAAAGAAAGAAAAAGAAAATTGACCAGTCTAACTTCAAAAATATAAAACTAATGTCAAAAGGAATACATAAAAGTGATCCTCTGTGCAGTATAAAATAAAACAAGAAAGTAATTTCAGTAAGTTACAATGTAACAAGTGCAATAGTACAGTCATGAAACTCTTAATATTTGACATAGATTTGAAAAAGAGGATGAAAAAAAGAATGTTTGTTCAAGAATCAAGACTATCAATAATAAGGTCCAGAAACTATGCCAGGAATTATGGCAAAGTCCCAGCAAGAGCCACGTATAAACATGTAAAAACTAGGCCATGCTAAATAGCTATACATAGAGTTGGAAACTTGTTATAACAATATTTTATGTAACATGACTCCTTCAACAAGTATACCTACTTGCTTTGCAATATCCATTGTAAGGAACACTGTTAAATATCCCATAAAACTTCGAGTAAATTGAGGATATCCAACCCCCTTCTAACAAGTGTGTCGGACATATCCGATACCAAACCAATGTTTTGTCTTGTCCGCTACAAATATGTTGTGCATTTAAAATTGTCTATGTAACACAAAGAAAGAAGGTTAAGGATAGGAATGGCAATATATATGACAACTTGAGTAAAGCAGCCCTGCTCGGCAAGGACATAAAAGGGTAAGAGTAGGCAAAAACACCACCTCATATACACTGTCTTTGATTTCATTTAATAAAAATATCTTCTTTTGCCAAAAAAAAAAAAGTTCGGGAGGAAGATGACAAACCCATATAATTGTGTATAGGCTTCAATTCATTTGTAGGTTGGTGCAAGGGCTGGGTGTTAGGGCTCCTACCTGCCCTCCCCCAGTTATATAGTTATTTTATTAATACTTACTATAATTTCATAAACCCCTCAAATGTCTCATTTTTTTACTTTTACAATTTCCAAAGTAACTGCAAACTCTCTCTCTCTCTCACACACACAGACATTTAGCAAAGGTTGGTGTTTTGCATGGCCATGGCAGGTTATGAAATTTCTGTACAAACCATAGAGTCAATGTAATTGCTGAGTGATATTGTAGAATAAACTCGTATCATTTAGCCAAGGTGGGCGTGTTGCATGGCCATGAGGGGTTATAAAATTTCTATATAACCAGAGTCAAAGTAATTGCTGAGTGCTATTATAGAAGAATAAACAGTTGCCAATTTTATGCAGATGGGGGAAAAGAAGTTGAAACGTTCGTTAACCAAAGTCAAAACCACTAAACCAAACTCACCTCTGGAGCAGAAAGAGCAGCATTTTGAAATGGCACAGGCGAATATAGTACAGGAACATCCCCACCACTCAACGATGTTAAGAAAAATCTGGAGAAACAAAAGGAAAATTAAATTCCTTTGACAAGAATAAATAGGCCAGAATTCTTTAATACCGGCAGAATTCTGAACAATTGTACTCAAGATCTAACTTTCCCCTTACTTGTTAAAAAAAAAAAATGAACGAGAACTAAGCTATTAAAGGTATGTAAGTTTTTATTCAGACATCTTAGCTATGTGCTCACCTATAATTTAACAGAAAATCATATAACCCATGTACATTCTCATTTCCATTGAATGTCAGCAGAGATTGTGGGCTGTTATCCACATCAGACATGGAACCTAGGCACCGAATCTGCATTAGTTTCAATAGAAGACATCAATTAATGAGAAAGTACAAGAAAGAACTATAACAGTGTCCTAATAGGTCAAGGTCCTTGCAATAATAAAATTAAAATATGCAAGAATGATCCAGGCAGCACATGAGGCATCCAAGTTGTTGTCATGTGTGTAGCATAAACCTCCCCCTTAAGAAATCTTATTGTTAAATGTTGGATAGAGACTAATATCACTTTACATGTGAAATAATTCAAGACTTCTTTTTTATATAAAGTCAAAACAGAAAAGCAATTAGACCAGGAAAGTCCTTCAGCAAGATTATCAATGACATTTGATTTCGAACAAGGGCTTCTCATGATCATGTACAGGGCCAAATTCAGCCGGTCCAAATGATGACGACCTAAGAAATATAATAAAAATAAGCACCAAGATCAAACCTGGCCCAGATTCTGATTCTCAATCTCAGAAAGCTCAACCATGTCTTCTTTAGTAACTTGCTCCACTTTAGATTGGCAAAGAGGCATAGAGAAGCAAATATCCTAGAAAGGTTATTTAAAACCCACAAAGACAAATAACAAAAAGTAAGACCCGACGCAGTATTTTCCAGCAATGAAAATGTTCATAACATCAAAAGTAAGCAAGTGAACCATCTAGTCCAAAAATTGCACTTTCAAATTTGTAACTAGTAGACTTTGAAAAAGTTTCATAACACCCTAAAAACCAAACCTCTGCATACATTAGAAGCACAAAGCAGCAAATTTTGTAAGCATAGCCATTTAATGCCTATAGATCCAAATAGGACATCTCCACCTATAACAATCTAAGATATATATGTACAATCATTTACAAAAATTGAAAATGACTGTAAATATCTGTTGAATATCAAGTATCAAATGCCAAAAAAAAAAAAAAAAAAAAAAAACTATTCTTTTGTATTTGATGGTTAAAGAAGGAAAAACGGAGTGCATCAAGCTTTGGGAGGAGAAAATGACTGCTATATGGAGATTTAAGTGGCTGAGAAAGTAACTGACTTTGGGCTTTGGATACTGCATAAACAAGACAATTTTATCTCAATCAAGTTGTTACAGTGTCACGAGACACCTGATGAGACAGCATTCTCTCAACTGAAATGAGAAAGCCTTCTCCAGATAATGGTGAGATAAAGTGACTCCATTAATTTTTTATACAGCATCATATGTTCATCTCAAATCAGCCTGAGTTATGGCATTGGACAATACTTACAGACCATGGTGAGCTCCTATGGCTAAAAATCATGATGAACGAGTTAGGATATGACTCAAGCAATCCAATGACACTTTTTTGTGAAAAGAAAGCCACTACTAGTAGTGCTCATAACCCAATGCAACATGACCACACAAAGCATATCAAAGTGAATCAATGTTATATCAGAGAGGAACTTAATTTTTGCCCTATATCAACTCCATATCAACTCCATTTTCTAAACCAGGACTGTTTCATAGCACGGCAAGACTTTCTTAGCATGGCAACCAATGACACTTGTTTTTTTAAGCAGGACTTTTTCATAGCATGGCAACACTTATTGGTACTTCTACTACAGGGAAACCTAACAAGACTTTTTCATAGCATCTCGTGCAGGCTGGAAATGTGCAATGTCTCCAAAATAGCTTGATGATAAGTGTAAAATAGCATTTATCTTATATTATACCAATAATGGCACATATTATGAGGAAGAGAGAACCCTTCATCTACAACTCTTGCTTGCCTTTTTATTCTTTTCTTCGTTTCTCTGGCAATTAAACTCACTTGGACCAAACCACCTCACCACCGTCACTGTTCTTTTATCGTATCACCATTGATACCAAGTCGAAACTCCAACATCTCGTCTGACTAACACCAATAACTCAATTACTAACTCCATTCTCTAGAACTATCTCGTTCATATCTGCAGTCCAACCAAGATCTTCATTTTCACTCACCACTGTCACACCTAATCCCTGCCAGAACCACCATGATTTTCTACGTCCACAAGCAAATAATAATGGATGACCATCCAAAATGGCCCTCCAATTTATAGCACGGAATTGATAAATTTGAGTTAATTAAACAGCAGCTAGCCATCACGGTTGGCACTTGTTGCTTCGACCTCAGCAATCTAATCTTCCAAGTTTATAACTAGCCAACAATATCTCACTTTTCTAAAGAGCTTTCCGTATCAAACTTATTGGCAATGTGAAAAGAGGGGGAAGGGGAGAGAGATGAATCAAGATCAGCATAAACATCCACCACTTAGGCCATGCCTGTATAGATGTTTCAATTTTTTTCTTACACTTGTTTTCTTTATTCCTGTATTTTCACAGTTCATAGCTTACAGAAAGAGATACCACTTCAATTGATATTAAATGTCACAGGACAAACATTCACTGAACAAAAAATTGAGCCCATTTAAGAACCAAATTAAGAAAGAAATCACCATTATGGAAATGGAACAAATAAAATGTGGATTAGCCAATATTACTAAAAGAATTTGATATAAGAAATGATAGATGAAAATCCATGTGCATAAATGTAGGATAACCAGATCAAATTTCAGGGAATAAACCTGAACAAATTATAAGACATAGTCATCAATGTTCAACCACTTGAAAAGAAGATTAGCTAAAAGATAAAAATAAAAATAAAAATAAAAAAGGAAACATCTTACATGCTCTCTTAACAATGACCTTAAGCCTCTAGTTGACTGGGATATGTAAGCGTTGCATGAACGTTTTGTTTCCATCGAACCATCAGCGGCAGAGAACATCACCACAAACTGTGCGGTGCATACTATCAAATTTTCCAATAAAAATAGCTCATCAATGTAAAATACTTGTTCTGTACTTTAATATGCAAAACAATAAATAGTAAACATGCTAAAGACACCCCAAGAATGGGAAAAGTCATGGGACTCCAAGGATAAAACTCATTATGCACTTATTCCACGTGACCACGTCTATTATGACCAGAACAAGGGAGTGAAGCCTGGCACTATACAATAATCACAAAATTCATAATTAGGAGCATATTAGACAACAAAAATGGATTTCAGAATCATGAGTAGCTTGAATATCATCAAAATTCCACCTAAATGAATCCCTATAACCCAAGTTCACCATGTTGAACTCAATATCCTGCAAGGCTACCACGGGCTAGTACAAAGTCCACAACAAGGCCTCAGCAAGTGTTGTTTAAAAAAGTGTTTCTCTAAGTCACTGCCGAAGAAGATAAAGTTGACTGAATCACCTGTCATTAAGGAATGTTTTGTTGGTGCATCATAAACGCTAACTAGTTAAAAGCCTCTTCTATCCACTGTTTAGCTTGTTATTTATTACTGTGCCTAAACATTTGTTGTTATAGAAGTTAAAAATTATGTTGGGCATATATTGGAATACAAAATTTAATGAGGTTAAAGAAAGCTTCTGATGCACCCAACTTGTCATTAGCACATTAAAGTGCATCCCGGACTATTTACTTCTTATAAAAGGAGTTCAATTTCAGGGTGGTTTGTGTCATTTTCTATTGGCTTGAATTTAAGAGACGTCTATTTCTTTAATGTTCACAAGTACCGATGTTAAGCTTAACTAGTAACTCTAAATATCAAATGTTAGGAACTTATACTGTGATCTAGAGTCTTGCTACGCTTTTGACAAGCCTCCTAGGCTCCTAGCAACTCTACCATTCTGATAATGTCATCCAAATTGAGAACGCAAGTGCATCACATGACTTCTAAGTTTGTAAATATGTACATGTAAATAAAAGAACTGGAAAGAACGGAATTTACTTTAGTAGCAGAGAGCCTTCCCTCATCCAGTCCACTAAGTATTTATGTTTGGTTTGTTGTTCTACACCTAAAGGTCTTGGTTTATCTTCTACAGTGTTGTTTACTTCATAAGTGCAGTGTTTCACTGTAGCACCATATAGGATAGTGTTCCCCATACAATATTAAGCAAAGCCATTTAATTCTGATAAGCATCCACCCACTACAATAAATTAGAAATAATAAATTTTCACATGATATAGTTTCCGTTCGTATTATATCGTCTATTTCACCAGGATCTAATTCTAAAACCTACTGCAATCAGTTCTTATATTTTATGTAGGTTTTCAAACATAATCAACTGTTTCTGCAAGTTACTGCCGTTTCAAATTTAGTTTCTCAGTGAAAACATTGGCATTAATAGATACATATACAATACTTAATTTAGAAGTCACGTCCTTTTTATCACAAAGGACGTTACGAACCTCAATCTTAAAAAACAACTTCTAAACATGTTCCTAGACAAACATAATTTTAGGTAGAAGTGAGAAGTTGATGTTTGGATTCCAAAGAAAATGTATAGATACAAAAGTCAATTACATAAACATGTATTTAATAAGATATAATGTGTATGCATATATATATATAAGTGACGTAAAACCTTAAATGTATATATATGAATGCAAGGCAGTACAGATAATGATTAAAGATCGTTACCATAAAACATGTTACAAGCATTCTTACGAAGCATGTAGTAAAGACTCCGAAATGAGTCCTCCCATGCCAGATGTCGTTTGCTCAAAAAATCCATTTGCACTGAATAAACAGAACATTGTTGTTATAAAAATGAAGAGGGCGTAAAAAGGCTTTGGCATTGTCAAAGGTCATAATTTTGGCTCACATACCTCCTTCTGCTGCAGATAAAGTTAGAGCGGATATGACAGAAGGTGGTAGAGAAGATTGGGGGTAAACCCATGAATATAAAGCCTTTGGATTGAGTAATTGCGAAGTGGAAGTGAGTTCTGAAGAGCAGCATATATTATTAGCCCCAGAACAGCCAAACTGAGACATTAGCTGGGATATACCATTCTGACTATCAGATGTGACTAGCCTGTGAAACCTAAATAATTGCAAACAATAAACAACTATCAACATACGGTAACACTCCCAACAGAGTAAAACCTAGAATAAAGTAACAACCTAACAATTAGCACTCTAACTAGAAAAAGCAGCACAAAAAATACATGAAGACAAATTGAGTCTATAAAAAAGGCAATAGGTGTGGAAAGTTTTAAGTTTTTTGTCACTGATTCACAGAAATCTTCAATTTACATTTCAAAATATGAAACTGGCACTTTGGCAATAAATAGTGAAAACAACTACAACCACTGAAGAAACGATTTTTTTAGCAAAAAAACTCAGGGGGGTCATTGCTTAAAAAAACTCATACTTTGTTCAATGACAAGTAGAAGGAAACAATTTCAAGTTTGAAAGCAATCACTTTGTACAAAATAATGCTAAATGTTATGTATGCTCCAATCTTCACCTCCCACACCAGCACAGGATAAAGGCCTTTTTCAGCAGCAAGAAGGGGAAATCAAATCACAAGCAATTAGTGTCATGATGTATCAGTAAATTTCTACTTTACGTAATTGGCGTATGTAAGAAATCCTCAGTTTTTTTTTATTGAATTTCAAGAGTTCTATTCAATAGAAATTGATATTTTAATAAGCCTTCATATTGTAAATGTGCTATTTTTTGTTACAGTTTCTAAATTCTGGGAGTCCTGGTATCCTCCTACTTTTAGATGGGTTGGGAATAATTTTCTTGGCTGGATTTCAGCCTATTACTTGTTTAGAAACATTCAACCTTGCCCACATTGAGTCTAAACCCGCCACTTTTGAACTGATTTTAGCCCTAGCAACAAAGGAACAAAGGCTGTCCTGCTTTAGTTGTTATTAGAGTAATATGAAGTTATGAACCTACACTTCTCGTGCATAGTATGTTCAACTAAGTTCCGTAATGATTGTTTATATAGCAATTTTGGTTGTTCTTGTATCAACATCATGAGGATCCCCAAGAAAAAAAATTTAGCACGTTTTTATTTTTTTTTAAAAGACCATAGAGTGACTTAAAAATAGGGGGATGTTAATAGGCTAACAGAGTCTAGAACCTATAAGTGAAAATCTAATTCAGTGCTGGAATATCAGTGTGTGATAGAGCAGCCATCCAAATCACCATATCTTTTTAAACAAAAAAACTCTGAAAAATTTACATGGTATAAGTTTAAGCTACACATATGTGCATCATTAAAATCTAGCACAAGCACGTGAGTTGAAATTGAGTTATGCCTTTTTAAGCATCAATTCAACCCTGAATGGAAAATTTTCTCTAAGCGTGACAACATATTAAATGAAACAAGAAGAAATATACCAGTAACCTCACCAATTCACTGAGGAAGAGGACACCACCCGCATGGTAGTTTTCAATGTAAAATCAAGCGGAGCCTTTCTTCCAGGAATATGGAATTCAGAGCAAAAATTCCCTGACGTTGCATCACCACTTCTTTCAGAAGAATCAGCAGGTAATGTGGTACTCTTAGGAGCTTCATGGGCAACTAATTCTTTAAAAGCTTTATCCTATAAACAATAACAATTAAAAAGAAAATTAAAAAAGAAGAAGGTATTTCACTTTTGGAAGATAATTATTTAATGTAACTATAACAGAAAGCTGCCAAAAAGAAAAGAAAAGGGGAAAAAAAAGTACCAAATCAACAGTGCCCAGGCCAGATAACTTTTCACCCCCCAATGATAGCTCTTTAGGACCACAAAACCTTTTTTCAGTACATTTCTCAGTAGTTTTAAAATCTTGAGCAGTACCATCTCTTGCAACCACCTTTGAATCAAAAGGGTCCTCTGGACTGCAGAAGATGCACAAGAAAATCAACAATGAACAGATAGCCTATTGATTAAACACAAGACCTGCAAAGGCATACCATGAAATTTGTTGTTGACGTTTTGCAGCCAAATCTAAAGGGACGGAGGTATTCTTCAGCTCAACAGGAAGGTTTTTCTGCTGCCAATAAAGTAGTTATTAAATATACTGAAAGTATCTGACAAATGATACCATTTGCAAGTAAAATTGAGAATATCAAGCCAACTAATACATATATTTTAGCACAATATATTAGGTAAACTAGAGTATGAATTACAATTAAAATTGAAGTAATGACCTTGTCATCTTCTTTTCTAGAAAGCATCCTGAGCCTAATGCTCTTTTTTGTCACAGGGAATACTTTGTCAACATGGGTGTCAATGTATCTTGGATTCCTCGATGAATCTGGTTTCTTAAGCCCACTATTAATCCTAAAAGAATACAGGAAATTTGTTTAAAAAATTAATATTCTGAAGTAACCAAGAGTATTAAACAAAAAGGAGGCAAAACTTACTTCAAAGAACCAGGCAAAGGAGATGGAGATTCATCTACGAGCTCCACAACTTTCCTTCGCTTCAATTGCTCTCCCTGTCATATGCACACAATTATATAAGAGTAATTTACCCATTACAGTGTGTATCCACTTAAATGGGAAGATTCTTAGACGCTGAAATGAATAGAGATGCGTTCTTATTTTTTTCTTATGAACATTGAATTTTGAAGTTAGGTTCATTTAAATAAATGAAACAGTTTCACAAACATTAGAAGTGAGAAACCCAGTATGCACAACATCCAGTGATAGGATGTCACATATGAACGTGTGGAGGTCACTAGACAGGCTGCGTCTTACTCAATGTGCCATGTCACATAGGCTACGTATCACGTGAAGTGAACCACCAGATGCATAATCTTTTTAATCAATACTAAAGATTCAATCTTAATGATAAAAGCGTGTTTATTTCAAGCACATATAAGTATGCAATTAAAATGTAACAAAGAAGATGTAGAAAGAAAAGCAGTGTGTCAAAAAACTGAGATTAAGATGGAAACAAAAAAAATTCTAGGGCAGAAGTGCAATAAGAGTGTGCAGTCTTCTGATTCATTTAACACTCTAATTCATTAACAACAAGTCATGCATGTACATTCCCCTAACAAAAATCCGCTGATAGCCCCTTTTCAGAGGATAGACAAGGGACCATGATTAATTACCAAGAACAGTTTGGCAAAGCGTCAATAATTTAAGAAGACGAAAGTGAAACCAAATTAGGGATCAAGTTCCAATAGACTCGTTCCAAAAGACATGTTTAGCACTTATAATTCATGATAAACAATGTATTAGGTTTACCATCAAAAAAAGAGAAATCATACTGAAAAGACCACCATAAGATAGAATATAACAAAGCCATGAGTTAGTAAACTTACCCTCAACTCCGAAGGTGTTTTTCTTCTAACTGCAGTGGTGGCCTTTGAAGCACCCCCGCCAAAATGAAGAGGATTGGTAGATGAAGGACCCTGAACAGCAACCTTCGCCATGCTATTTCCTTATACAATCAACACTCCCTGCAAGCATTCAGTTATAGAACGACAGTGGAATTATTTTGGAGATAATATTAATAACTGTATAAAGAAATACAAAGACGGATTTCTAATTTTTTTCTAGAGAGATTTCCTAAGGAGTATCAGTCAAACGGAGCCTTTTGTATCTAGGTAAGGTACTGGATTTCAAATTATACATTAAAAAACAATTTGCGAAATCAATTCAAGAGATCGACAATTTCGAAAAACAGATTCATACCTCTATGATAGGAACACCGAGAAATGAAGATAGAACTCACAGATGCCCTGTTCAATGAATCGAACTTGTGTTGATCTGAATCAATTTGCCCTAAATGAGATGTTTAGGGCAAATCTGTGTATGTATGAGTGTGTGTGAGAGAGAGATTAAGCATCAGTGAGCGTGTGTGTGTGAGAGAGAGAAGCGGGCTCGAGAAATACGAGTGAGTGCATTTGGTTTCGTTTGAAAATGAATTTATTTCCCTCCCTCAACCTCGGCCCGACTCCCCCGACTGACGAGGATCCTTTGATCAGTCCGCTATTCTTCGTTGGGAGTAATCAAGCGGCCTTGAAAGAGCCACGTCAAAGATTAAAAAAAACCACTGAAACGTCACCGTTTGATAAAACAAACAGGGTGTTTCTCAATTTATTTATATTATTTTATCCACGACGAAAACCTTTCCCAGAGAAAACTAAAATAAACAAACTGTGGTATTATTATTTAAAATAATCGAGATGGTTCAAATTACAATAGTGATGACGGAACGTCCGGAGGTCTCTCGGATCAGATATAGAGAGAGATCGAAATTTGAAAATTAGTTTAGGCACTTGTTTATTTAACAGAGAAAGGAAAAAATGTCAATCAATAATTAGCAAAAATCAATTATTTTATTGAAAAATATATATTTTAGTAACCAAAACTAAAAAAAAAAAATTTAATTTAAAGTGGCCTTAAACTCAAGAAAAAAAAGATAAATAATAACCAAATTTAAAAAATAATTGTTAAAATAATTATCAGGACCATTTAAAATTTAAGTCCTATTAAATTTTATTCTAAAAAGTACCTAAATCATTGACAAAGCAAACAAAAAGAAACCGCCAAATTTTTATAAAATACTATGTTAAGGACCGTCATGAAAATATAAAAAATTTCATCCCTTGTAGTAAAACCGAGTCAGTATTTGAGAAATAAAAATATACAAGTAAATGTATCATTTATGTGTAAACTCAACAAAATCCATCCATTAAATTTGTTCATATAGGGTCGGTATGAAATTATTTTATTACTTTCATAAGAGGTCATGTATGCAAAAATAAAACTGTGTACATATAATCCTTCCCAAACCCGTAATGACAAAAACCTATAGCGTTTGCCCTTTTGATTTGATTGTACAAATTAATAATAATCATACGATTTAAACCCAAAATTCTTTATTTTCTCTCGTGGAGAATTCAAAACTCAAAAATCATTAAGAAGGTTTATATTAGGTTGGGGTTAAATTTGCTCCAGTGATAGTTTAGATTTTCTTTTCCAACATCTTCTTACATTAGTGGTTTGCTGCAGCTTGCATTGTTAATTGATGTTGGCAAGGGTGTCCTTTAGATGGACTAATCACAGATACTTAAGTTATTCAAGAAAACAATTTTCCAGGCAACCATGGTTAATTAGTATCCGTTACCAAGCCGGGGGCTCAAGTCCCATCAAAATAAATAATGTTCTTTTAAGGTACAATAAATAAAGAAATAAATAAAAACCAGCATTAATTATTTAATACTAATGTTTGAAACTGTTTACATCACAACTTCAACTTCAACTTAAATCTTTAATGCTTTGATCCTTTTAAAAAAGGTCAAGGAAACAACAATCTAATGTTTGAAACTGTTTACATCACAACTTCAACTTCAATGTAAATTATTAACTTGCTAGTTTATCTGATCTTTTTTCTTTCTTTTTTATTCAATATTTCTACTAGCAACATATATCATTCATCTGTGGCACAGGGGACTACATTACAACTTCTGCGAAAGCTACTGGAGGTGAGTGTGATAACACCTGAGGAGCCAAGGGCTGGTGGTGCTTGCAAGTTTATCAGGACCTTACCGATAAGCTGATCAATTCCGGTGTCAGTTCTCCTCAGTCAAAAAAATTATCAAATATATGCAAGTAGATCAAGTAAATTGAACTGCTACGGTGGTATCCATGGAGAAGATAACAAATTCTAACCAGAAATATTGGCCAGGACATGCTGCATAAAGTTGCAATTGCTTCAGCTTTGTCCAAAAATCAGACATACGCCTACTAGTTTATCTTCCTCAGTGTGTTGACATAAGTATAACTGGAAAACGATACAAAAAACTTACGAAACCTGCACAATAGAAATCAACATCAGTGAAAATAAAAGTCAAATAACTCAGAACCATGCACTATATCTGTGTGTGTTCATTTAAGAGGTGCTGGAGAACTACAACATGGATCTAACAAGATTGATTCAACAGATGGAGGGGGAAAACACACACACACAAGCAATGAGAAAGCACACATACCAAACCCATTGGCTCGTGTGTTGTGCCATTGCAGCATAGCTTTTTTGGGGATGTTCGTTTACCAAACAACGCATCTGCCCACTTGGATAATACGTGGTGGCATACACGAAGGAAAACCAGATGTCAACAGGTCCAGTATACTTCCGTAATATGTTAGTGCTGACCTGAGAATAATGGGAACAAAAATCAGAAATTGAGCAGTAGAGAGCAAAATAAAATGTCAAATCACAATGAAGGGGAAAGTGTTTTAAGCCCAGATAATAAAATTTTCAACAGATTCATCATCTGTTGTTAGAAACTATCATAATGCATGAATTTTATAACAAACACATTACCTTGTCTGTTGAAGATTTTTAACAAGGAAGACACTAGTCATATAGCAATTTAGGGTAGGTAATCATGGAAAAATTACTTCTTCTTTTGGAGATAAATAACCATAAGAAAATATAAAAACAAGACAGATTAATTCAGTACCTTGAGATTATGATTTTTTCAGTAACAGAAGAGTAATTAAATTCCAGCACAAAATAATTATAAGAAAGACGAGGAAAAGAAAACCCACAAGTTCCCAGGCTTCAATATTTCTTTGCGGTGTATCATGTAATAGCTTGCTACAAAGGAGGGGAAAAAAAATATCAATAACATGGCATAGCGTTGTCACCACCTACTAACCACACAAAAGCATTTGGAAGAAGTAACATAGTGGATATATATAGATAAATTCATTAATGCAAGTTCAGCATTTATCCTACATTTATATAGACATAACGGTATTTCAAAGGCTTGGGAAGACAATTTGATACTAAGCCACAGATGTTGGAAGGGGCAACATACATTCCACATGGCAACTGCTAATTTATATCAAGGAATGCTTTCAAAATCATCTTTTGAATCCACACACGTCATTCCCACCCGCCTTTTTAGTGGGTCTCACTCTCACCTGCCTTTTTCCCCTTCTGATAAGTGAGTTCAACCAAACACTATAAAAACTAGTCCTTATCATGTAATATCAATGGTGGGTTGATTCGTTAGTAATGCCCACTTGACTTTTATCCCTTCTTGTACCAATAATAACATGATGAAGCGGACACATTCCAAACACACATCAATGTCATGTCATTTTTTTTTTTTTTTTTTTTGTCATGGCCAGAATGTTAGGGCTTAGTGGTTAGAGGGGAGGGGGAGGGTGCAAGGCTCAAACACAGGCTCCCGGATGCGGGGAGCAACCCAACCACTTGGGCAACACGGCACTTGCAATGTCATATCATGATTGACATGGGTAATTTGCATCTTTTTTTTCTTTTTAAATCTGTGGAGTTAAATGAACAGTTTTTTTCTTTCAAATAAATGAATAAGAGAGAGGTTAAAAAAGAAAGAGGCAATACACTCTCAAACAAGATCAGCAATGGCTGAAAGAAAAATCAACATAGCTAAAGAAAGAGGGGAGTACCCCATAAACCAATCTTGTGAACTGCAATTTCATTAAAAAGAAAAAAAGAGCCAAATTAATCTACAGACATCTGAAATACTGGTGACTCCCACAAGGGTACTTCACTGATTCTAAAAAGTCAACAAAACATTTATTTGGTTTTAGTCTCAGTCTTGTTGGAAAGGAATGGATTATATATTCTTTGAATATAAGAAATTGATCCAGTGTAGCAAAAATACTAAGAGCCCGTTTGGGTTGTTGCTTTTCAACTGCTTAAAACCGCTTTTATCTTAAAAATTTGCGTTTACATGTGTTTGGTAACTATTAAAAGTGCTCAGTACGGATTTTGAATGAAGCTAAAATTTGGAGCTTTTAAAACTGCGCTATAAGTAGAGGTTGTAAATTTTAGGTAACTGTTTTTCCTTGGACAATTATGTGCAACAAAAATACTAAAAATCAATTTACCTTACTCCACGATTGACATCCTGGTGATTACAATGACCCGAGACACCATAGTTATCAAAAGTGATTATCTGTAAACACCATTTAGAAAAGGACATTAAGAGGGCAAATAATTTCATGAACAAGATAGCAAAGGTTTTGTGAGAAACTGTAAAGCACTGAAACAGAAACTGGTTGCAGAACCCTGAACTACCAACATGTCCAATTTTTTTTCATCACATGCTATACATCCTATAAAGGCACCTAAATAGTAGATAAATAAATAAAAATTGTGGAAAGGAAAACTCAGATGATTGATGGAACCAGATCTTACCACATCAATGACATGAGTGAAAGTTTCCTTCTCAATAATCTTTGCAAGAAAATTACAATCCCACACTCTGCCAAAACCATCCTAGTAAAGACAGTCGAATTATACCCAAACTTCTGCCTCAGTATCATATTTTAAAAATATAACACAGATAAATAAATAACTAATATGTGCAGGATTTTAAAGAGACTTTTAAGAAAGGAACCTGCAAATCTGGATGGTCCAGGATCCTCACTTGTTGGAGTGGAACCTGCAAGTTGATTTAAATGTCATAAAATTAAAAATCAACGCTGAGGTAAAATAACTAATATGTGCAGGATTTTAAAGAGACTTTTAAGAAAGGAACCTGCAAATCTGGATGGTCCAGGATCCTCACTTGTTGGAGTGGAACCTGCAAGTTGATTTAAATGTCATAAAATAAAAAATCAACGCTGAGGTAAAATCCTTTATAGGGTTTACTGTTTACAACAAATCCGGTATAAGCATGACGAGCACCATTTTTTATTATAATATTAATTGTAGAGCTAGATGAGAGGATTATTCAAAAGTAGTAGGAATAAAGAAGAAAACTAGCTGGACACACACAGACAAGCTTGGATTTTGAGCCATTAGCACGGACCTGCCTGGGGACTAGGGGGGGCGAATGCCCCCTCTGGAATTTTTTTTTTCCTATTATATATTAGACTTTTTTTTAAATATATGCCATGCCCCCCCTGAAATTTCACAAATACCCCCACTATATAAGTTCCCAAAATATATACCATGCCCCTATATGTGCTCAATGATTCCCAAAATAAATACCCCCTGAATGTGCTCAATGATTCAATGAACAAAAAAAATATTTTTGCTTATTATGATGATTTGAATTGCAAATGTGTTCAATGGGATCCTTTTATTTTTTTTGGGACGCGTTCCCCTTTTGAACGCCTTTAATGAATTTGCTTAATTATCAAAAAAAAAAAAAAAAAATTGTTATTAAAAGGACGCCCCCCCTGACATAATTTCCTGGGTCCGTCACTGCCAAGCAAATTCTAAATGCTTAATTTTTGTGTCAGATCACGCATAACCTTGAGAATTGCAGAAGCCTGATAGAGCTCTTCTTTCCTAATAATTCCCATGCCATCTGCATTACCTACATAACACAAAAATAAATAAAATGTAGGAGCATCCATGAATTAATATTTTGAAGAAGCAAACATGTGACAGTTTTATGTGCTTAACCTTAAGTTTCTAGGAAAGATAGTCTGCAAAGTAGATTTAAAATTATCTTACACTTGCTTGAAAGATCATCTGCAAAGTAAATTTAAAATTATCTTACACTTGCTCTTTATAAAGTTAATAAAGAAATAATGCATGAAAGTTTTGACGGGAAGCTCATTCTCCTCCCTAATAAAAAGCTTAGCTAAGGATGTGGTGTGATAGCCCAGTGGTAGGGCATGTGTTGCTTCTGGCCAAAGGCCCAGGTTCGAACCCTCACTCCATCAGTCAGTATTAGTACATAACTATTTAATTAAATTATTTTACTTTATCAAAAAAAAAAAAGCTTAGCTAAATTTTGGTAGGCTTAATATTAAAGCAAATCAATATCCTTTAAAGGAGTAAATTACATACCTATATAATAGATTGTAAGGTGCACACAATCATTAATATTCTCAATGAAGTTGAAACACCCAGCTCCTATATTTTCCCATGAGTGATCTCTTAACTGTGAGAACAAGAATGGGTGAAACAAAGAGTTGAAAACCTTCTATCGCTTGTAGGAGACGTTATACACATGATTACAGAAACAAATAAGGCAGAGAGAGAGAGTATAAAAGTTAAAAACCAAATGGATAAAAAAAGGATTTTGTCACTCAATTATGCTGCTTAAGCAAACTAAACTAAACTATTGAATTCCCCCTTTGTTAAAAAGCATTGCATGTATATATTACTGAGTCACCTTATTGCCACAGCAACAGTGGCTGATGCCTCAAGCAGACAACAAATTGTAAGTATATATTATGAAAGGATAAACGAATCCTCAAAAGCCCAGTGGATCCATCCGAATTGATTTTATCTCCTTTTCAATTTCCTCCCCCCCCCCCCCCCCCCCCCCCTCCTCTTTCTTTACTCTCACTCAACCAGCAAATTTACTTTTTTCTCCATTGTGTAAGCAGAATAAAGATAATGTTGCAACCTAGCTTCCACTAATTGCCTGTCAAACCATGTCCTCTAACTTCTAGATGGTTGAGTGTTTGAAAAGAAAATCAGAGCATTACCAGTTGACATGCACAATATGTGAAGATTATGCCCCCTTGAAATCAGATAATTAATTGTTGGAGTAAAGAACCTGTATCAATGCAATATGAGGTATTAAAATATAATAAATCATATAGTGCAAGCATAAACATATCATTTACATGATTCAAAAAATGAAAACCGACCCCCCTTTAGTCCTTTAAACAACACAAAACCCTGCTGTTGACTTTCAAATATATTTTGACTAAATGGTATTAACATAGACTCATAGTTGATAAGTCGCCAACATAAATGTCATCAAGATCACAAATGGTCTTTATATATGTTGATAACTATTTATAATGAAATATTGGAGAAATTTTTTTAACGTTCTTCAAAAGGAGTTTGTGTATTAATTATACAAACATCAGAATAGGCCTTTTTATATGATTTATTGACGTATTTAACTACTTTAGGGAATTTGGAGTTTCAATCACTTCAAGCAACATTCAATTTTCCAAATAAGGGAGCCGTTTATCAGGAGAACCAATTGTTTGTCACGCTTACTCAGTTTTTATATATAGCAAGACAAAATATAAAAAATCTCTGGTCTAGTTGCTCTCCCTTCAGCCTATAACTCATTGAAACACAGCCTGAAAAGTAGCCCCATATGAACATACACTTGAACATACGTTTGGAAAAAGGTTTGGAAATAAATACAGAACTTCTTGAAATTTTTTGAAACAATGAAGTGAAATGGCAGTAAATAGGTGCTACGGGGTTGCTTGAGATCATGAAAGATCTAATTTTTTTTTCTTTTTTTGGGGATGGGTGGGAGAATGAATGCAGAGAGAGATGGTCACTGAGTTAATGTTTTTGACTTCCCAGTAAAACAGGTGCTAATAAAAACCCCAAGGCATACCTATGCTATGGACCCAACAACTGGTTCTCTTATAATATCACTGTCTAGATGATATTTAGGACTGTAACAACAATATTCCATGATTTAAGAGAAACAATTGAAGCTACATCTAATAACATTAAAATAATACTTAGAATTAGTGTTCAATGATGATTACATTGATTGTGCTAAACTGTATATTGTTTAATGATGATTCTGGTATATTTACGAATTTTTTCAAGATTACTGGCCTTGTTTCACTTGGGTGGTCACCTCATGTCTTCGCAACGTCAAGACTGAGTACCTAGAGGGCGACTTTTGTCTTTAACTCTGCTGCTTCATTTCATTGTGTGTAAATAAGTAGTAAACTAATTAATATTATTTGCAACGACTAATAAAATTCAGAACACCAGCAAAATGCAACTAGGAGTTTCTTATATGGACTCATCATCGGGATGGGAAACAACCAGCAAGACATTTTTCTTATAAAGAGAATCACCTGATTTTGATCGAAAATGGGTTAAACTAAAGCAAAAAATCGTATAAAACAATCCAATCATGCGAAAAACATATATATAGATCACTCACCATCATTTAGGAATATAGCCTTGGACGGTGAGCATGCATGGAGAATTTTGCATAGAGAAGCAACCCATAGTACAATCATTGAAACAATGACCACAAGCCACTCCATCTAGCATGCTCCTACAATGGATGTATTGGTATAACTATAAATCATTAAAATGGGTATTAAACAAGAGCAAAAAATCGTACAATGGATTCATACATCGTACAATCATTAAAAAGCATTTTTGATTAAAAAAAAGGGGGGAATTTATAGATATAACTATAAACCAAAAATTTGAATAAAATTGGAATCTTTTAAGCTCCGTTTATATGAATTTATAGGAATATATGGGCTCCGCTCGTTTACTAATATTTTCTCTTCTCTATCTAGTTCCTCTCACCAACTTCTCCAAACTCTAATTTCTCTCACTACACTCTATGTCAAAACCCTAGAATTAGATAATGAATCCACCAACATCACTCCAGAGGGAGGGGAAAAAAAGAGAGAAATTTATAGAAATCTTTTAAAAGATGCTAAGGCCATGATGAGGACCAAAAACTCATTTCAATATTTTATGGTCTCTATCATATATCGTGCATCTTAATGAATTATGATATGGAATAAGGATCCTCTTAAGTAAAAACTCTCTACATTAGCGTAAGTTAGAATTGTTAAGGTGTTGGTAACATCCTTTCTTTCTATCACTATTTGCTAATTTTCAATAAGTGCCAAGGTTGTCAGGATCAGAATCCTACATTGGATCAATAAGGGGTGGATCATAAGAACCTACAAAACAGAGTTAATATGTAGATTTTAAGTTAACACTAGATAGAATAAGCAAAAAATACATTTTAAAATATATATATACAGAACAAGCATAATATATATAGAAAGAGATTCACAACAAATAGAGCTAAGAGGTGTCGGAAGCCAGCAAAAGAATCAGATATAGATCAATTAAAATCTCTAGCTCGAAATAGAAAATAAAAATAAAAGATATCACAAGTAAAGATCTTCCCCTCACAAAATAATCGTTCTATATAATCAGAACGATTATTTGATCGAAACCCAGCAAGAACCTCCCCTCAGCAAACAATCGTTCTAAATAATCAGAACAATTATTTGATCGAAACCCATGAAAAATCTTAAGAAATCTGAGGAATTTTAGTGACATATGGGAGTACATTGAAGCTAAATTTGACTGAATACAGACCAGTAGCGAACTGAAGAATTGAATAACAGAACAAGTTATTCAAAATTAACACTAGCAAATGCCAAGAAACTAAATCTGACTTATATACAATCCTATAGTAACAAATTTACCTATAGGCTCCTTACAATAGAAACCCAGAAATAAATTAATAAATAAAATTATTATTTAGTCTAAAAACAAAAAAGAAGAAGAAAAAATCCTAAAGAAGAAAAAGAAGTACACAGTATTGAGGAAGACATACCCCTAAAGTAGCTCGCCGTAAGCCTGTTTAGTCGCCGGAGGTGGTCGGCAGCCCGGAGAGATGGTCTTCAATTCATGATTTTGTCGCTTATTTGTTTGGGATTGGGCTCTAAAATGGATTAAGGACCCAAAAATAAAGAAAAAAAAAAAAAAAAAACAAGATTAATGCGGTGAACGTGGATCGAACACGTGACCTTCAGATTTCTGAGGAATTACTTCAGTCTGACGCTCTCCCAACTGAGCTATCCCCGCAACTTGTTCTGAGTTTGATCTCTAGGTAATTGAAGAACAAATAAGCGACAAAATCACCAATTAAAGACGATCTCTCCGGGCTGCGGACCACCTCCGGCGACTAAAAATGGAATGAGGACCCACTTTAAATGGAATAAGGACCCAAAAATAAGCATCAATTTATTTAGCCTCGAAGACGATTTAGCGTAAGATCAACCATCCTTTTTTCATCTCTGAGATGAAAATTTGATGAATTTTTTTAAAAAAAAAAAATTAGCATTGCGGTGAACGTGGATCGAACACGTGACCTTCAGATCTCTGCGGTATTACTTCAGTCTGACGCTCTCCCAACTGAGCTATCCCCGCAACTTGTCCCACCATTGATCTCTATGCAATTTATACTCTGTATAAAAAAAATCAAACAGGTATTTTTATTTTAAAAAAAAAATTAAGTGAAATCCAGTTTACCTACAAAAGCAAAGTAAACTCAAGGTCATAATATACCAGATTTAAAAAACACCTAGTACCATTTGAAAGGATTATATTGTTAAATTTTAATATGTAAATTATATCTATGCAATATGTAGTCTAAATATCTCTAAACATTAATACTTTGCCAGAATTCCATTGTTATCATTTATTTATTTTAAGAATTCTTTTTAAATCACTAATTGAAGAGTCCAGTCTTACAAATAGCATAATAAGAATCCTTTGCCGGGATCAACAACCAAAATAAAAAAGAGGAGGTCAAAGTCAAATTGCATTCAACCACACACTAAACACCACAATTTTAATCTTCACCAAGTACAGAAACATTACAAAAGGATCAATAATCAACTTTACTTCATTGCACTAAATATCACAATTTTAGTATTCCAAACATACTCATAAATGTTAAAGAAAAATCAATAATCAAATCCACTCCATCTTTTAGTATTCCAAACATACTCATAAATGCTAATACCGCAGCTAATGTACCAAAAACAGAGTCATAGAAGTATTTCAGTTAGTACCTCAGCTTTTCAAGTAGCCCACTGTTACCAAGCACCCAACAATCGATAAATTTTTACATGTTCGGGGACTATGATATGCATGTGTTTTACATTTTGTTTAATTAATCAATACTACTATGATATACAAAGAAAACAGTAGGGGCGTTCCCTTGCTTTACAATAAAACGTCGGAAGCCCATTTCCAATACAAATGGAAATAAAGGAACGTAAGAAAATATCAAATGTAGCAGATAACATCAGTATAATGGAGTCCAGCAACATCAAGAACTTCAAACAACACAGCTCTAGCAACATCCTCAGCATTCCTGTGGCAGCCCTTATGATAGCTGGAGTTCCTCTCATTATAAATTGCCCAAATCACAACAGAGAAAACAATTCTGTAAAATTTTGGCTTTGCAGAATTAGAACTGAATTTTTGGACACAACAATTTACCAACTCTTCAAAATTGCAGCATTGCAAATTCAACTGAAGCAACTCATAAAACCATCCTCAAATCTCCCTAACAAACTCACATTCATAATATTGCTTTAGCTTCGTTATCAAATGCTTTACAAAGAATTTCATAATTTTTCTCGAGCCCTATCTGCAAACAAAGAGACAAATACTAGATCATAATAATTTCGAGGAACTGAAAAAGCAATGTAAAACAGTAGCAAAATCTAGAAGTGGCATCAGAATCAACCCATAATTGCATACCAATGGATCAATTCTTGATGGTGAAATACTTGATATAGAGTACCTGCACAAAATGAAATTCAAGCTTGAGTTTTACAGCAATATTTAATTGATTTCAAGAGGAAATTTTTTTTTTTTTCCTTGACAGTTGCAAAATTTTAATGTTAGAACAAAATCCAAAAATACCCCAACAACTTGCAGAAAGAAGCTGAACATGGGCACAATAAGCAGTAGCTGAATTATAAGCTGGCATATAGCATGACAAGGATGACAATCACACTTTTTATTATGTCTACCGTGTCTCGGACCTGTCGGTCAAAATTTACCAAGGAATTTCACTACCTTTGGATCGTTACAATCACAACCATCATTCACCTATACTTTGGCCACTGGCTCTCCTATCGTCTGGTTAACAGCTTCCTTGATGTCCTGCACCGGGTAGGCATCATCCCCCATGCATGGTCATGTATGAATTTAAATTTGGCTAAGTCAAATCTCTACAGTATGTAACAATCTTTAACTTGACAACAGTTTGTCTTCAACCCTTATCGACAAAGTACCTAGAGACACATTTGTCTGACACTAATTTTGGCATAGGCAACGCCCATTGCTTAAAATAAGGACTAGCAATGTCCAACACATTGCTAGATATCTAAGCACCACGCCCAAGTCTGTATCCACAATATATTAGCTAATATATTCCTTAAGATTTCAAATTGTACAGTAAAACAAGTATCAGAATGAGCTGAAAGTCAAGTATTGTGGGATGGAGGGATTTGGCAGTTCTTTGTGATGCTAATAAGACAAAGCAGCAAAGGGATGGCCAATAAGATAATTCCTGAGATATGGTGATGATTTAACGAAGTATTACAACTGGAATAACATAAGGATTACTAATGGTAAGTCTATGTTTTTCCTATTTAACTTGTGTGTGTGTGTGTGTTGTCTTAATGATTAACAGGCTTACCCAAGCTTACTCATATAGAAAGTCAAAGCTAACAAGTTTGCTTTTTGAACAGTTAGCACCACAGCACCCATGCGGTTCTGCAAATGATTTAAACGTTAAATTAATTCCAAAAGCCATAAGATTCTCCTGTCACAACCAGAAGTAAATAAATAAATAAAAAGAGCTAAGCAAACAACACCAAAAATAAATTCAACATACAATGCCAATATGTTGATGTGGAATACCATTAAACATTATCAGTTATAAACATAAACAGGATTCGTAGAAGCTATTCATCACCTTACGAGCAATAAGCTCAATTAGTTGCATTAAGAATTTCCCTAGTCCTTTCCCTTGAACATGAGGCTCAAGCTGTAACTCATAGACATAAAGAACGGGTATTTCTTCCTCTATAGTAAAGCGAAATTGAACAAATCCGACAATGGGGCCCCTATTATCAATGCTATTAGAAAAAGACATTTCCTTTTCTACCATTGTGGAAATATGATTAGCATTTTCATTTGGAGCCTCGTGTACAAATATATATCGTGCTTCTGGAGCTACCATTTCCCGGCGCTTCACCTTCTCTTCTTTACGCCACTCAGATCCATACATCTCTTCCATATTGACCTGTAAAAATATACAATATCATTCTATGATTTGGCAAAGTAAAAGAAGGAATAATGAGACTGACAACTCCTATAACCTTAAGCAGGTTTTGGATGTGTTGCTTTAAAGGTGAGGAGAGCTTATCCCCGCGACCTGATTCCAAGTATACAGACAAGCCTAGCAACCAAATTAACATGGGCATTACAAGAAAATTTAGCCTGAAATTCTTAACCTCTAAATGATCTATTATTATTTATAAAAATAAAAAAGGAAAGAGATAAAATAAAAATATAAAGCACCACCAAATTTCATGGCATAGAGAGAAAGATAACCATTCCAAAACCAAAATTTGTGAATTTTATCCAGAGCTAACTTTCATTATCAGAAAGAGTTTTAACTCAGTAGGCCTAATCATAAGTTATGCGGGTGCTGCAAATCAAGTGTTATGTTTTCACGTTAAGAATAAAAAACTAATAAAGAAACAAAAAGGGCGTAAAAAGGTCATTATAAAGGTTAGTACAGTCTATGCGAGTATGCAGGCGTTAGGAACAAAGACCAGGCATGGTTTACACATTGTGATACCCCCGGATTTCTGAATGCGGGCTGGTCAGGCCCACGCCCGAATACCCGGGGATATCAAAGCAAATTGATAATAAACGAACACAGAGTACAAAAGAATAAAGAAGAATAAATAAAATGCTGACAAGAAACTAAAATGATAATCCAATAATAAACCTCATAATATATTTCCATTAATTAATAAACTCTTCTGATATAACTGATCCTTCAAAATACAACTCGAGAATCCATACTGTGTGGACCCCTAGAAAATCCAAACTAAACAAATGACAGAAATAACTGTCTAAATCAAAAAACTGAATCATAAAGGAACTCCTATGTAGATAAACCGGAAGAGTGAAGTAGATTGATCCCTGCTCAGCACGAATAATCTCCACTCCTGACGAACACCTGAAAAATAATGGTGGGTCAGTCCCACAAACAAGTTCTACTCTCCTACAGTCCAAGCAGAGATTCGATACACGTATACATCCTAATCAATCCAACAATAACTATTAGTCTGTATATATATATATACACACACACACACACACTAAATGAACCTCACTAGACTATAGGGTTGTCTCAACCTGAATAGTAGGCAACATGCAAAACGCACATATAGTGGGCATGAGTACCTAGACCTACCAGGGTACACAACTACACTATATCTAGCTACACATCCCTAGCGATATACGCACCCTAACCACTGATCCTGAGACTTAAGCTCATATCATGGCACCATACTTATATATATATAATCTAGTAACCATCTTATCCAGTATAAATTAATCATCCACAAGTCATTCAACTTGTTCAGCTGACCTGACTTAAATATAAGTAGGACTTAACATTTTAGTTAATCTATTCCCTTATATAAAATAGGTAGGACTTAACTGATAAGTTAATCCGTCCCTAGAATACCACCGTCCCATACCGGTACATTAAACCACACAATCTAATAATTGATGTAACAATTAATGAAATACATCAAACAATCTAAAAAAAACTATGATAATATGATATCAAGTTATCACAAAATAAAAATGACTTATTATTTATTTAAGCTTCTTATATCATATATCCTACACAAACTGGATCTTATACATGATATTTTATTATACCGTCAAATAAGCATTCTCCATATCTAATTCATCCTATACATTTAATCTTAATTGCTAAAACATTTTAAAAGATTAAATCCATTCGTTTGTTTAAAACATTCAAATAGCAAGCATCATTATGATTGAGTCTATTTAAATTTATTTAAACCCAAACCTAGTCCCTATTTAATATTCAGGAATCCTAAGCATGTTTCTAAGTTCCATCATTCTACAGAAATAAAAAAATACATAATTTAAACATGTAAAAATTCACACCAGATATCAAATCAAAATCATGCATTTATCAATTCATAACACAAGAACAGATATAAACCAATTTCATAAAACCTATATTCTAATTCAATTAAACATGTATAATTATTTAATTTTATGTGTTTAATAAATCCTGGAATTTCCTAAGCATGTACAGAAACACGAATCAAAGGGAAAGAGATAGAAGAAGAAAACTTGCCTTAAACTTTCGGATCGAAAATTAAACTTCTTCTTCCTAAATCCTCTTCTCTAAAGGGTTTTCTCCTCATTCCTTCCTCTTCCTCCTTCTCTTTCTAACTCTCTCTCTAATATAAAATCACGTACTATATTTTTTTGAAGCCCCCTACAGACTTATACTTATGTATATATAAGCTAAAGAAAATTAACCCTAATCCTAATTTCATTCCAAGTCAACTTAATAAAGAAAAATTAAAATTAAAATATATAAAAAGTAACGTAAAATATGTTACGTATATAATTTATATATATCCTTATTAGATAAATAAATTATATACATCACATTATTTATTAACAAATTATCTGATAATACTTAAGTTACCATAATATTAGAAGATAACCTAAAACATGATACGTATATGATTTATGTATATTCTTATTAAATAAATTATATACATCCCATTATTTATTAGCAGATTATCTAATAATAATTAAATTACCATAATATTATAAGGTAACCTAAAACATGATACGTATATAATTTATGTATATCCTTATTAAATAAACTGTATATACATCCCATTATTTATTAGCAAATTATCTAATAATACTTAAGTTACCATAATATTATATGGTAACCTAAAACATGATACGTATATAATTTATGTATATCCTTATTAAATAAATAAATTATATACATCCCATTATTTATTAGTGTTCAATAATACTTAAGTTACCATACTTAACACGTATCAAATCTATGTATATTTTTATTATTTAAATATAAAACATATACATCAGAATAAATATTACTACCCAAGTTATCATAAAAGTAATTAATAAATTACCCATTATTTATTAATGGATTATCCAATAATACTTAAGTTACCATAATATTATAAAGTAACTTAAAATATAACACGTATCAAATCTATATATATTTTTATTATTTAAATATAAAACATATACATCAGATTAAATATTACTATCCAAGTTACCATAAAAGTAATTAATAAATTACTTTCCCTCTTTTATATGTATATAATATATATCTATATATATATATATACACACACAACTATCCATGAGTAATAATCCATACCCATCCAACCTCCTATCCAAGTAGTCCATAGGCCCCCAATTGGTTGGCCCATTACTACTAACCATAACCATTTAAAAATAATAATAATAAATAAAATAATAAAATAAAAGAAAATATTTAATTTACAGTTAATCAAAACACCATTTAAACGCCTAATCTAATTAAACAATTAACACATAGATAAATACAAATAACACAGACACATAATCAAATACTCAAGTAACACTTAATTCAATTAAACCAATAAGCAATTAGTCAAATAATCAATTAAATAATTAAAAATACAATTAAAACAAATAAATAAATACCGGGACTATCCTTTTAAAATTAGGAGTATTACATTATTCCCCCCTAACAAAAGGAATTCCATCCTCGGAATTCGCCCTTACTTTCTTCTATTATGTTTGGAAATGGTGAGCGAATAACATCCTCCTATTCCCAAGTAGACGCAACCTCACTACGAGGACTCCACTTAACTCCAATATACTAAGTGGTATACAGGGTTCCTATATTTTAAGAACCACAATAATCATACAATGCATAGGTTTTATCAAACAACAACGTAATCATTCCCTCTCCCATTTCGACAAGGGAATGATCTACATACCTCCAAGTGCCATAGAATATACACACAAACTCCTATGTACCCAACAAGAATAATTTGGTAACGCTAATCCAGAAGCGACTGCCTCAATTGCGAAACACAATCCTCTAAAAGTCAATGTAATAAGTAACGTTGACATTTCTCCAAAAATCGCCTTTCTTCCTACATGGAAAACAGAACAAGCAAACTATTCCCTGATAGAAAACTCAAGTATACGAGTTCAACTATTTACAACATCTCACTGCTGCCTCCCAACCACGTGCAGTTTAATACCAAAGGAAAATATTTCTCTCCGATATATTTTTAAATGAAGTCAAGGTCTGATTGTACAACTCTTACTTCCATTTCCAACCAACAAATGAGAGGTATGCATTGTGAAAGATACAAAACCTCCAAAGTTGTCACACTAACATCCTTGTGCCAACAATATCACAGACAATATTCCGACAAGTGAAGTAAACACTTCCAATTGTCCATGAAAATCTAGGATATAAACCTCAAACATATCCTTTATGTTCTAATTTAATCTCTCAATTAATTCCTCCGTCTATAGATATGAAGTAGAGCTGCTGCTCCAAAATCTTCATAAAGCTCCTTCGAAATAGCACTTTGCATCCACTAATATGGATATCTACATGCTATAACACCAATATCACTGAACTATAGAACTACTATGAAGTTCTAAAATAAGCATCACTCAAATTTATGTCCTCAAGCGATCTTTCTCAATCCACTACTCGGATTCCATATGGAAAATTGAAATTCCAAATCAATGTCGATCCTTCCCACCGATCGTCACTCCTGTTTAGTTCAACTTCCATATTTGTTATAGGAAGTGGCTAAAGATTCCTGTGATATCTGATGATCAACTTTCCACCTTTATAGCAAGTTTTACACTTAGGGCAATTATATACATGTCCCTATCCTTACTTGTTCACCAAAACCGACATTTGATGTCGTGATGTACCTTCTAACCATTTGGGTGTACCAAGAAAAATTATAAATTTCCATCACAGTCGCCCGACCGTCATATCACTATTTACAGAAACTACTAACTCCTCCTCCAGTACCTTAAACTCCATCTGAGTAAGGTAACACCTTCTCTAGGGTCAGCTCCGATATTCAAAATTGACCTCCTAAACTACCTTGGTAATAACAAGTGTTATTATTACACCCACTATACATTCAACTGATAACTTATCAACGAACCGAAAGATTTAAATATCCTATCGGTTGTTGAGAGCATCCACTTCCATCTTCGCTTTCAACAGACGGAACTTGATGATTTACACTTTGCATCCATCTAAACCGTCTCGTGATCCGTTCTAGTCGTATGAACTAATATCTTACCAGCTCGATC